ATGCTCTATCCTCTAAACCGCCACGGCTCTATAAGCCAGTATTACACACAAGCTTGAGAAGTGGATGAAAATCAGTGGTATTCAAAAATCAAATCCGGTGTAATCGCTTCACCAAAAGGAAAATTCCAGCTGCTACAGTAGAGGTCCTGTTCGCAAATTAAAAACATTAAACCAATTTAAAGGAAACTTCAGCTATTATGTTCTTTTTCCTTAATTTTTATTTTAGATTGAGACCTATTTATACTGCGCCAGTTACCATAATATTAATAGAGCTTATTACCATAATTAATTAAACATCATTGCCGTCAATTATAGCAAGGCGAGCCATTGCGGCTCTCTGATACAATTTATTTTTATTTTATAACCGTCGTTGAACAGCCAACCCAATTTTTGAGTTTACGACTACTGATGTTCAAATGTACTACGCAGAGCTTTGTAATTTTGAAACCAATCCAGAAGACAAGGGAACTCCTGGATCAAATATTAGGAGAAATTTGGCTTCGTGGTGAACTTTTTGATGGAGCTAACCTGCATCTGCGTTACATGGAGAGGAAGATCACGACAACCTCCCACGGTTAGCCTGATGGCTAGGGGACTAACCACTGACTCTAACCACTGAGGATATTTCCCTTCAGTACTGTGGTCGGTGTAAGCCGGATGCGGAGTTCGTATGGACTGGGATTCGAACCCGGTTCGCCTCATTGGAAAGCGAACGCTCTATCCCTGAGCCATTGCGGCTCGTTTAAAATAATTTATATATTTTTTTCTTTTAAAAGATATTCCAATAATCTGAGTTAAATACATTTTTAATCATGCATCATTATTTTAAACTAGAAATTATCTGAAACGCAGCGTGATTTTAGCGTTGGGCTATGAGTATATCTATTTTCTTGGTACATAAAAATTTGATCATTCGATAGCTTCTCAGGATGTTCTACTTCTTTACTGCTTCCTTTTATTTTACTCCGCTTGGTGTTTATTCTAGAAGAATCAATGACGAAAATACTAATAGATTAAAGATAATAGTTTGGGTTGATTTCAACTTCTGTAGTCTTTGTACAAAACTAAAGAATTTTATCACATGCTAAAAATTTATCTTTGCTTAACTATACAAACGCTGCTAATCAATTAAGGTTACGGAAGCTTTCTTTTTGTGGCAGTCTACTATAACAATGTTTTGTCGACACAATAAGAAGAAAAAGACTGTCGTGGATCTTTGGATAAGTGAGAGAAAAAAAGAGTATAGGAATTATGTAACAAATTATTGAATATTTCCTATTTTTGGATTGTGGTATTTTAATCAAAATACATCATGCCTCTGGATGAAGAGCGACCATTACTGCCCTTATTTAGAAAACTCTGGGAACTAGAAAATTCTAGATCGCCTGGTAAGTTCCGCCAATTTCCTTTTCATAGAAGAGTTAATTAGTTGGATCTTAAAAATTCTAGGTCTCCTGCTAAGTTTCGCCCATTTCCTTTTCATAGAAGAGTTAATTAGTTGGATCTTAAAAATTCTAGGTCTCCTGCTAAGTTTCGCCAATTTCCTTTTCATGGAAGAGTTAATTAGTTGGATCTTAAAAATTCTAGGTCTCCTGCTAAGTTTCGCCAATTTCCTTTTCATAGAAGAGTTAATTAGTTGGGTCTTAAATATTCTAGGTCTCCTGCTAAGTTTCGCCAAATTGTTTTCCTTTAAAGAATTATTGATTCTGTCGTGACAATGTTTGATGACGTGGAACTGATACTTATTCTTGTGGTAAACTGAATGATCATTGGCTAACATTTTAACGACTAAAGTTAGTTGATGAACACAATTTCGTAGAGCAGCGTTTCCCAATTTTTTTTCGGCTGTGGGGCCCTAAATGATCGACTTTCTTTTGACTGAACCTCGAGACTTCGTGAATGAAAATTTTAGTCATTGTGAATATATAAATTAACGAAAGATTTCATGTAAAACGTCCTATGTTTAACGAATGTTGTCTTTATGTTTACCTATTTTTCATAAAGTTTTTCATTAATCTAATTTTTATTAATTATTCAGTAAATGAACGAAGAATGAAATTCTTTTATCATTTCGTTTTATCAGTCTTCTAGTTTCGTTTTAAGTCAAACAGTTGAATCATAGATCTGGAGAGGCATCTGGTCTAGTTCTTAAAGTTATTTTAATGCATGCAAAAACAGAAAGGGAATTATCTAAAACAGTGGTTACTAACTGGCGGCCCGCGACGCCATTTTTTTGAGACCGGCGAATTAAATATATTAGTTGTCGTTCGTCTGTGGACAATCTTCGTAAAAAATCTATATGGGTTTAAAATACTTTTCTTTCGCTTAAGAAAACCTAATTTCTTCATTTCTGTAAAATTTAACAGACCAACTATGCAAAAAAAAATTTTTTTCTCAGGTTTTGCGCCCAAGAAAATATTTATTCAAATACAAAAATCATCGTGTATTTTGCTCTTTTATTTCGTATTTTGTATTTTCTGATTATTATTCAGCATGTAAGTATCAGAAATTTACTCGAAGAAATTCTCCAAATTAACTTTTTGAAACTACTCATTTTGGACGAAATTATTAACATTTGCAAACTTTAAAACGCATAAAAGAGGGAAAGAATATCATGTTTTATTTAAATTCCTTGAATTGAATATCGCATGAACGGTAAAGAAAAAAAAAATTTAACTTCTGATGCTCGAGAATTTTTTTTGTTGCTATAATTCCTAATAAGTCGAGAAAAATGTTTTATCAAAGAATTAAATTTACAAGAAAAAAAAAATCTTGTCACTAAGTTTCTGATTAAGATAAGATTCAAAATGATGCGTAACAAGCATTATTTGTAATGCTTGTTATATTGCTTTTTAATTTTAAAAAAAACTTTGATGAAAATCTGATTGTAATATTTAATGTTGCTTCAAACATAAGAGTACCATATAAAATTTTGATTAAAATTGCGGCCCGCCATTTGACTGGTGGTGGTGGAATTGCGGCCCGCTGCCACGTGTAAATTGTAAACTTCTGATCTAAAATATGCTTTCCATTGAAAAACGGAAAAGGAAGAAAATAAACGTTGAGACTGGTTATCAGAGTGATATAAACATTGTTAAATTTGGTTATTTTTTTTCGATGCGAAATACAAATGGAATTTTTCAAAAATGCATATCCTTTTATTATTCATTCATTATATTGTTATTAGAAAAACATTGTTTAGAAATTTCTTCACAAACATTTCAATTAAGTAATTTTATAAAAATACCGTAAATATTAAATATATAATGAATTATCAATTGGATATAAATTAACTACAGATTATAAAAATCGCAACTGATTAAAAAAGTCTTAACTCTCGGAACCCTAGGGTTCCGCGGAACATTAGTTAAGAACCGCTGTAGTTGAGAACATGCTATTATAAATAAATCATGAGTTAATTTGAAATTTTTATTTGGTTTCTTATTATATTATGATTCGATTTTGGTAAAATTTGATGAAAAATATTAATTTTATAAATTTTACTGAGCAATTAATAAAACATCTTATTTAGTTTTCAATTATGACTAAGGTACTGTAATCATTCACGCAGCAATTTATTTTTGAAACATTAAACGTTTCAACTTTTCTTGTAGTAAAATAATATGGATAAGACTAATTTTTTTAATTTTTTTATTTTATTAAAATGCTTAGTTTATTCACATATCCTTACAATTACTATTTTGAGTTATATCATTAGTCATTAGTTGTCACATCATTTTATTTATCAGTCATTAGTTCTTATAAATATTTCCTTAAATTTAATGCATGATTTATTCTTAAAGCTATAAGGATCTAAATGAAAATCTCAAGTCTTATTTTTTTCCTATTTCAATTTTTTTCCCTTCGGTTTGTCTTATAATTATTTAAAAATTTGCAAATCATCTAATTTAAAGACAATCACTCAAAAACATAAATCATAAATGCTTGAACCACTTTGAAATAGATGAATTGTTTTTATTTAAAATAACATCAATTTTTATATTTTTAATTTTGTAAAATTGCGTCGAATGTGACGACACATGAAATTTTTGAAGCAGCCATTGCATTGTATTATGAATTGCATTTTCATAATAATTAAATTTTCTTTCTCAAAACAGCGTTTTTTTTAATTTTATATATTTTTTTAAAATTAATTTTAAATATGGCTGGTAACAGCTCAACACATTCGTCGCGTCTATAGCTGGAATTTCTAAGTTGTAAGTAAATTCGTACTTCAAGTTCACTCGTTCTAAGCAGAGAGCAATAGCTCATCTTTAACGTTATGCGTTCCAAGTAGATTGTTTGGCAGCATAGTTTTGAAAAATATCATATGTTTGTGAAGACTTTTGCTTCATTTCCTGAGGAAAATTATTGAAATAAAGTTAAGAAAATGTTTCATAATCTGAGCATTTGTTTCCTTTTACGTTGTTTTTAATAAAAATTTACACGATTTTGAAAATTTATCATTTAAAAACAACCTGATCTTTGAGACTGAACGTATATGTCCCAGTAGCATTTTTTCTTCTTTTTCATGGGTCAATAGTCGCTCAATGACTAATCAATGCAATTTCTCAAATCCTAATGCGACAGGTGAGTCTAGATTTTTTTTCAAAAACTTATTTGTTACATTATGAATTTATAAAATGTGCTGCCAAAGGAAAAACTTCCTAAAAAATTTAAAATTGGTCTTGTAAAGGGTTAAAATTATGTGTCATGATTTGGGACAATTTTACTATGGTTAAAATTTAAGTATGTCAAATTAGTTTTAAAAAAACGTTCTTCACCTACTACAATTTTTATAATTTAGGTGAAATTGTTATATTTTACTCTAGCATTAAATAACTGACTTTAAATAAATGTCTTAGTATAAAAAAAGTAAAAATTAAAGAAAAAATTGAAATTAAAAAACTAAAATTAATTCTTAGCCATTTGGTTTAAATTTAAAATTGCTTAAAAATAGCAAGTAATTTACAAGTTTTTCGTGTTTTTTTTCCTTGCAGGTACCAGCTGGCCTGTCGCCTCTTTTCTTCTGGTCAATGCCGCCCTCGGAGCCGGTGTCCTCAATTACCCTTATGCTTACGATAAAGCGGGAGGAGTATATTTCGCTGCATTTTTACAAGTCGTAAGTAAACAGCTCTTTTTCTTTTCTAAATATTCTTCTTACATAAGAGTATTTAATGTTTCACAGTTACGAAAGAAAATTATACCCGCTCTTTATTCTAAGATCCACTAAACGATTTCTTGTGAATTAAGCAGCAATTCGCAACTCTAGACGAAGAGATTGGTATGTCTAACACCGTGATTTAATTGGATACCTGTAAGCGACGTCACGCGTGTGTGTCAAACCTGATTGGCTTCTGAATCACACAAATGCCAGGATTTACCTACTATGACGTCACTTGCTGGTATCTTATTAGTGTATGTACTGCTGTTTATTTCATGATAAACCTTATTTGATTTATGTAAAATATCCACTGTTCCCGATACAAATTAAAATGGAATGCAAGTGTAAAATCAGTAAAGGAAAAATATTGCTCTAGAATTACTTTTAATTTAATGATTGGATTTCCACAGATTAAAATATTCAAACTTAAGGATTCGCAATTCAAGGATGCTATTTGGGAAATATGTTTGGACAAAAATAAATTTCAGCTTTTGGAATCTCAGAATATGAAACGTTGCCAGAACTGGGAGATTGTAGTGTCATTACTTTTAGAGAATCAAGACTAGTTGAAAGTTCTGTATTCTTTGTTCAGAGGATGCTATACCGCGAGAGAAACTTTTGATGGCATAATGTGTCACCTGCATTTGTAATTTAAAGTTTAGCGAAAAGTAAATTTGGGTAAATCTCGAGTAAATCCTGAAGTTTCTAATGCTGAAAATAAATGTTTTCAAAACAACGAAATGCAAACAAAGTATCGCAGGATAACTTCCCCAATGTTTAGTCCTAAATAATCTTGCCATATTTAGGGTGCATTTTGATATTTTGAAGGAAAAAAAATCAGCATTTAAAACTTCCTTGTTTGCATTAGGTTTATCTGAATTCTTTTTTTTTATACTTCAAATTTTAAAATACTTATGTAATTGCAAGAGAATTTACCACGGCGAGATCACTATTGAGGTATAGCGTCGTTTTAATATTTTTACTATTCGCGGTTTTCTACATACCTCTAGCATTAATCAAACAATCAAAATATGTATCTTTTTAACAAAATCCATTTAATCAAAGATTATCTCGAGCAAAAACACTTCAATTATTGTAAAGTTTCATATATAATTTAAATAATTATCAGAACAATTTTAAACTGGTTAGTAATAAAACTGCTAATGTTTCTTAAACTGTTATTTTATTTCGCAAAATCTAAATTGTGAACACAGTCGATTAAATAGTTGCTGAGAACTCATATTTTAAATGCATTTCCATTTCTCACAAAAATTGTATTTTAATTTTTTATAAATTTGTTCTGAGATTTAGTACAAATTTTTGTTGCCGTCATTTAACTTTATGTATAGTAAAGTTCTATTTGTTTTTCGAATATTACTAAAATATTAATGATAAATAATAAAAATAGTCATTTGAAATTGATTTGGTTGCTTAAAATATCGATTGGACTTAACCACTGTGGCCAGAATTGCCGCATTTTAATCCCACACCCAGGGGCCCCCATCAGGGGGGAATACTTAAATAAAAGAAGCAACGTGACACTATTTCGAACAAGCTAACATGGAAGGGGGAAGTTAGCAAATTTTTTTTGGGGGGGGGGATCAATGCACCAAAGAGCTTGGGGGGGGGCCGCTGCCCACACCTCACATTTGAGAACTGATGGCCAGAATCCATAAGAAATGACTCTTGTAGAAATTTAATAGTAATGTAACTCTTAGATAGCCCTAGTCAATTAAAATATTATAATTGTGCCCTTGTAGCAATTAAGATTACATCTAAATACGTGAAAATTCGATCATAAGATCAAGAGTTAACTATACTTTTTTTTCTTCTTATATCCACGGTATAATTTCCAGCATAATAAGATATGAAACATTTATTCGTTTCTTACTGTACTGGCACACTTACCAAAAATTATGGGGGATATAGAAGAATAATTCTCCATTTTGAATTATGTAAATCAGATAATAATTATGTAAATCAGATATGGTAATATGTATACGAATTTATCAAAGTGCCAAAATTAAAGTAAATTGATATGCAAATTCTTTCGAGTGTCTTAAGTCTTATAATTTTATTTTCGTGCCCTGTAAATGCCATCCCTGGTATAACGTTTAAGAGATTTAAAAACAAATGGTTCATTGCTATGAAAACATTATAAAAACATTCCACGTACAAATAATTTATTTTCCTTAATTACTCAACTGAAAGAGAAATTGGGAGAAATTTGTCTTCGTGAAGGACTTTTTAATGGAACTATTGTTGCTCTTGCATGCCATAAAGGCAAAAGGGGTGTGCTTCTTGTTTTCCAATGACGTCATCTATAACCAAAAATCTGACTTCTGCCACGCATATACGTCACTACCCGTTCATAGGGCGGACCTATTCATACATTCACAGATCGTGATTTTGACCTGAACCAGAGCATGATCAATCTCCATTCTGTACCCCCTAGAGCAGGGATGGCGAACCAATGGCACGCGACGCAATATTTTGGGCACTCCACCGATCACAAATGTTGTTACACTATGAAGTATATGCAACAATTAAATTAAAATTCGCAAAAAATAAGCAAAATAATAAACAATATTAATAAAAAAATTAAAAATTAATGCTAAAAATACAATAACCATAAAAAACAAGCTAACAATAAATAACTAGCAAAAAAAAATAACAGTCCTGCTTAAACTAACATCTTACAACCTAATATAAGTTATTTGTCATCCAATCTGCAACAACAGAAGTCACACTGATGTTACTTGAAGGATGAATTACGCGTATAACTGAGATATTGCAAATGTATTTTTTTTTCAATGTAAATAAAAAGTTTTGAGTTGATAGTATGTAGTATTATTATTTTCCCAATAATCACGAAGTCAAAATTATTTGACGGCACGTCTATGACCTCATTAAGCAATTTTTTAGAGAAAATGGCACGTTGGTGTATAAAGGTTCGCCACCCCTGCCCTAAAGGGACTCGAGCCTATAATCCGTCTACCACTGAGGATATTTCAAGTCAGCACTGTTGTCGGTGCAAGCCGAATGCGGAATTCGTATCGACTGAGATTCGAATCCGGTTCGACGCATTGGAAGGCGAACGCTCTATCCCCAGAGCCATCGTAGCTCTCATTTACTATGTTTTATTTCATAACCGTCGTTGAACAGCCTACCCATTTTTGGTTTTACGACTACAAAATGTCAACTCCATAACCTTGTAATTTTGAACCAATCCAGAAGACAAGGAAACTCCTGGATCAGTACACCCTGAAGTATTGATTTGTTATGGGAACATAGAGAACTTTGTAACTTGACAGATTTAACGTGCATCAGTCACCATTTACTGTCACCATAAGAGTCTTCGGCAGGCTGGGATCGAACCCTCGAACTGTTGGACATGGGCCTAGTGCCCTACCAACCAGGCTATCCCTGCCTCCCAATTACTATATTTGAAATAAATCCTAAAAACACATGAAATTCTAAACTTAATGAACACATACGCTATGTTTTTATACTGTATATGTATGTCAATATGAGCACAAAGTTGGAAACCATAAGTCTTCTATGTTTCATTATAGATTATGATGTTCATTTTAATCTGCACTATGTTAGTGCTGGTGCACAGCGCTGACGTAAACCGTGACACCACGTACCACGACGTCCTATTGTCTTTATGTGGCAGGAGAGCGCAGCAGTGTGCCGCTGTTTCAATTCTCCTAACATGCTACGGAATATGTATCACTTTTTTAATCATCATCGGAGATCAATACGATAGATGTAAGTCAAATCCTTTATTTAAATATTTATTTTATAATTATTATTAATTGAGGTTTAAAATTATAATTTATCTTGCATTAAAGTTGATGATTGACTAAAGAACCACTGTGACTTTCCCAAAGAAGGCATTGTTCCTCTGGATCTTTCGATTTCAAGCAATTTTCGATATTTTGTATATAATTTTAAAAAAATTTTCAGATTTTTCAAAATTATTAGAGAAAAAAAAAAGTTTTTTTTTACCTCATGTAACCTAGCTTTTTATTCATTTTTTTAAAAGAAAAAAGCAGTCTTAACTTTCCTTCAGCATTAAAATGCTTTTAAATCAAAATGTAAATTATACTGATGTTATGCTTTAAAGGGATTCAGAACAAGAAAGATAGGAATTTCAGTAAGATCAATCAGAACATTACATAGTTATAAGGTTGGCCCTGGTATACCATGGAATGGAAGCATAAATAATATACACCATATGGTATACATGATCATATAATAAGTTTAATGCCCCCTTTCTTTTCGTACGCTTAAATCTTGTTTAAGGCATTGTTTTTGTATTGAGAAGTATTTATAATACTGAAATAAGCTTTCAATATTTTCTTTTTCTTTGAAATTACAAAATGGAGCATTTTTAAATACTGCACATTCGTGAAGTAAAAAAATTTTTTTTTCTTTTTAGTTATATAAATTTCGTTCTCTTGCCAATAATCAGTGTTTTTTTTCTTTGCAGTGTTTTTGTCATTATTTGAAAAAGAATTTTGCATCAGTTGGTATTTGGATCGGCGTTTCACCATAGCAATTACGGCTTTTATTTTCATTCTGCCCATGTGTTACTTCCAAAGGTTGGATTTTCTAAGATATGCCAGGTGAGTTACGTCATTTCGTTCTTTTTCTGCTTACTTTTATATCATAGATTCTCAGCCTTTTAAACGTTGCCGCCCCCTTAAAGGGAAAAAATCATTTCAACGCCCCCCTTTGTGAAAATCCAGTTTTTTTTACGCGTTAAATTTGTTTAGTTCTTTTTAAAAAAATTTAATGTGTACGTTAACTCGATACTTTTATCCCGGCAGGTAATCGCAGTCTATTTGTCATAATCAAAATAATTACGGTGATGAAAAAAAAATACTGTGCTTAAAAAGAGTCATTTTTTCTTAATTAGATAATTAAAAAAACACCCAAAAATATTTTTTTTACATTAAAAAGTAGTATCAACGAAACAATCAAGTAATTACGTCAGTGGGATGATTGTACTTGATGGTTCAGAGCCAGTTTCTTTACATTCTGTTCAATATTTTCAGTGAGGTGAAGACAGAAGTCTCTTAGTAGCACGATCTCGAGTCGATTTCTCTTTTTTGTGACTAGATAGCACCGAATATACGTTCGAAAAGGTGGAGAAGGAAGGCCGATTAAAAAATTTTTGACGATATTCCACCGACCAGGGTAGAGGCGACTGATGTTACCTTGAAACAAAACTTTTATGAGACGATCACCATTTCAATTTTCAAAGCTTTATTAGTTGAAAGTTCAACCAATTCCTCCTGAATGTGAACCTCTGTTGATTCAATCACAAAAGGGTTCATAACCATTGAGGAACTTCCAGGGACAAAACAGCTTTGAAATGGTCAGAAAAGTTCATGTGCAAAGAGTCAATGTGTTGACAATATTCTTGTGCATCATCAGGGGTAATTTCTTCATTCTTTTTAAGATATGATAAGATTGGAAATTGCTGAACTCATTCCTACCAAAATTCTGCCTCTACAAAATGAGTTTTCTTTGAAAGGTAGAAATAGCTGATTTTGTAGGGATCAAATTCAGCTCGTTGACTTGAAATTGTAAATTAAAGCCATTAAATTTTGCTAATAAATCCGCCAACGTCTATCTTGAATTCTAGCAATCTGTCTCTCAGAACTACATCTCTGTCTTCGAGGAACTCAAGAACAGAATTGAAAGGATTCCAAAACCTATTGAGATATGCACCTTTGGAAAGCCAGTGAATCTCGGTGTGTAAGTAGCAAGTGATATTCTTGATCGTTTTTCTTACATAGCTGTCTGAATAATCAATCGTTGAGAGCATTACTGCGAATTTTGTTCGCAGCAGGTATGACACATTGCTATGACTGATGCAAATTGTCACTTTTATTTTTTCCTACTTAACGCTGTCTGTGAATCACGCAGTGAACAGCTGAAATATCTGATAACCTCGATCCACTCTTAAAAACGGCGATAAACCCACCATGTCGATCTACTATTGCAGGAGCTTCGTCAGTGGCAACAGACTAAACATTCGTAAGCGGAATGTTTTGCTCCTTAAAATAATATTTGACAGCATTAAAAGTATATTCAACTTTGGTATCTACCATCAAGCAAAAAGCATTTCCTCAGTAATTTTTCTTTCCTTCACAAACCGGACGTAAGCCTACATTACTTGGCAAGGTTGATTCATCAACTAGAAAGGAAAATTCGTTGGATATCAAAAGTTTGCATACGGAAACTTCAACGTCTTCAGCCATCTCATCAATTCGTTGCCACACTATATCGTTGCTTAATTGGATATTTTTTATTAAATTGGATGAAGCTGGGTGGTGTGAAACTGTTTCTAAAACTTCTTCGACAGCCGGGAATATCAACTCTTTGCTGATGGTATGAGCTTTCCCAAATTTAGCAATAAATTTTGATATATTATTAGAGGCAATCAAACCTTCGTCGCATTTTGTCGTGATGAGGTTGCCAGTGAGCCTGAGGCCGAAAATGTCTTCAGAAACTTGTCCTTGATGTTCGGGAAGAATGACAAATCTTTATTTTGTTTGTCAGGATGAATTTTTTGCAAAAGCTCCCACTAATGAGAAGGTTCCATTGCTTCATTAGATTAAACTTTGTTATGAAATAAACACATGGTTAGTTGAAAGTTCGACAGCGATTGAACATATCCAAACTTCAAGTACGTGACACTGTATTGATTTGTTGTGGTTGTAGTTAATTTACGTCGCACTAGAGCTGCACAATGGGCTATTGGCGACGGTCTGGGAAACATCCCGGAGGATGATCCGAAGACATGCCATCACAATTTTGATCCTCTGCGGAGGGGATGGCACCCCCGCTTCGGTAGCCCGACGACCTGCGCGCGAAGTCGAGCACTTTACGGTAGCACAGTTTAACGAGGACCAATACCGCACACCCTCGGTCCCTACGCAGACTGATCCAAGCGGTCATCCACCCCCACACTGACCGCAGCCAGTGATGCTAGACTTCGGTGATCTGCTGGGAACCGTGTCTTAACGATCAGTCCACTGCGGAACTTGACACTGTATTGAAGACACTTATTTATGTTAACCGACAATGTTGGTGGCAGCAAAATACAAACGATGAAAGAAAATCAACATTTCTTCAAATTAATAAACAATTTACGATAAAGAACTAATTCACCCACGTACCTGGCCAAATATACAATGAAATCGAATCGGAACTGGGGAAAAAACTGTAAGGAAGCAAACTAAAACCATCATAAGAAACACGTGTCAAATCGGACAAAAAGTGCATGCACTTCAATTTCCACTAAATGGCTTGAATGAGTCAGTGGCAAAAAGTACTGACTCATGCGCTGCGCTGCGCTGTGCTGGTTCGGATCGGAGAATAGGTGAATCCGTTTTATTGCTAATACAAATAGTGTGTCAGATAATCTTAATTTATTATATTAATTTAATCTTTTCTTTAATATTAATTTTAGATTAATTTTATTTATTAAATAAATCTTAATTTAATAATTTTATATATTGGAGTTATAAAGTTAAATTAGAATAACAAAACAAGCTCATGGCCCCCCTACTGCCCAAAACATACTCAACGCCCCCGTACCGCCCAAATCAAGTCCTCCGCCCCCGTTGAGAAACAATGTTTTATATTATGCAAGCTTTTTTTTACTTACTTTTATGCTTACTTTTACAACTTTTTTTCTTATTTTGCACGAAATTCTTGCTTTAAACTCAGTATAGCTATTTTCTTAATAAAAAAATAAATTATTCTAAATTTAAAATGGCGCTGAAAAAGAATAAATTAGAATAAAAAAAAAAATTTTTTTTTCAATTTTCAAAAGTCAACAAAAATTGTAAAAATTTTTTAAAAATGTGATAAATATAATAAATACTTCATGTAATAAATGCTTGTTTTGTTGTTTTCGATATACTTCTCGACTCATTTGCAGTACAAGAAAGTCTCATTTTATTTATCACTCGAAGTTCAATGTACAGTGCGCAAAAAAAAAAGGACTAAACTGCATAACTTTTGATCTAATCTTTACGTTCTAGGGACTCAATCTTAATGATTAAAAGGGGTGACTTCAAATATGCTAATTAATAAGTGCAGACGATAATTTATGCTACGAAATCAGACACAAAAACGTATTGTATTATCCCTGAATAAATATCCCCTTTTTCATTTATTTATTTTTTAACGGATTCGGATTTCTGACCTCCAAAATGTAGGAGTTAGCCGCAAGAAAATATGGTCCCAATATTTCGGTGAAAGCGCTATCCAAATTTTGGACCTCTTAACGTATTAATTTTAGTTTTTGCTTAACTTTTTAAGCGATTTTTTTTTTTTTTTTTTGCATACAATTATAAAATTTGTTCATCCAATGATAATTCCGTGCGGGAAAAAAAATCTTTTAGTGAATATATTTATTATTTTTAATTTTATTTAATAATGGTCGAAATGTTGAATGGTAAGGTACACAAATTTTTATCATTTTAAAGAACATATTTTTACAAGGCAAAATACGAAATTTGAGCAAAATTGGTCGAATAGTTCCTGAGAAATCGAATTTTAATTAACTCTTATGCTTAAAATTTTTGAAATTCAATTTCTCAGGAATTAACAGATTTTGTTCAAATTTTGTATTTTTCCATGCAAAATTATATTTTTAAAATGATGCGGAAAATTGTATGCCTTACAATTCAAAATTTATTCGACCATTATTAAATAAAATAATAAATATTTACTAAAAGTTATTTTTCGCATGGGATTATCTTTGGATAAACGTGTTTATATTAATTGTGTGCAAAAATTTTAAATTTTGCTCAAAAAGTTCTTCAGATATAGCGAAATACACAAAAAATTTAAATTATCATTAGGGGTTAAATTTTTGGAGCGTCCTCTTGACCAAACTATTGGGACCATTTTTCCCCGATTGCGGCTACCTCTCCTATATTTTGGGGTCAGAAATTTGAATCCGTCGAAAAGAAAGATAGGTTTATTCTGAAAAAGTACGCTTTTGTGCCTGATTTCATAACTTAAAATATCATCTGCACTTATTAATGAACATATTTTCGGTCACCCCCCCCCAAACCATGAGGATAGAGTTCTAGAACGTGAAGATTCGATCATTAGATTAAAAGTTATTCAGGGTGGTACGTTTTTTTCCCCGCATTGTTCAAGAAGAAAACAAAAAATCCTAGCTTTTGTTTTAATAAACATAAAGGCATCATTTTGTCACCATTTCGTAACGAATTCTTTCTTTTCAGTGCTCTAAGATTAGCGTTACAATTGGAACATCGCGAAGTTAGCCGCCAATATCATGGCACTATACTAATGCTCTATTTTCTGTATCAATTTCTTTTTTAATTGCAATTTCTTGTTATAAAATTATTTGAAAAATCTTCGTCTTTTATGAATTAGCTAGCTCTAAAACTATTCTTTTTTCCCCAGCACTCTTGGAATATTTGCGATGTTGTATCCTGTCTTCCTCACAGTTTATGAATATTACAAATTAGGCGCAACGCAGGCTGGAAAAGTGAAAGTCTTGTAAGTAATAATTTTTTTTACTATCATTCTAAAATGCAATATATTCAATATAACCCTACAATGTATGGTACTTGCTCTTGCATTATATTCATGTTGCAAGAACAAAATAACACTATGGTCCTGCAGTGTTTAAGTCCCGATTAACACTTTAGTCTTAACTGAGCAGCCCCAGTTAAGCATTCTATTAATTTGTCGACGTATTTCTTTCTCCTGACCTTTTCCATTTCATTTTAAACTTCTTCTGCGCATTATAATAGGGGCGTTGGTTTTTCTGTTTTTAGTGTTTTCTTTTCCTCTACTTGCTTTTGAAGTTGATGCTTGACCTGTGACTTAGTGAGTTTTTATTTTTCTGATAATTTTGATTGATTTTCTTTTCTTAATTTGTTAATTATTTTGAATGTATCTTGTTTTTCCTGGACCTCTATATAAAACTATCGGGGTACTGTGGGAGATTTTTTAAGCATTTGCTTCGCCCTCAATTAGAAATGGTTTTGTTTTTAATGGCTACCGAGGCCGGTACCCCCTGAAGACGTCGGCTTCGGTGGTCATATTTTTATTTTTATTTCATTCGTTTCTTGTATATGTTTATGTCCTTTTTCTTCTTCATTATTTGTAATCAGCAACAACGATGTCTTGTGTCCTACCCTTGCACCAATAGAATCAGCTACATTGTCCAAAATAAAAAAAATTCATTAAAATTAAAAAATAAATATTTGAACTCACCTGGTGTTTGCATCAAAACCTTCAATTTTCAGGCCGGATGGTCTGTTTTCAGTTAATGTTCTTACCTTGACCAACAATGATATCCTGTTTGCCAAGGTCCTTACAATTAGTTAGATCCACTTTTTTTTAAAAAATCCTTCAGAGGAGTTACATTCTGCAAGGAATCACTTGTCCCACAACCCAGAGTAATTAAGACCCCCCCCCCCCNGAATTAGTTTACAACGACATTTGATTTGTTATCTTGAGTGCACATTACATTTTAAGTTAAGCTCTGTATGAATAGAAGATTCCAGTGCCTTTAAACTCTCCCTTTTTTCCCAAAGAAAGCAAAGACTAAAAGACATGATACAAATTGCTGAACGATTTGGATACAAGTATCTTTTAAATCCCTTTTAGAAAAAGCAAAGATGCTTATAGGTATTTTCTATCGTTTCTTAGTTCGGATGATCACCGATGACCACGCAAAAAGTACATCTCAACGAAAAAAAAGTTATAAAATTTCATTAAAATCATATTTTCAGTTTCAGTTTCTTTGCTTTCGTTTATAATTTATAAATAAAGTAAATTATGATTTTTCATATTCTTCAAGAAATGCATCAAAACATAAATTAAACAGAAGTAATGATCAGAGCCTGACTAAGACAGGGGCATACGGGGCAGTTGTCCCGGGCCCGAGCATCAGAGGGGACCCCAAATCGAATAGAAAGTTTATTTTACGTTTCCTTTTTTAATGAACTTTTTTTTTTAAACGAAATATCAGAACAGTGTAAAATCCGTTAGTTTTATAGTAGCGTCTTCATTAATCTATCGTATGAACACAAAAAATCCATGGCTTTCTAAGGCAAAATTTAGCAAAATTTTCGAAATTACGATAGGCAAATTTGGCGAATCAAAAGCCTGTATTTTTACATATCGCAAAATGTCTGATAGGCTTAATTGAGCCATCGTAATTGCGAAACTTTTGATTAATTCCACCACAATGTCAGTAAGGATATGTATTTTTTGCAGCTAGATGACAAAGTTAACAATCAGAAAATTGCATTCGGCATGATGGACATAGAATTGTCAGAAAATCAATAAAATGGACAGAAAGATACTTCGCCTGACCACTACTGTTATTGGACTTCATAGCTATTTTAGGTTCTCGTCAATTTTGTTATATGGGTGATTCTCACGAAACATGAAATTCACTGTCCCTTGCTCCCAAGATCTAATACTATAATACTAGAGGAACTTTTTAAAAAAAAAATTAATTAATAGCATTGCTGTTAGCATTTTAAAATGACTTTGCACTAGCATTGACTGTTTTGTATACTTAAAAAATTTAATTGAATATCAAAATGTCATTTTCCTGGCATGTCCCAAACAATATTTCCAATAATAACTAGCTTCAAAACTTCCCATACATTTTTCAAAATCTAATTTTTTTTATCTTATCCTATGTAAGCATTTCTAGAATATACGCAGAGGGTATTGTTTACTAAAACTTCGTTTAAAATAATTTTTTCTGTCAATAATTTGTTTGTCCCATGAAAATCTGTCATTTTCCTGGCTACTTTTATTTAGTGATTTATAACCAAAATAGATAGCGCCAGGAATCAATATCTTATGTTAATAGATTGATTAGATACCCTCCTATCTGAACATGTCTTGTTGCATGAATAAAGAACCAATTTTCTGGCTCAAAATCTATTTCAAAAAATTTTTCAAGGTGAGTAGGTTTTTATGCTGTCATTTTCCTGGCTTCTTGAAATCATTAATAACAAAAACTACATAGATTTATCTGAGTTATTTTAAGAAATACTGTTGTTTTCTGCAGAATATAAACGTCTTCGGCCAAAATATTAAATTAAAGTAAAGTTATATGCTATAAAATGGCGAATTTGTCATTATCCTGGCTGTCATTTTCCTGGCTTATGAATGCCAGGACATTGAAGTGTTACCAGAAATTCTTTTTAACTGCTAATACTGTAAAGAGGGAAAGCAAATATTAACCTAATACCAAGTTTATGTATGATTGTAATATGCTTGGATGTAATCAAAGTTATTTATTTATTTAATGATTGATTATTATACACAATTTTATTCTGTACATATCAGCAACAAAATTTTTTTTGTTTCTTTCTACAGTGGATAAAAAGAATTAATTTAAGCAATTTATGGTCCATCTAACATAAAGGCTTAAGTTGAGTTACTTACTATTAACTTAAAATGACTGTTTTTTAAACTTCTAATGTAATATGTCATTTTCCTGGCATTCAAGATTTGGTGAATTTCTATTTTATTTTTTTTCTCGAGCAAATGTCAATAAACTACACTGCTGTCTATAAGATATTAATAAGTGTAGCTAAAGAAGTATACAAAAAAAATTTAGATTATTTTGAAGACATTTTTTGGTCCGAATTGTCATGTTTTGTGAGAATCACCCATATATCAATAATGAGGCGAAAAATTTAAATACCTCCGTAAAGTTCGGCTCTTCATTACTGAAATAGTGAAGCAGAAGGGGGCCCCAAAGAAGTTTTTGCCCCGGGCTCCAATTAGGCTAAGTCGGGCCCTGGTAATGATATAGTTTAAAAATCAAATGTGCAATAGGTCACTTATACTTTAGACAAAATACATTTGATTTACTTTAAATGGCCGAATGCAATTTGAGTAAGGTGCTACCAAAACAACAAACTAGGCAATTGTATTCCCGTCAAATAAAGTACCCAGTTAACAAAAAAAAAGGGGGCTGTCGTACATAACTTTTGTTCTAATAATCTTATTTTGACATAATGAAATCGGACAAAGGATTACTAATTAGTCTTCATTACGGATCAAATAACGAAAGTGTAAAAACGTACTTTCAGTGAATGAACATACACTTTTTCTACAGATTTGGATTTTTGACTTACCAAATATAAGAGTGGATAGCTATGATCTGGAAACAATAATCTAAATAGTTTATCTAGATGAGAGGTCAAAAGTTAGGGTCCTTTGATGTTAAATTTTTTATTTTCGTATTTCGCGATGTCTTGGCATTGAAGTGGATCGAAACATTTTTTACGCACAATTATAAAACTCATTTATTCAAAAATAATTCCATTCAAAAAATAATTTTTAATAATTATTTCATTTCATGGTGCCGTTAAAAAAAAATTTTTTTTTTATCGTAAAGTACACTAACTTATACTTACTTTAAAACTATAATTTTAAATGACAAAATTCTGAATTTATTTATAAGGCATGGAAACACTGGTTGCAAACAGCGAATTCACTTAATTTTTCTCTTTAAATTTAACTTAAAAATATTTTGTTTTTGCGAAGATTATTATTGATGTATCATATAATATTAATGTATTTTAAAAAGTATTTTTAATATTTTTTTTGCAACCTTAACTTATATTTATACCTTTCGTTCTAGCCCAGATAGTGCAGTGCAAGTTTTTGTTGTTATACCAGTCTTTTCCTTTGCATATCAGGTAATTATATTAATTAGATTTTGACACGTATTTGGTTTGAGTTGGAGAAAAAAACGTAAAAATATAAATTGTTTTATAACTTTGTGATTAAATAAGTAGTGGTTAAACCTTCATAAAACCTCATTTAATCAAAATTCATGCCACTCTTGACTCGATACGTCGAAATAATAAAGTTTGGCTCAAAAGCCACAATTTGCAGAACACTTAAACTGTTAAATAATATGAAATTTTTTTTTCAAAAATTACGGACAGCAACAAAATAAGCAACGACGAATCATGACAATGCTTAATAACCATGAAAACTGCATAGTATGAACCATGAAAATTGCATTTGCAATTTCCATGGTTCGTAAGTTAAGTCTTAAATATGCGAATGTGTCCAAACGAAATTTTAAAATACGAAATCAGACACAATAAACTACTTTCGCTGAAAAAAAAGGCACCACTTTTTTTTCTACGGGTTTAAGAATTTTGACTCTCATAAAAATAAGGGTTGGCCGCACTCTGGGAAATATAGACCCAATAGATTTGACGAAAGTTTGAAACCTTTAATACTTTTGCGTATTCCTCTATTTATCCAATTATGCAAGCCAATAAAAAATAAAGTTGCGCTTACTCTTAGAACTTGTTTATTCAAAGAAAACTTCGCACGAAATGCTTTAATATTTTATGATATTTAACATGATTGAAAAAAGTTTTAATTGAAAGGCATACAAATTTTTACGTTACTTTAAACAATGCTTTTTAAATTACAAAATTAAAATAGGTCAAATAGTTTCTGAATAAAAAAATTTCCAAGATGGTTCTATTTTTAAGCTACCATTAAACTATTCAACAGCATAGACTCAAACTCACATAGTTTAAAACCATATAAAATTATATATATATATATATGCATATGAAACTGGTTTGAAACTAAAACCGAAAGGAATAATTTTATCTTTGTTAGACATAAAACAAATAACTTATTAAATCATGTTCGGCGTATATGAGGAATTATTCAGTTTGATAGTGGACAACAGTGGTTACATCACACGTTTTTCATTTTAAACCAACCAACTAAACAATATTTACTCCTTTTTTAATCTACATAAAAACTTTTAGTTTTTAATAATTTTGTTTTATTATATTTTCTCCCTTTTTAAAAAAAACTAATGCAGTATTTTCGAGTGTAAAATAATTAGTGTCTTGATAATTAATATAATTGTTACGAAAAAGTCTAATGGGAGCAGAAAGTTGAAAACTATTTATTCTAATAGCACGCATCTTAGAAATTTATGTTTAAGTACTACTCTTAAAACTCTGTCAAAAAGAGGTAAAACCGTGTGTTTGGCGCAGTATGTCCTTTTTTGGACCTTGTGCCACTAAACCACACATTCAATTCAATTCTGTCAAAAAGTGGTCTAAAATTGTTGATTAGAGAATAATCCCTGCCCTAATCTTTCCAAGCTTACATATTTTAAATAATGCCATATAAACAGACAAATTGAAGGGTTAATTTTGTGCAAGTGCTATTTTCACTTTAAATTTGTTCATTAGAACAAATTAAACCTATTTGCTTAAATAATATTCATTATAAATATAATTACATTCATTATATGTTCTTTCAGACTCATGAAATTGTTGTTCCTGTGTATGCTTGCATGAAAGAAAGAAACATACGAAATTTTACAAAGGCAACATTTTTGGCCATGGGAATCCTGTTCTTCATCTATTGCATGGCTGGAAGTTTTGGTTACGTAACCTTCGGCAGCAATATTGCTCCTGACATTATGGAACAGTACAATGCAAGAGATCCCATTGTGCTAGTAGGGATAGGAGCACTGGTGATAAAAATGATTACTACATATCCTCAGCTTGTTCTTTGTGGCAGGTGAGATTTTTTTTTTGTCTAAATGAAATACTACAAAGAAATCTTGATAATCCATTATCCATATGAGTTTGTGTTGTTTGTGGCTTTGTCCACGTAAAATTTTTGTCCCACAATTTGTAACCAGATAACCCCTTTTTTGTTTTCGAATTACAGCCAAAAGTAAAAATTTTTTTTTTTATTATTTCCCTTTGTAATGTCAAAACTATTAATAAAAACGTCAATTGCCAATGAATGTTAGGGGCTAACACATAGCGCCTCGAATTTCGTGAATAACTTCAAAAAATATGAATTCTTCGAATAATTCTGTAGGTATAATTAAGTTTGTTAGTTACACATTTCCTCAGAAATGTGATGTTGTTTAAAATTTTTGCTAAAAGAATTCATATGGATATCATTGTAATCAATAAGCATATTGAAAGAAATCTAATTCCCTCTATTGGTCATCCTGAAGAAATTCATATCTTTGCCAGGTCAGTGTGATTCGTGGATCGAATTATAACAAAATGGAAGATTTAGGATTAGACTTGTTTGTCTTGATGAAACTGTGCGAGGATGAGAGCTACCAGAATATTTTCACACACTACATTTTATTCACTGTTTTTTCTTCGATCAAAAGCTNGGGGAATTTAGACGAGAGAATTTTTTTTTTAAGTACATTAATAAAAGCAACTGGCCATTTTCAGTCATACATAACTTGACTACAGGATCAAGGTCTGCATTTGTCATATTATGAGTAGAATGCAAGCAAAGTAGCACTATTTTGAACAAGCTAACATGGAAGGTGGAAGTTAGCACATTTTTTTTGGGGGGGGGGATGAATGCTCCCAAGAGCTTGAGGGGATGGGGGCCACTGTTCATATGGATATCATTGTAATCAATAAGCATATTGAAAGAAATCTAATTCCCTCTATTGGTCACCCTGAAGAAATTCAAATCATTGCTAGGCCAGTGTGATTCGTGGATCGCAGGGACGTAGGTAAGGGGATGTTCAAACACCCCCCCCCCATTGTACAGAGCAATGCTTTTTTTTTTTTTTAATACTATAGATAATTTTTCCTTAATTTTACAAAATTTCTAAATATTTTATTTACTGAAAAAAAATGGAGAATTCCCATGACATTTTATTTTGAGGCTTTTATTAGTCTGTAACAGAAATAAAATAATCACTGCTGCCTCTTTGCTACCCATTCATCAAGAGAGCAACAAACGCTTATCGTCAGTGAATAAATTAGATAGCATCCCTTTCCTCATTGATTTACCACCCACAAAACTTCTCCCCTCAGAAAAGTAGCCAGCCCAGCTCATATTACTCTAAGGGAAAATGTTCTTCCAATGGGTTCTATCTTATCTCATCTACTTTTTAAAATATCGGCTATACACAGATCCTATTTACGGTCATAAAATGCATGCCTCAAACAAAGAATTCTCTTGGATTTCTAGGACTGCATACATATGTTAACCTTTTCAGGACATAAAAACTTCTTTGGCAATTTTTTCGGTCATTCTGTCTGGGAACTTTGTCTTAGACACTCATCCTAAAAGCTCTTAGTTTTAGATTTTTCCTTTTGTTTAATGTAGCATTTTATTTAAAATTTCGTTTTATATTTTCTTTCTGATTAATTTTTATTTGTTAATTTCGTCCGTTAATTTTTAATTTGTATTGTGTTGTTGTTAATTTACGTCGCGCTAGAGCTGCACAATGGGCTATTGGCGACGGTCTGGGAAACATCCCGGAGGATGATCCGAAGACATGCAATCACAATTTTGATCCTCAGCGGAGGGGATGGTACCCCCGCTTCGGTAGCCCGACGACCTGCGCGCGAAGTCGAGCACAATTTGTATTGTGTAATTCTGTTTCTGTAAATAAAATGTGATCTTTCATTTGCTATAAAAAGAACTTGAATCAAAAATATTGGAGGTAAGCAAATATTTGTATTAAATCAATCTTTCCGCATATATGTAACAATGTTTTTATATTTCCGCATGTATGTAACATTTAAACTGTACAACAAATCGATTTATTTAGTAAATTTGATTATTCATGCATAATTTTTTTTTAATTCCCAATTTTTGTTCTTATTTTATGATTATGAAATCGGACTTAAAAATTTTTGAAATTTTAAACTGAAAATTAAAACAAATTTATTATAATTCAGTCAGAATTGAAATATCTATGTTACATTTAATTTTATAATAAAACACAAAAATTTCATAAATGAATAGCTGAGAGTAATTAATCATTCAAACTATCTTAGTATAAATGTGTAAGTGTAACTTAAAGTTTAACTATTTTTTAGAAAATTAAAAAAACTTTCTATTACTACCTTTCCCTTCTTGGGATCTTATTGCAAGGCAAGTTACTTATGATATTGACAAATTTTTAACGATAATACTTCATTGCATAATCAAAAGTAGCGATATAGGTAAGAGTTTTATAAAATTAAAACAAGTGTCAACAAGCCTTTAAATAATCATAAAAATTACTGAAATTGTTTATTAAAAAAACAATTCAGTACTTTCTAAGAATGATTTAAATCAGCTCAAATAGATTTTTTTTTTGTCTACTTAATTTCATATATATTTATGGCAGAGTCGAGACCCCTTTTTCTTTGGCAATTATATGCATAGACCTTGCGAAGAAATCCTTAAAAAAAATATACGCCAACTGAAATTTAGTAAATAATTAATATTTTACCCTAACACAACAGATTAACAGGAAACCTTTACACCCACTTATTAAATAATATCAGTTTAAATTACAAAATATCAGAATAGTATCGAAGAGTTTCTAACCTGTAATGAAAAAAATTATTAAGCAATAATAAATTTTTCGTAATATATTATATATATATATATATCTTTCATGAGTATGTTATTGCTTAGTAATTCTTTATAATGAATGCTGGTTTTCTTTAATTTTAAATGAATAATTTTACGTTTAGCTTAGGAAAATTTTATTAAAATTCAGATCACTTAAAAACCAATCACAAAACAGATATGAAAAATTTATCATTGCAACTGCATTCAATTTTTCATAAATGATCTCAAAATTTTTATTTGTTAACCATAATCTTGTGTAAACAGTGTAAGCAAATAAAATTAACAATAATTATGCTGCACTAAACTAAGTCTGACACTAAGTAAAAAAAGAAATCAAGTTAAATAAAAGACAGGGTGCGTAGCCAACTCTTTGAATCAAAAATAAGCACTTTTTAAAAACTTTTCAAGCACTTTACAAAAATTTTCAAGCACTCAAAAAATTCATATTCAATCAATGATATTATTGAAAAACAAAAACTTTTTATAAACAGTTTTAGCGTTATAAAAAAAACCTAAAAAGAAACGGGCGTAAATCGAAACAATCAGTACTTTCCCACATCACTGAGTGAATTCAACTTGACCCTGAACTCAGAACAAAAGTACCCTTACCCCCTACGTCAAAAAAAAGTGTTAGAAGTAAAATAAAATAAACAAGAACAAAATTAAAAAGAAAAACATTTCATAAGGATCTGATATTCTCTATCCGAATTGGAGCACTCGGGTTTTCGGTTTCAAGTGTGCGCTCATGCGCAAGTCATAACGTGGGTACGACATGAAGTCCGCGTGAATGATTACGTAGCAAACTCCCCTTTTTGTGAAATGCATGGGATCCACCAGACATCACTGAAGGGAAAAACAATTAATCGAAAAAAAAGCACTTTTTAAAAACGCCAGCTAAAAAAAGCACCTTTAAAAGCTTTTAAAAACGAAATCCCCAAAAAAGCACCTTTAAGCACTTTTTACAAACGCTACGCACCCTGAAAAGAGTAAACTACCTTAAAAATAATACTGTCATTCTAAGAGTTTGAAGATATTTTATGCTCTGACTTGAAGTATCGAACGCCTTAATTATGATTTATCGTCAACACAAATTAATGAAAAAAATTTTTGTTTAGCAAAATGTTTTAAGATTATTAAAAATGTAAGGGGTAACATCTATTTCTCTTTAAAAATAAAATTTAAATAGAAATTGCTTTAAAAAATATCATCAAGTCATTATTGTCGTACATGATACAAATATTTAAGATCAGAATGGTAAGAATATTAATTATATTCCATTCTACGGTGAAGCTTAGTCAGGAGTTGAAATATATATATAATATGTATATGTATAAAGTCTTGTGATTAATAACACAAAGATTAACCAAAAATGAAATGGAACATGGAAGTAAAAGCTATAAAATTACAAATTGTAATTTTTCTGGCACTTGAATGCCAAGGAATAATTGCAAACTGCTAAATGCTTGTTAACTATTGTACATTGCTCTCTATAAGGTATTAATTAGAGTTACTTAAATAAACGTGTATGTTTTTTTAAAAAAATATAGTATTCCAATCCAAAAGGTTAAAAATTAAAAAATTCCTATGTGTCGTATTTTCTGAAAATTACCCATATGTTCTACTTCGTAAAGAATAAATTTTTTTATATATTATTTTGGCTGCTAAAACGCATTATAATTTGCGGTGAACCGATGAATTTTTTATTGATATTTAATATGTGAATTTTTGACAATAACGGTGGTTTTGTTTTAATGTTCTTTTTATTTGAATTTCGCTTATCTCCCAATCGAAGGGAAGTGATCAACGACGTTTATGGCTTGCCTTTATTTTGATCTCATTTAGATCACTAGTTGTGATTTTTAGCTCTTAAATGAAGCTTACAGTGAAAATTTCTGTATTAGATTATTTTATCAAAACCAAAATGAGCTTACTTGTATGTATGTAACTGGTTTAATTAAATTACATCTGGATAATAAATTCTTCAATCACAAAACACCCCCATGGAAAAAACTATACCTATGTGCTTGGTGGACGAATTATAACAAAATGGAAGATTTAGGATTAGACTTGTTTGTCTTGATGAAACTGTACGAGGATGGGAGCTACCAGAATATTTCCATACGCTACATTTTATTCACTGCTTTTTCTTCGATCAAAAGCTCATTACATAAAATAAGTGAATTGCGTAGTATTAATGTTTAGTAATATTTTGTAGAGGAGCTTTGGATGGTTTGTATGCTGAATTTGCCAACCTCACCACTGATCAGTTCATCAAGGGAGAATTCAAAAGAAGAATTGTAGTCACATCCCTCTGGTTCTGTACCACAGTTCTGTTGGCTGTTCTTGCACCGAACATTGGAGTCGTCATAGAGCTTTTAGGATGTCTGGCATCTGTCAACATTTTTATATTTCCCGGTAAGAGAGCCATTATAATTTTATAGTCACATTTCACCCTTTCTCAAATACCATCTTGGAAACACTATATTTGGTCTTTTCCTTCCTTCCAGGTTTGTGTTTAATAGCATTGTGCTTCCGAAGTGATGAGTATTTGGAGAACTGGAAAAGCCAGGCAAAAGTAGCTGTAGCATGTGCCATGATAGCATTTGGAACATTTGTCTTTGGTGTTGTCTTCACGAAAGTGATTATGTACGATATGATGAGCCACGGCAGCCCTAGCCCCGCCCCTTCTCATTTCAAGTGCAGCTGATGATGAGTGTAATGTCTTTTACTTCAACACATTTTGTGTCCAAAAAATTCCTTCTAGGCATAGTGATTTGTCTTAAGATAGAACTTCAACTAGGGTGTTTATTGCCAGCAAAGAGTTCATAACATTTCAGATGACATCATTTAGTTGCTAACCACAAGACTTTTAGAACAGTAATTAAGAATAAAGTACTGTGCCAACAAAATTTGATTTAAAAACATCAAACCTGTGCCATATGAGGAACTCCGATCTTCTCATATCAAATACAGCAAAAAATATAAATAAATAATACAATATTAAAACAATGTCAAAAATGTATAAATGAATTTGCAAAGTCTCCACATTTCTAATGCAAATTCTGCATACCTACATACTATTACTAAGAATAAGATAATAGTTTTATTATTGTGTAGTGTTCTACCAGGAAGAATCATTACTTTTGTACTGAATTCGGTTGCAAGTAAATGTGTAACAAATCCACGTCAAGTGTAATATTGATATTAGATATTCTCCAAGGTTTAATTCAAAAATATATTTAAGATAATACCGTTATTGTAGCATCTATGTATTCATTGCAATCGAAATAGGAATAGTACTTTCCTTATGTAATAATAATATGGTGAAAATGAACTAAAATTTTTATTATGAATTTCCATACAAAAATTTGCACAGGTTCAATGACAGTTGGTTTTGCTTTAAAATTCTTTTTCCAATTTTAAAAACTGGCGATTTGAAGAACTACAATTAACAAAAAACTATGCCAAAATTGTTAAGTTTGTGCCATAATTAAGTCTTTTACCATAGACTCTTTTTTATAATTAAAAACGTTATGGTTTGAATGTTTTTCAGACAAGTACAAGTTTATTAGAGTAGTTCAAGAAATGAGATCTTTTTTTAAAGGGTTGCACAGTCGTCCTCGGGGGCTACACTTAAGAGACATGGCGATTGGTAAAGTTGTGTTTTTAAAAAAGAATGGTTAAATTTTAAAGGATGTTTTGAAAAATGCCAATTTTATATGATAAATTGTCAATCAAAGGCATTTCAAAACTTAACATTTGTACTTGTCAGTGATTTCCTTAATTTAGTTTTATTTAAAAAATATTTTATGTAAGGACATTGATGTTTTGAAATATTTGCTTTCTGTCTGATTTTATTATATTAATGAATTCGCTGAGGATTATGATTTTATGTCTGAACTTTCATATAAAAAAATTGATAATATAAAGGATCTGATGTTTGATTAAATGTATGAATCATTTTTCATTTCATTCTGATCTTGAAAAATATTTTTTAGAAGAAAAAAAAATCATAATAGTGTATATGTATTTTTGCCCCATATTTATTTTGCATTGAAAATAAATGTATGTATGAATTGCTTGTTTCTTTGTCTTCCAGAGAATTTTAAAGCATTTTGTTAAACCATTCTTACTTTTTAAACCAACCAGTTCCAAAAAAATCCTACTTCTGATAGTTCAGTGAACATTTTGTTAAAAAAAAATTTAATCTGCTACACAAATTATAGTGAGAAATTTAATACTAAAAATATTTTCCTTTTTTCATGCATTTATAATATAAAAATTTATTTCTAAAGAGTATACTTTAACCAAATTGTAAGCTGTTAGAGAGAAATAAAATTAGTTTTCTATGAAATATTCATTTCTGATGACAGATCATATTTTGGAATCAAATTCAGAATGTCATAAAAGGTAAGAAAAATGTCAATATTCAAATGTATTCTAAAACTTAAATAAATTGAACGCAGAGTTAAATCACTTTCTTTTTATGAAAAAGGATTGTTTCATTCTCCTGTTTTTGAAATAACAGGTGGTGGTAGATCAAAACTGTGATAGTGCAGAGGTAAAGGCATTGAGTTGTCATTGCATAAGATTCAGATTTGATCCCAGGAAGGTTTTCAAACCAATCTTTTTCAAATTGACTAGTACAACTTGTCTAGAAAATAATGGCAGCTGTTGCCCAGTGCGACTAAACTGTAATCATGTTTTTGGTATCTTTATTCCCTAGCCAACAACAAATAGGCTGTTGCAGGAGTGTCTTACAAAAGATGGAAATAACAAACATACTAATCATGCACAAACAGTTTTCTCTAAAAGTGATTGCTTATTTTGAAAGAGCATGATCAAAACTTTCAAATATCTCTATTTGAAATACAGAATTTGCAATTACATTTATTCTAAAATTAATTAGTTACTGAGATTTTTCTAAAAAAAAGCTTTTGATTTTTAAAACATGCTTATTAGAATTAAAACTATGTCAGAAATTGCTGTTATTAAAAAAAAAAAAGAAAAGCTTTAAACTTATAGTCAGTTAACCTCTTGTGTGGACATAAATACCTTCAATAATAAATTCATTATGATCTCTCAAAACATACTATTTGTTTTAGCGTAAAATTTTTTGTATTGATGCTTGTTTAAAAAAGAAATGGGGATTAATTTTTGCAATCCTGATAATGCATGCAACTATAGTCAAGCACTAGCTTCTTTGCTAGAGTACTATCTTCGTCAGAAGTTGCAGTTGGTAATCAAACTTCTACAACACAACAGGCTGTATACTTACTCACACACCAGATATTTCAGGGTACAAGGTAAAACTTATGGTTTTCTATCTGGAATTTGTGAGTAAAACTGTTGAGCTATGTATTCTTTACATAAGATTTTTACATAACTACGTTCCTATTCATCAAATTTATGTATAGAGATAAAAAAGGAAATTTTAGCAATTTTTTTTTACAATAAATTCTTTTATTGAAAGTATTCACAGAATAAATGGTGATTTGAGAACAGAAGTTGAAGAATTTTACAATAAACATAAATTTTTTACATAATGAAATGAATGAATGAGCCTTTTACAAAGTTAGAATATGAATTAGTCGCCAGACTCTGTTCGCCTGTACCAAAACCGAGCACGGAAGTCATCGCTACAAGTCACAAAAGCAGGGCTGGCTGGGGAATGCACAATATACCGAACGGTATTGTTATGACCTACAGATCACAAAGAAGAATGGAGACAATTTAATGACAGCATTCCTCAATTAAGTAAGGGTTTAACACTACTACCACTTCCTCAAAGGTAAAAACTCTACATCTACATTTTTAAATGGATAGCAGATATTTAGCAAAAAAAAAGATTGTTTTCACTATTGCTTAAGACATATTTTTTATGATATTTGAAGTAAACTCTAAATATTATGAGAGTTATATTAATAAATAATAGGACTCTTTTTTAAAAATTCACATCCATTTCGCAATCTTTCAAAAATTGCTAGCTTTAGCATTGTTTAAAAAGTATTAAATTATTTTCCAATTAAATCCTCATTTTTCAAAAAAATCTATTGCATATACATTGCTCTTTTCACAAATTGTTAACAGGGAACTTATATATAGGGAACATAAAAAAACAACAATTTGCTTTAATTTGTCTACTCAAATCATTAGTAGAACTAACAAATATTTCAAGGATTTTTTTTTCCAGCAATATATTTCAAAGCACAACTGAAAAACATGTTTTTCCACAGTAAAAATTTATCAAATTCCATGACTTTTCAGTTGAGCAGATATCCTCATACAAAATTAAAACTGAAACAGTTTTTGGAGCAGGAATTACTTAATTGGAAAATTTCAATAGCAAATAACTTTTTTTTCCTTAAGAATAACTCTTAAAAAGAAAACTAAATGGAAAAGATGAGCAAAATAGCAAAATAATAAATAAATGAATAATAACAATAGAACTACTTTACTCTTCTTACTTTCATCATGACACTTGTATCTATATTGATTAAACTTTTGCAGCGATGGTGCAAGTGTCAAAAAACAGACTTACAAATACCTTATACAATTCTTTTATCAGTGGCGAATCCAGGAGAGAGGGGCCATGACCCCCCCCCCCAAATTGAAAATAATTATTTTTTTAATAGTTTACAAAAGAAATGAAGTATTTTAAAAATTATTTAACGGGGCATATACACCTAGGTAGGTCGGAAAAATCGATTTTTTCCCATCTAATCATCTTCACTGTTTCAAGAATCATAATCCAAAAGATTAAAATGAAATTCGTCATAGTTTCGTCAATTGATTTGGATGTTGACAGATTTGCCAAAGTTTCTAACAAACACATTACATTTATTTTTTAAAGATTTTGAAGACTTGAATATTGTGTGTGTGTGGGGGGGGGGCTGAGTCTATGATCCCTCCCCCAGGAAAAATTTCTGGATCTGCCCGTCTTTTATCCTTTGACAGTTCCTGCAACTAATTTGTTTTCCCATTAAAGTATTAAAGGGAATAACAGATAGGAAAATTCCAAAAGATTTTCCAAAGTTTCAAACTAATTAAGGGATTTTTATTATTGTTATTTAACACTAAAAACCTTGTTGCCTATATCCTTCATAAGATAAAATTCAACTTTTGCGTCAGTACTTTGAGGTTTTGTGATAAATAGCTCATGAAATGTTTAAGTATTAATCTAAGATTCATAACAGGTTCAAATGGTAAAACTTACCGAGAGATAATAGACGTTGCCGTTCGGCGTTTCGCGCATCCCAACTGCATAGACTAGTTGTTTTTTCATCAGGAAAAAGAACTAGAAAAATATTTAAAGGAAAAGATCTTCATATCATGCATTTATTGATTCATTAAAACATGTTAATTCATAAAGGACAAAACTTAATAATCTGATGGTCCCTTTTTAAAAAAATCTCTAAAAAATAAAGTTTTTAACAGTTTTTAAAGTAACACAAAATTAAGTTAATATTAATGTGAATAATTTTTAATGTGCAACACAGTGTTCTCCCTAAGCGTTTTCAGAAGGGCAGCCTGCCATTTGATACGTCCTTTTTATAAAAAATAAGCTGCCATCCCTTAAAAACACTACCTTTTTATTCAGATTCCATTCGAAAAGAATTAAAAAACTAATTCACTGTTTAAATAATAATACCTCGGTAAAATTATCTGTGTATATAGGTTTAATTCTGATTACAAATATTTATTTTGTTAATAGGTATATTAATGAATTTTTTTAAATAAATGCAGTTTTGCTTTTTTTTTTTAAATGCTCCTTTAAATGTGTATTGTCTTATAATTTTCAGTTTAAATTGCAGGAAAAAGTTTTCAAGTTGTTTATCAATTAATAATTTTTTAGTCCATTTTATTTTGAAAAACTTTTTTTTCTCTTATTTTGATTATGAGTGAGCATTAATTTTTGCAGTATACACGTTATATAGTATATGTGGGATATTAAAAAATTTTTAAGGATTGAATTCAGTTATAAAAACATTCATCATAGTGTTTTATTTAGACAGAGCTTTCATTATCCGAAGTCATTAGGATTAAACCAACTTTGTATATTCAAAATCATTCGGATGGGATTATACAGGTTTGTTACTTTAATTAATAAATTCAAAAAATTGAAAGAAAAAAAAAACAGCTGAAAATATGGATAAGGAAAAATCCAGTAGATTAAACAAAATAATATGAATTCCTTGATACTTGTTACAAAATGTATTAAATATTTTACACATAGGGAATTTTAGTCATCAAAATAAAAAACTGCAATATTTTCCAGTTATGATTAACATAAAATGAACTTGAACTGTTATGTATTATTTTTACTCTTAACTTTGAATAGCAATAGGTATTTAATTCATTGAAGATAGTTAACTGATTTTTATAAATGAGACTCGCTTCTTTATGTGTTAGTAACACTTATTTAAATATTCCAACAACCAATAATCTGCACAAAAATTCTATTTCAATAGGGATTTTTTAAGGAAACTTTCTTAATTTTAGGGAATTTTCTAAAATGTACAAAAACCAGGAGAATTTCTATTAAACCAGTAGACCAGGAGAAACTGGAAAAATCTAGTAGAGTTGGCAGCTATGTAACAACATTTCCTTTTAAAATAATGATGGTCAAACTACACTAAGGAATGATCAGTTGGGGAAAAAAAGGAAAATTATAACGATTATATTTCCTTTACAGAATTAATATAAGAATTACCAGTTCTCTATATATCTAAATTACAATAGTGCAATTTTATTACTATTATAAAATCGTCTGCTTTTCTTCAATTATTCATAAATCCAGAATGTTTAATCAGAATAAATTACTACATTTCTATACCTATAATGTTGGTGTTAGTAAACATTTCTTTAAGAGGAAACCATTATTATTTACTACCTGAAAAGCCTTAAAATTAATTTACATCATTCCATAAATATAAAAAAAAAATATTATTTTAAAAAAGAAGTAAAAAAAAAAATTGGAATCTCCCCCAGCTAATTCAGAAAAAAAATGGCATAATCTAACTTCTAATATTGTATTAAATAGCAGAGATTAACAAATTTTTACCAAAGTCTTCTGTATGGTTAAATACTGCTTGACTACGATGAGTTTGTTTTCCAGTAGCTCCAGCTCCGGTATAGGCTATGAGACAACGAGCCATGGACAGTTCCCATAGTTTTACCAATGAATCTTTTCCACTACTTAATAGGTACTAAAAAGGAGGAATAGATAACAAATTTTTAAAACATGAATAAAAACTAAATAGCATTTGAAAGTACATTATACACATAAAATCAATATTAATGTCAAAAAGGTTTGATTTTTTAATGTTACTTAATATCTCAAGATAGATTACCCAATGAAATTATAAATAGTGGTGGTACTATGCAGAAAAGAAATAAAGACCTCTAGGTTACAATATCAGGTTCATCTTTCTTCATTCCAGTTCTCAAATATTATATTTAATTCAGTTTTAGCTTTAATTTTTCAGATTTTTTATATTATTATTAAGAAGGATATGGTATAATAGGATATGACATTCAAAGAAGAATACTCATTAACTTAACTTAATTATTTATTCTAATGACTTTAAATTAGAAAAAGATCAGATGATATTTACAAAGCTTAGAAGTATTCTAGGTATAATATTAGTAATAATTCTTTTTATCTGTCATTCAATAATCCTTAAAATATTTTAAGAATTTTAATTATTACCCATTTAATATGTGATGGATAATATAATGATTTATGATTTCATATATATCTTCATTTAAAGTGTTTTTCTTCTTTTTTTTAAGGTGAAATTTTAAAATTTTGACAAAAAAATATATTACACTGATATTTTTAATATGAAATATATTATGCACTACTACTCATCAAAACTCAGATTTAATCAAGGTAACACACTTTTAGAGAAGAGAAATAATTTTAAAAAACATTTAAAATACTTACTACTAAAAATTTAGTAAATTCAGCTTTATAATAATTTGTAATAAAAATTTCAAAATATTTTTATTAAATTACCTTAAAAAAATTACTGCATTCTAATTGTTGCAGTCCAGTTCTAAGTGCAAAAAAGTACTGATAGAAATTTATTCATTATACACTTCTGGACAAATTAATATACAAGAATAAATAATTAAAACTTTTCATCATGTTAAAATACTAAAAACATTGTTCACATAAAAGCACAATATTGCAAAAATCACCTTCGAATTTCGAGAGAACTGCACAGAACAAACTTCACTCCCATCATGTGCACCAGCAAAAGTATTTATACATCTGCTGCTCACTCCATCCCACAGTTTTATGTCACCATCTTTAGAGCAGGTGGCATACATATTTGCATTGGGGCTATATTTGACCTAAGAAAAAAAAAAGATATAAAAAATACAGTATATCCCTGGCTATAAGTTGACTTTTCAAATCCCCTAAGTATTAGAAAAGTCTGGAGGTCTACTTATACACCAGTAATAGTTGAACATTCGTTGATGGACGAATAGCAAAGCACTATAAACAATGATCTAGATATGAATAACTCTGCTTTAATTTATCCCTGTAAAAAAAAATTTTTGTGGTATGATAGCATATACAATTAATTTTATTTTTCTTTCATATTTTCAATTTCAATACAAATAAAGAATTTCCTGAAAAAAATATTTTAAATTACACGCAGAAAAAAAATTTCAAGTTTCCAGAAGATAATATGTATCAGAATCAATTACATTAGCAGTGTCCTTATACAAATTTCACTCTGCAAGGAGTTGAATGGAAATTTTTTTTGAAACTTAGAAATTTTTATATTTGTTTTTTTCTTTCTTCAGAAATTTGCTATTTTCAGGGTTGCCACACATTGAGCAATATAGTTGCTTTTAGTAGTCTGAATCACAAAACTAGTTGCCCGAAAATTATGTAAATAGTGGCCATAACAAGATTAAAAATATGACTAAAATTTCATTACATGTCTTAATTGTCATATACCATGATCCATTTAGCCAAGTTGGAGGCAATTATTAATTTTTTATGTAAACATTAGTGTTCAAGCACTAGATTTTTATATCAAAAAATTTAGTCTATTTGCGGAAAATTAAATATTTTTAATTGCTAGAAATCATTCAAAAAATATTTTTGTTATTAAAAAAAACCTAATTTAAAAAATTTTTTCAGTTTAACTAATAATTAATTTAGCAAATATATTTATATACATATATATAAATTGTGAAAAGTAATTATTCAAATTCGAAATTCACGCATAGTAATATGGTATTAAAATTCTTTTTAAATCATGTAGAATTTCATAGCAATAACTGTTGAAAAGACGACCAAGAAACAAAATAGATATGACTCAAATTTGCAATTCAACATTTATTGATTTTTAAGAAAGAAAAAAAAATTCATTGTGACTTTTAGAAATTCATTTTAATTAAGAAAGAGGGCAAAATTTTTTGAACATAATTTTAAATACCAAATTTCATTTCAGAAATAATAAAAATTAAAGTTAGCATTAAAATTAACACATGCAATTTTTCATTAAAGAATATACATAAGCAACATTACCATATTAATAGGGGCTTTATGCTGCATCTCAGCACAATCACTAACAAAGCATTGGCTGGTTCGTACATCATACAAACGTACTGTAATTGGAAAAAAAAATTAGTCAAAAAAGTAATGAGAGAAAAAAAAATGCAAAGCAGAAAAGTTACAAACTTACAGACAGGGTGTTGAGTTCCAACTAAAATATAATCGCCAGATGGATGCAAAGATAAACATCTTACAACTTCAGCTTCCTAGACATAAACATTTATTAATTACAACAAGCCAGATTCACATTCAATTTAATTACAACAAGTCAGATTAACTCGCTATGTTAAGCTCGCTATGTATAGGGATTTAATTTGGCATACTAACTAAAATTAAATATAATTCAATTACTAATTATAGTTAATTTAAGTATGCTCAATATCAAATTATATTTTTAAAAAAAAGGATTTATGTACTTATTTTTAATCACATAAGAATATTTAATCATATTTAATGTTAGAAGCTGAAATATAGACTGCTTTACTTATTTATATAGATAAAAAATCAGTATTGAATTGAAAGGCACATGAACAAAAATTCAGAACCAGGGTTGCCTGTCTTAGGCCAAATTATCAATTGGATCTGAAACAATTATTAATTAAGGGCAAGAATTTGCCCTTACAGATACGATGTTAAACTCTAACTCAAATGTAATGCAAAGAAAAACATCTTACAACTTCAACTTCCAAAAGTGAAACATTTATAATGACAAAGTTACACACTAACTTACTAGAGACTGGCATTCAATTTAAATATAGTTAAATTACTAATTCTATTTACTTTAAGTATGCTCAATGCCAAAATTTGACACATTATATAAAAAAAAAGTGTCAACGTAATTAATTTTATTTACATAAGGACATTTAATCATTTTTAATGTTAGAAGCTGAAATAAAAAATTTCTTATTCATTTAGATGATACAAAATCAGCATTGAATTGGTGAAACACCTATCTTTGACTTTGACCAAATTGTGAATTGGATCCGAGCCTTTTTAAAAATAATAATAACTATAAAAAAGAAGAAAAGGAAAAAAAGATGTGTAATTTTGTCATAAATTTAGAGAATCTTAGAAAAAATATCTTTATTAAGACACAAAAACATTGTTCAAAATGGTAATTTTTTTTTTGTTGATATATTGACAATTGAATAAATTTCTTTTGTCATATTGACAATTGAAGGATTTATATACATATCATTTAAGCTTCTAAAATTCACTGAATTAAGTTAGAAGCTGAAATATAAAATGTTTTACTTATTTAGATGACACAAAATCAGATCAGTATTTGATTGATGAAACACCAATCTTTGATCTTTAACCAAATTGTCAATTGGACCAAAACCTTTCAAAAATAAACTATAAAAAAGAAGAAAAGAAAAAAAAGATTTGCAATTAAAGTTTAGAGAATCTTTGAAAAAATATCTTTATTAAAAAACAAAAACATAGCCGAAAATTGCACTGGTAAAAAATTTTTTTTGACATATTGGCAATTGAAGGATTTATATACATGTCATTTCTAACAAATCAATATCAACATGTACTGTTTAAACTTTTAAAATTCAGGTAAATCCACGCCCTCAAGTCTAACATAACAATCAATGAGGGAACAATTACACACAAATCCACGTCCTCAAGTCTAACATAACAATGAGAACCGTAACCGTATTGGAGACAATGTATATACTTCAATAACCGTATTGGAGACAATGTTGATTTATAAAAACTAAACAGATAGTAAATTTTTAACGTTGAGTAGCAAACTACTTACATGAATAGTCCTAAAAGCTCGCTTCACCGATGGCTTAGAAAAATCAAAAAACTTCACTGTGTAATCACGGCTTCCTGATACAAGGATTTGTTCAGTTGGGTGAAATTCTAAACAAGTAACTTCCTACGGAAACAATTAAAAAAATAATCTCAATGATATGTTAAACTTAAAAGTGGTGCATTACACCACTAGAATTAAAAATTTATGCTTGGATGTATCTGTTTATTTCAGAGCGTACTGAAACAAACTGATACCCTGCATACTGAAATGCAGAGACAAGAAAAACTTTTATAAATAGACTATCTGGTGGTAGTCACTAAACAAATATGTTATTCAACTAAATACTTACTGCCCACAAAACAAAACTAATATTTCTTTTGGCTTTAAATAAACAACATAAGAGAAATGTGTTTCTTCCAAGTACATGCGTAATTACATGCATTTTCCCTTAAAGTAATAATATAAATGAAAATAGATAAATAAGAAACAGAAATTATATTAATGGTAATTTCACTTACATTAATGTTTATTTGGAATTAATAAATAGTATTTTATTTACTAATTCTAAATTGAGCAATAAAAAGTTGTGATTTAATCAACAATGTTAAATATCAAAACTAAGTACTTTAAATGAAAAATAAAATATATGGTCCTTAAAAGCAATATGTATGATAAAACATAACTTTAAACAAACTAGATTGCATTAGAAAGAATTGGTTTATTGTTAACTTGGTGGATGAAACAATGTTCTCACTCTTAATTTTAAAAAATTAATAAAAATAAGTTTATTTTCAAAATAAACTGTAAATAACCATTATAATGAAAAAATTACAATTTGGTCTAACCATCAAAATTGATCCAAACAGTCCATTATTGGTGTGTTTATATTTATTACTAAATCAGCACAGATATTTTTAATTAAAAAAAAATACCTAGTTGAATTTGCTCACATATTATTATGATTTTTCATTTAAAATAGAAGAAAAATTCCAAATAATAAACAAATTAATTCATTTAAACACTGATAAGTTTGAATTATAGCTCTTTTATATAGTGTGATCATGCTTCATTAATTGTAAGTTTAAAAAAAATAGTTATCACCATTTACTCTTTTTCTTTTGCTTTATGTTGCCTACACCTTTAACCAGCTAAAAATGAGCTTAAAAAATCTTCACTTAAAAATCACATTTTTTTGAGAAATTTAACACTCATTATCAAAATTTTTTGCTTAACCCATATGGGCCATTCTCACAAAAACAATCATTTTCATGTCCCCAGTATATTTTATGTTTGTTTTACAACTTACGAAAAGAAAAATTTCAGGGAAAGCATCCTTCAGAATGTAGGCTAACGAAAGAATAAAAATAAAATTATCAATTTTTATTTTTTTATTTATTTTAGGTAATTAAAATACACCAATATGTCATTCCCTCACTTGTCCCCACTGTTGATTTGATAAAAGAAAAAATTGTTTCTGAAATAAAAATTGCAAATTTGTGTTTTTTATTTCAGAATATTGAAATATAGAATTCAGAAAATCAATTTTAAATTTAATTTCAAATAAAAATATTAACACAGCACTATTTTAAACTTTGTCCCTAGTGTTTTGCGTCATTCCCTCACAACAATGTTTTTATCACCTGCAATCTTCTTAGAATAAAAATATTTTAATAAAAACTTTAGCAGTTAACAACTGGCATCATAGAACAAAATTGCAGTATGTTTCCATCTTCAACTCAAAGAAGCTTTGCTGTGGAATAAATTTGAATGAATCAAACCAGGTAAAAATTTTTACATTTATCATTCCCTCATGCCGTTTTTTAGAGTAAAATAAAATACAATTTCATCGAGAAAGTGGATAATTATATGTTGCTTCCTTGTATGAATATAATTGAATGTGATTGATTTCAGAAATTAATTAGGCCTAACTGTTACTTTTAAATTTTATTAAATTTGCCATTCCCTCACTAGTGTATAAAGTGAGGGAATGATGCTGAAGTGAGGGAATGATTCAAGATGAGTATATTAGTAAATTTTTTTTTGTTCAATCGTGCCAGCCAATTTTATTTCCCAAACCTGTAAAAACTATTAAATATATAAAACTAAATTATAATAAATGTTAGATATACTTAGTATGTTATCATTTTCAAACTTGAGGTAGCTGTAACTTAGAGAAAAACATTTATTGAAATAAAACATCATTCCCTCACTTTTTAAATAGTGAAATTAATTAATTAATTTAAATATTAAGTATAATTTATAGGATATATACTTTCTATATAATGCCATTACATATTTCTATTAATATAAAAAGTTTCAGAGCTTTTTGATGACAGTTTTTGTGAGAATGACCCATATGTAAAAATAAACATATAAATTAACCAAAATAACCAAGTTGGATCATAACAAAATGCTCTTCATTTGTTAAATATTTCAATTGATTTTACATTTCTTCATCTTTTTTCTTTCTACCTCTTACTCAGTTCAATTTATTTAAATGCATTCTGACTATAATGATTTTTGAAAAATGAGATATGCAAGTTTAATTCTTTTAACCCTTTATGTACTTGCTATTTTCTTTTCTATCACTCTTTGCTAGAACACAGAAAAAAATCAATATATCAAAAATAAGAACAAATAGAAAGACAAAAGAACATGCGAATGTAATATTACATTAAAAACAGGGGGCACAAAATACCAAGTTGTGTAATATTTAGTCAGAAGTAGGTAACCGGTTAAAGAAAAACTCTTTTTTAAATACTTTTTTTTAATGAATTTATCAATTAATGTACAAATACGTATCAATCAATGCAACACATAGACTTCATGAAATTGCAAAAAAAAAAAAAAAACGATAAGATTATGATTATACAATACTAACCTCAATATGATCATACAAAGTACGAATAACAGGATGAGTTTCCATGTTCTGCTGAGTTGTTTCTTGGGCAGCAACTTCGGCAGGAGTAGCACTTTTAGCTAGCATTCTGTCTACATCTAAAATCTAAGCAGAAACCAAAAGACGAAATGCTATAACATACAACATAAATAAAAGCATTATGAACATTAAATTTATTGTTAAAATTTTGATGAAACGAAATCAATTTTTAAGAAATTTCTCTTAATGCTTACTATAAAGCAAAATTAAGAAATTAAATCAATAAAAATATATCTTAGAAGTATTTTAATCTCCTCTCATAATAAAAGGGATATAATTTAACTGTACATGCAAAGCAAACAGAAATGATTAGAGGACAAATAGAAATATTTATATCTAAGAACTTATCAACCAAAACTTTAATACAAAGGTACACACTTGTGCACCTAAAGGCTCTATATGCAAACTTTTCATTAAAATTTTTTTAAGCAGATTACAATTTTACAGCAATTAACTAGGAGCCACTGAGAGATAATTATTTTTAATTTTTCTTTGCTTGAAGGCATTTTTGTTTAATATTTTTTGCAATTATTTCAAATTCCATACAAAATCATATATTTTTCCAATCCAAACTTTTAAGCTGATTTACAAAGCACTAAGAAATTAGTAAAGCAATGTTGTTAAAGGTAACAAGATTAAATATAATGATCTGCCTATGATGGTGGACAAATTGATCTCAAAGGGAACTAGTTAAAAAGAAAAAATACTTACTTCAGCCAATGTGATAAGTTTTTGAAAAATTACATTAAAAATACAAGGTTTTTGTAGTCTGACCTTTGTAACTTATTATAAAGTCATTTTTTTTATTGAAAACCAAATCAGTTGCATTTTCAAATGTAACAAAGTAATTTGCAATAGAAAATAACAAGAGCAATTGAAGAGCAAATCATTATTTAAATCACACACAAAAAACATTTAATTTTCATGGCTGAGAAAAATTGGTGTTTCACAAACAATTCTGTTCATCAGAAAGAATGTATATTTTAATACAACTGTATGCATGTTTTTAAATATTGTTTTGATCAATTTCAAAAATAAACATATCAAGTATTAAAATATGAAGCTAGGTTTGTTTCACCCTACTTTTTTAAATTTCAGCATTTTTTTCTGATAAGCAATTTAAACCAAAGAATTTTCTTACCCATGATGACATGTAAATCATTGATTTCATGGTAAACAATTCAAAATACAAATATTGATTGAAATGCTTCCAGGGTTGCAAAAAATCCACCTGCCCAATAAAACCCACCCAGGTTTTACTGGGTAAAACTCACTCTGAAAAACCCAGTAAAACCCACCCTAAAGTGGGTTTTACTGTGGTTTTTCTAAGATTGGTTTCTTTTTTTTATCCTCTGTTATATTAAAGAGCTATTCTATTGAAATATATACGTAGTCTAGCCAAAATAAAATTAACCCATAGTGAAGAAACTAATTGTGTTGGAGACTGGAGAGTCACCTTGCTGGCTAGATTTGACTGTATAGCCATTGATTATTCAGTGCCATTGATTCGCTTTTTATGCAAATAAAAAAAAATTCGCAAATATTTTTTAAGATTAAAATATAAATAAAAAGTAATCCTGTGTTAAAAAAAGTTTCAAATGTATGATGTATGTGAGTACATATAGCATTTTGTATTGTGATGTCAGAAGAAACTTTTTTTAGACTTTCACATCTATTTATTTGTAATAATTATCTATATGAAGTCAATTTATAAAATTAAACTTAATTATTAATATTAAAATAAGCTTTTTTAAAATAAGGTACTTATCCCTGCCCTCTCTTTTGAAACCCCCCCCCCAAAAAATAACATGAAAAACGAAAAACCCAGAAAAGCCCAATAAAACCCACCCGGGTTGGGTTTTTCTACAAAAACCCGGGTTTTTTGCAACCCTGAATGCTTCAAAATAAAACACTCTATATGTATAAAATATTTTTAAAAGAATATCATTTGGCAAATTAAATAAGAAAGATACAATAAAATGAGACGTAAAAGAACATATTGCTTACTTTTATTGAGGCGTCAAAAGATCCAGTAGCCACCAACTGCCCTAAAAATAAATAAATAATAAATTTCATTTGGTGCAAAGGCAACCTCAATAAGAATTTAACTTGTTAACATCAGAATTAATTTTATTCTAATGGCAACTGGATAGAATTTTGATTGTTACATTTTTAACTAAGTGAAAAAATATTGTTGATTACAGTTAAAATTACATTAAACAAATAATCTCTCCAATTATTCAAATTAGAAATATTATCATGGTTGGTATCATCTTTTTCTTTCAGTTCACCATCTCCCATTTTTAGAGAATACCAATTTATTCATCAGTATTATGAATAAATAATACTGATGAATAAATGCTTAGGTGGCTACAAAAATATTTTTTCCTACATTAATTTATTATTTTGCATCACTGAATGTGTAATGACCCATTCACTGATACATTAACGCAGACATGTCAAACTTGTACCCTTCTTACTAGCCTTGGGCCAGTTGCTGTGTCCTGTAAGAATTCTGATCAAAATATGCATTTCAAAATCCATTTAGATACAATTTAAAAATATCTACAAAGCTACTTTTAATAAAATTGGTATTTAACGGATATAGGTACCCTCTGTTGATGACTGCTTTTAATATTGCGTTGCATATTAAAAAATATCAATAATTTACAATATTTTTTGATTTAACTAATTCAATCATTTTAATACAAAAAAAAAATTAAGCATTCATGATAATATCATATTCAATAACTATAGTTTTGTAGAGTAATCATGATATTATTGCATTTGATGATAATTATCAATAATAATTGATAAGTAATATCAGTAAGCAGTGATCTGTGTAAATCAAGCTTTATATAGAAGTAATTGGGTTTAGGGTCCCTTTAACTGATAAATACCCTAAAATATTACCCTTTATAAAATAATATAATCTCAAAAATTGTTTACAAGAGAAAATTGTAAAGTGCTGATAAACACATGTTCGATATTAGTCGTATTAACACATATTGAAAGAATGATGGTTGTCTCTATAGCAGTTTTTTTAAAACTGCTTATTTCATTTTTAACATCAAGGTGATTCACTCTTCAAGGTTGCACTCTGTACAAAAAAAAATCACTTCAAGTTTTTTAAAAAATGGCACATTAAAATTTTTTTTCTGCAGACCTTAAAATATAACTCAATTAATTTAAAATATGTTTTTTAGTCAAAAGTAGAGACTCATACTGTTTTCCCCTTCTACTTACAATAAAAGTATTTTTATTGAACAAGACAAAACTAACATCAAAGATTACAACCCCAGTGGTAGAATTTTCGCAAACTATCTGCACCAAAACTCTCTAGCACTAATATCTTTCTGCAAGGTACTTTCTAAGGTACAGACATATATGTTACTAATTTAAAATAACAAAAGCGCTCTAATTGCAAACAAAATATATATATATATATATATATTTATTTGAACATGTAATAATTTTTTATTCTAATATCATGGGTGATATTCTTGCATTTTGTTGGAGGGGGGTTGCACAATTTATTTCCCTCCTCCGATTTTTATTAATAATCATCGCAATAAAGAAAATAATTAAAAATCATGAAATCCGTAGTGGAAAAAGATCAGATGACAAAACTATGCGCATTGGACTCCTCAAATGCGTGTTTCGGTTCGAGACTAGGTTGTTGTAATAAATAATATCGTATAAAAAATATTGGATTTAAATGAAGAGGAATTAATAGCAATAACTGCCAAAAATTCGATAGAATTATTGCCTTAAAAAGTAAATACTCATATGCAAGATTAGAATTTTCCATATTGTTGGAAATATATCAAGATATTTAAAATCCACATTAAAATCAATAACTGCCTAAAATATGATCGAAACATTGCATCGATTTACAATAGGATCGTTGTAAATTGAGCGTGTTAAAAAGTGATTATCTAAATGTATGATTTATATATTATGTGTAAATTTTGATAGAAAAGAAAAGTAATTTTCCCCCCTTTACATTTCAAAAGAAAAATCTTTCTGCAAGAGCTCTGTGATGCTCTGCGACAATGTCGCTGTGATCCTGCCACAGAGATTACAACAATATATAATATATGGTACATAGAAACCCAAATTAAACAAAAAAAAATATTAGCGATTTAAAAAAATTTATATTTACCATCACTGCTAAAGGCACCTGCACGGCATTGAGCTTTATGAGAAGTAACATAGCAAGTTTCATATAATGCAGGCTCCGGTGCTAAAGATGGAGCTATAAAAAAAACTATACATTAAAATTGATTAAATGGGTAGGAAACTTTATAAGATTGGAAGTTAATTTTTCGGCATTTAAAAGATCTTTTTGGTTAAACCACATGCCGCACCAAAAAAGAGAAAGAGCTTCTTCCATACAACGTGTTTTAAAACATAATTTTAAAAAACTGAGAAACATATGAATTAATTTATGCACAGCAAATAGATTGTAATTGTTTCATATTGAGAGAAAAAGTCCCAAAAGCAGCATTATGGTTAAAGTTAAATTCATAGCACTAATGAAAAAATATTAGAAATCTTTGAAACTAGATAAATTACATAAAACTGCAAATACAAAAGTTCATTTAGATAAACGGTTAATAACCTTTTATGACTTACTAAAACTTTATATGAACAAAAATAGAAGTTAGAAATGCTGAAAAAAATAGCAAATAAGTTAAAAACTTAAAATATTGTAGAATTTTTATACAGACCATCAGTTTCATACTCCAAATCAATTCCAAGTCCTACATTAGGAGCATCAACTCTCATTGCATTGTGTTCCTTATTGTCTGAAAAAAACATAAATGAAGACATGAAACAAAAAAATAGCACTGAGTACGGTAGGTTGACCAAACTGTGTTTTAAACTATGTCCAACAGAAATAGAAAAGGGAGGAAAGATGTTTAGAGTAACTGCGCTCTTTGAAACAGCATTTAGATTTGTAAGCCAGCGTTAATTATTTAATCAATTGTTTTTAAAAATAATCTATTTATTAGATTTAAATCAGATTTTTCCTTATTTACATCACAATATGATTTTTTTTATTTTAAAAATATGCTTAAAATTTATCTATGTGTTTTACTTCATTAATTAAGCTATATTTCATAAAAGTTACATAATTTACAATAAATTAAAGCAGATAACAGCCATATGGTAACCATCTTTTACATGAATTAAAATTTAACCACTTCCTTTTCACTCCCATGAAAATGACGGGGAAAGGTTTCGCTCTCTATTTCTCACTCCCGTGATATTGACGGGCTGGAGTGTTCAGCAGCAACGCTTCATTTCTTTTGCCCGGAAAACATTTTATTTCTCCTTTTACACACCAGATGGCAGTACCAAGATATTTTTAAGGTTATTGTAGAGAGTAAGTTTATTTTAAACTAGATGTCAGCACTAATCAAATATGTAATACAAATACAAAGGCCAAAAAAATAGGCACTTTTATGATCGCTTTCTTGAAAATTAATTGATTGTTATGGGGTTAAGAAAAAAATCATGAAGAATAATTTATTTACCCATCTCTGCTCGAAGACCAAGAGTTACTAGATGCATGAGCCTATCTGAGGGTGGACAGGGTGGGTTGGTTTTCAGGGAATTAGTCAATGTCACAGCAAATGTTTGATGTCCATCATAAAAAAGTTGGCTGCAACATAAAAACATAAAGCATTAAATTAATATAAAATGAAATAATATTCTGATATAAATTTTTCGGGAGAGATAGGAAAAAATCTCTATTCTCAAAGACTTTGTCTAGTCTAAATATAGTTTTTATCTGAAAATATATTTTAGATTTATAATTAAAAAAGGAATTTGAGATTGAGCAGATTTTGATACAAAAAAAAAATCATTTTAAAGAAGAAAAAATAATCATCCAAGCATACTTTAGGTATGAATTAAAATTATGCACAAAAATATTTTAAAATATTTTGCAAACTTAATTTAAAATTATTTTTAAATATATTTTTTCTCTCCAGAACATTTCACAAAAAGTTAAAAAAGATAATTCGCTGAAAAAGTTTATTTGAAAAATGATAGAGAATATACAAAAAACAAAAATCTGAATAAAGAAATTAGATTCGGCGGATTTCATTTTAAAATCGGTTAAAGAATATTTCAAGGTTGGATTTTTGCCTTGGTTGGCAAAAAACTAAAGAAAATTTTTTAATAGTTTTAGCAATTACTAAATGATATATGTTTAAGTAAATTAAAAAATGAAACTCCATTTCATCATTTGAAAAACATGGCTTAATAATTAATATTGTCATAATAATATACATTATAATACATGCATGATAATAACTGCCATAATAATTAATACTTAATTTCCAATACAAAATAATTTAATTGATCATTGTTAAAATTGGTCTAAACTAGAAACGTTAACCTTGTCGTCTTTTTGTTTGTTTCCTTAACATTAAATATAGAGAGTAGTCAATCAAATATTTATACAAAAAAAGTAACGTAATAATAAATATGAACAGTAGATTTTAGTTATTGCATAATAAACTATTACAAATTTTGGATTTTAACCATATCAAAATCTGTCTTCAGTTATAGTTCTCTGAAGAGGTACAAACAATGTGATATTGATTTTGAATGGTAATAATATACTAGAAAATTGCACGTTGGTTAAAACTTATAATTCTTTTTCTTATAACTATTTGTTGTAAGTCGGCAATTACTTTTATATCCTTTGCTGAGTTTCAGCCACAAATGTGACAGAAGAGGTTTTTGCTATGACGACTTTAACCGGTTTCTACAAGTGGTTTTAACCACCTCAGCCCCTTGGATCATCGCCAAGTTGGTCCTCAGGAATACCGATGTTTTTTCATTAAGACAACCCAGACAGAAACCTATATAAATCAGGTAATTAGATATTTTATTTTAAACTGTGCATATTAGATGCGATTTGATTGTTTTTACAATGTTTCTGTAATTCAATTCAATATTAAATGTATTTTATTCAGATGAAATAAATAATTTTTTAATATGTTTTAATTATGCTTTATTTTCCTAACCAATTTATTTGGTTGGGCATTAAACAGAAATGCAATTTGAACAAGGAAACTGCCTGTTTTGTAAAGATTTCCTTATTGTCATCTACGGTATTGTAATCAACTTCTATTAAATGGCTCGCAAGGAACTAGGGAAAAAAATCACATAAGGGGACCAACTCAAAGAATTTAACTCATAGCCACTCCCTGGGCAAACATTCACAATTTTATTTTAAAAACATTTAGTAGTATCACATCCATTTGGTGCCTGTGTGATTGTAGTTGATCCTAATATGGAAATATCCCCCAAACCTCTATATACTTTAAAATTAAATGGTGAAAAACAATTAAGAGATTAGCCATTAAATGATTATTCTACTGTGTTGCAATAATAAGGACCATGGATAGAGAAAAGATTATATTGTAACTCATGCCAAGCTCTAGTTAGTAAAATTTGTGGGTAAATTTGAAATTTCCTACAATCGGTAGTTTGTCTACATAGCTAAGAGGAAACTGTTAAGAAAGTTTAATTAACAGAAGTACAAATGAAATGGTCTTCAGAAAACTATCTTTAATAAAATAAAATTAACAATCGATAAATAAATTACTGAAATAAAGTACAGTAGTATAATAAAATTGATTTAAAAAAAACACTGACACAATGCTCATAACATAACTTTTAGAATAATTTAGCATTATTAAGATAATATCTAATTTGCCGAAGAACAACATCAGTTTTCTCAGAAACAAAACTTTCATAATATCAGATTTATGAAACAAAAGGTACCTAATAATCAGTCTATAAAGTGTTTCTCTTTCTTTATGCCCAACAGTCATTTTTGCCATACTTAAATAAATTACAGAGAATAATATAGCTTATAAAATGTTATTTGTTGATATCCGAAATTTTCAAACCGGTGATCAGATCAGAAAGGTAAATATATTATGACGATTGCAGTTACATTAGTACGCTATGTTGGCAGAAGGAGTCAAAAGCTTAGTAACCGTTTTCACCGCATGCAATTCACGCGTTTAATCTCATCATGGATGGAAGGGAGAACCTGATTGGTAAAAATTTTCCAGGAGAATATATTTCACTAATCAAGTTCTCATTCTTGGTGATAGTAGGTGCATGATTTCCATATGGTGAGAATGGATCATTATTTGGATGTTTTGACCGTCTTCACTGTGAGGAGCATTGATCAGAAGTGAAAAGAATGATAAAGCGGAATATATAAAATCTTGACAAAACAAATTTTTTTCTTTGAATGTAATCAAATTAATCATTTTTTATTTGGAATTATAGTGAAAATGAATTGATGGTTTAATAGTTTTATAAGCAGTGCTACTAAGGTCAGTATCCGTAGCCATTGTTACGAACTATATTGCTAAATGTTATAAAAACTTAATTTAAAAACCGTTTTGTTTTGTTACTTAGTTTGTTTTGTTACTTAATTTAAAAACTGTTTTGTTACTTAGTTTCTTTTGTTACTTAATTTAAAAACTTAATTGTTAATAATGTTCTCGTAAATATTCACATATTTTTAATTAATGTCAAATTAAATATAATAACATAAATTTTATGAAGTTAAATTTCATAACTGAGAGTATAACAACATCATATATTACATTCGTTTACAAGTTTATTATTAATAATATACCAGACGTTAATCGCAAAATCTTGAAAAAAATAGTAAAACATTATTCTTTCAATTGTTTACAGGGGTCTGTCCATGCCGAATTTACTACCGTTTAGCGGTACTTTCACAAATTCAACTTTAGGAAAAACGGTAGCTTCGCAAAATACTTTTTCTTTAAATTTTATTTTGTATCCCTTAGGAAACGATAAATCCATATTTTTACCATATTTCTGTATTGATTTTTTAATATAATTTTTAATTTTTCACAAATTATGTCTANTAACAACATCATATATTACATTCGTTTACAAGTTTATTATTAATAATATACCAGACGTTAATCGCAAAATCTTGAAAAAACTAGTAAAACATTATTCTTTCAATTGTTTACAAATATCCACCTATATTTTAGCTTCTTTTTCTTGTAATAGATTGAAAGAAGTTATATGATACATAATATTTAAAGTAAAGTGGTACGAAAATTTTTTTGTAATTATGAAAATTTTTTAATGCTACAAAAAGATTGTATGAATTTAAATTCTTTTGTTTTAAAATTCAAGAAATAAAGCTATATTTAATTTATAGTAGGAGTGTAAATAAAACAGCACTAGAGTTTTACTATTTTTTAACTAGATATTAAAGAATGTATTTGTATCTTTATTTTGATAACACCCCATACAACATCATAGCATTAAGTTTAAAATTATTAGTAATTTGCTCAATTTTCACTAATTGGGAAAAAAAACTATTATATTTTCTTTAATCTGCCCATAATATTTATATAAGCAGAATATTTTCAAATGTTCTGCAACAGGATTTATTAATTTATACAAATGTTCTGCAAGCCTTTCACAGTGAAAAAAGGTCAACTTAACGCTAAAATATTATATTTTCATTTATTAAAATACAGGATCGTGCACAGATACACCACATTATTTTTTAAACCAAGACAAACATTCTTGATTTGTTACTTTTTCACTCACTTTTGAAGTACAAAATTTTGCTAATGACGATGATGATGAATTATTAATAAAATGCCTATGATATGAAGGTCCAAACATTAAAAGAATGTATGAGATTAGGGTTGGGGATTGTTCTGCAAAACTATCGTAGGCAGGTGGGCTGGGGGTCACGGGAAAACGCTGTCACTTATTCAAGATACAAATTGTTCTGCAGGACTTGGTTTGTTCTGCGACGTACGTCACAGTTTCAGGCACTTTCTGCTTCTGGATTAATCTGTATTATTTTTTTTCATAAAGAAAGTCTTATGTACTTAAGTTTTTTTTTTCTATATCTTTAAAAATTTATTACCTTATCTGTTTAAAAAAAAATATCTGTGCATTTAATTGTTTATTAATATTATGTGTTTTAGTTGATTCTAAACATGGAAGACCAGCATAAGGGTTTCCTTGATGATACTTCAATTTCAAAAACTCCACGGTCTCCACTGCTCTCATCTACTGCTACTAAGATCAAGTATGTTTTCATTTGTTCTGAGTTAAAGATATAAAATTCTTGACAATATTCTTCTAGATAAAAATTCTCTTCAAGCAAGTTTTTGAGAGTATTCTCTTAAATGTTATGTTACAATGAAGATATACCTTAAATATTTTGTTGAATTTATTTATTTTATATGATGCCTGGTCGCTGAGGGGTAACGCTTCACGCTCCCATGCCGCAGGTCCTGGGTTCGATCTTCGGGCCAGGCAAGGTTGACTCAGTCTTTCATCCCTTCAGTAGGTCGATAAATGAGTACCAAGCATGCTTGAAAACTAATCAATAGGGGTTCCGCTTTCGACTGACCTATTAACCGGAACATCTGCTCCTGCACCCCAGAACCCAAGGTCAAGAAAACTGTTATGGGCACAGTAGGCCTTGGCCCTCTATGCGCTGTTGCTCCACAGAGTTTAGTTTTTAGTTTAGTTATTTATTTTATGTAATTAAAGTATGTATTTTTTAAATACTTTACAAGGAATAAAAACAAAATACAGAAAGTTACATAAGCATCAAAAGAAAAACAGAAAATATGTGTGATCTTAATGTTGGTTGAAGTTCTTAATTGAGCAATGAAGTTCTGATATTAAGCTATGAAATTAATTCATGAAGTTCTTAAAGACTCTGAAACGTTTCATGCTATTGTCACTGATAATGCCACTGCCATAATAAAATCAAGAGAGTTAATTTGGGAGAAATTCTCACATGTATATCAATTTGTATCATCAACATGCAGCTGTGTATTTCACACAATAAGTGGATCAGAATTCATTGATCAGCAGTTTCTGTGCAGGACGCGTCAGTGGAGGAAGTTCTATGGGAACTAGATGACTATCCACCCCACTATTTTTCCACTACTTTTTAAAATAATATATTATACAGTCTGCTGAAAATATTATTCGTATAACATGGTGGAAAGGAAATTGCCTCAGTGACAAGTTGCCAAAATTGCATTGACTGTATCTAATAACAGAATGAAGTTTTAGTATTTATGGCTCAATACAATTGTCTAAAAGGAATAGACTACCTCCGAAATAAATTGAAAGTTGGTATTAAACTATTAAAGCTAGGCAGCATAGCACATAGTTTGTTAGCACATTTGAGTCTGATGCAGCTGGTTTTTCCTCTTTTGAGAATGAAGAATAGAAAAATAATTTCTTGTTTTGAATGTTTTTCATATTTTTGACAGAAAAATATTCAAAATTTTATAATATTAAGAAGAAAAAAATATTTTTTATACATGATTGTTATAAACCTGTTTAAAATTTTTTTAATTATTTTGTTACCTTAGAAATAAGTGCTCTATTCTCAGAATATACACAGTTTATGATAAATTGGTTTGTATCAATATATATTATTTTGTAGTTAGTACCTAAAAGCCCTGTGACAGAATTTTTTCGAGCTATCTGCGACAAAACTCTCTTACAATAATTTCTTTCTGCAAGATACTTTCAATAATAACAAACATATATCTTACTAATTTAGAATAACAAAAGTGCTGTGTTTACAAAAGGAAAAAAAAAAGAAAGAAAACTATGTATAATTTTTAATTGAACATATAATAATTTTTTATTCGAATATTATGGGTGATATTCTTGCATTTTGTTGGAGTATGGGATGCAGAAATTATTTCCTTCGTCGCATTTTGTAAATAATCGTCACAAAAAAAAGTTTGAAAATTGTGAAATTATTGTAGTAATTGTCGAAAAAAGATCGACAGCGAAATCACGCGAATCGGACTAGTGAATTGCGTGTTTCATGTGGAGATTAAGCTGTTGCAATAAATAATATTGTATTAAAAATGTCGAATTTAAAAGCTGTGGAGAACTTAATAGCAACAACTGCCAAAATTTCAATAGAATTATTGCTTTAAAAAGTAAATACTAAAATGCGAGCTTCAAATTTTCCATATTGTTTGAAATATATAGGAATATTTAAAAAGCATATGAAAATCAATATCAGTAATTGCCAAAAATAGAGTTGAAACATTACATTTGTTTAAGATACTATCGGTTGTAAATTGAGCACGTCAAAAAGTGATTATCTAAATGTTCAAATATTACAAATACATTTGTGCAGTAAAGGAAAGTAAATTTTTTTACTTTTCAAAAGAAAATTTTTTCTGCAAGAACTATGCAACTTTCTGCGGCAATGTCGCACCGATTCTGCCACGAGGCTTAAAAGTACCTAGTACTTAAAATGAATACATATGAAAATAGCAAATACATTTTGTATTAACTAATTTTTAAAGTATAAAGTTAACTGAAACTCAGAAAAAAAAGTTACTTATAAATCTTATTTAACTTGCTAGATGGCTGCACCACGCAAAACAATCTTGTATGCATTTTGAAATATCATTTTGGACTAAATAAATAGTAGTAGCACTTAGTAGAAAGTACCGACTTAGATCATGTATTGACTCAGATCATTTTGTAGTCTTATTTTGACTTTGATCATTTTGTATCAACTTGTATTTTAGTGAACTGAAATTAAAGATAAGCTTAAAAATTTAATAGACTTGTAGCTCTTGTAAAAGCAATCGAACCCCCACTTTTATTTAAGATCTATATAAAGATTAAAATATATCTGATACTTTAAGTATCAAGTTTTTGTTACTGATATTAAGTTGAATTGGTTTGTAACTGATACCGAAAAAATTGGTACTTACCCATCTCTGGTGTAGGATTTGAGACTTGAAATCACATTAATATTTATTCATTTTCATAGTAAACTTATATTATATTTTAGCATTTATAAAAGTGTTTTAAACAAGTAGAGAAAACAAATTTTTGATATGTACCTTAATGAATTGTTTTTTACAATAAATTATTTATAATTTTATCAATAATATTGATTTCTATACTCTATATTCCCGTAGTTGTCGAAACTTTGATGCGAAGAATAAAATCACAAATGCTATGAATTCATTTACTATGGCAGATGCAGCACTGAATGAGATTACTAATATTGCTCCGTTGAAATATAAATTTGACAAAATGGATTCTTTTACAACGGAAGCAAATTCCTCACTTGGAATTCTTCATATGGATAACTTTTCAGGTATTTTTGCATGCATTCTTATAAATTTTAATGTGTTAAAAATAGAGTTTTAGTAAAAATAGATTATAGAAAAAGTATTAAAATAGAATTATTATTCAAATGAATGAAAATAATCATTACTAATGCTTTAAAACAACAGTTACCAATTTTTTTCAGTGATAAATCCCTAAATGTTCTACCTTTGAGTAGCTGAAGCTTGACTTTATAAATAAATTTCTTAGCAGTTGTGTGCAAATAGGGAGTTAAAGTAACAATTATTTTGAAAATGTAAAAAAATGTTTTGTTATTGTTTCATCAATGCTAATCTTAAAGTTAAGTTTTATATAAATTATTTCGAAACTCTAATCATGATTTGACATTTAGTCTAATCCAAAATTTTTATTTATTTGACTAATGTGTAAGTTGGAAATAAATAAAATAAGCCAAATATTTTCTGTTTAAATGGAAAGAGAAAGAAGAAAAAAAAACTTTTATGAAAATTAAGAATGGTTTTCAGAGTGAGGATTTTTTCGTTGCTGCGTATTCTTTTATTTTAGGTTGAATTTAATTGGAAATAGTAGCAACAATTTTCTATAAATGCTTTTTTTTCATTGATTATTTATTTAATATTACTTTTATTTCTTCTTTAGACTTTAATAGGACTGGACTATAAATCGATGTATCGAGACATATCGATTTAACGCATATATAGGCAAGACGATACAGCGACTTTCATTCTAGGCGATGCATCAGAAATCTGATTTAAGCAGTCGAGTAAAGACAACGAGCACAAAACGATATAGCGATATAAGACATGCAAGGATATAAGAAAGCGATATAAGACTCTTCTCTTACGTTCCGATGTCGACTCGCGCTGTGGAAGACGATGTTCGTTTCGTTATGTTGAAATGGCCTTGATTGGTGAGNATTTAATATCTTTCTTAAGCAAAACATATATATCTTCAAATTTATAAATTGATTTAAATCAATCTGAGTATGAAGTTTTGATAGAAATTAATAGAAATTCAAAAATACTATATCGCGATACATCGCTATATCACGATGCAAAACTGATGATGCATCACGATATATAATTTCTAATATCGCCCATTCCTAGACTTTAACTTAAATAATTTCCTGAAAATATAAAAGAAATAATAGATTATTTAAATGAAGTCCTAACTATTGAAAACCCTGTGACCCTTCCGCAAAACTGAATCTGCATTCAGGGCACTTTTTGGCAACTGCTTAAACATGGTGTGTAGCGATTTTATAAAGTACTTAAAGGTGCTCATTTTTGGTTTACGTTTTTTAAAAGCCCTTAAAGGTGCTTTTTTCGTTCGGGGTTTGTAAAAAGTGCTTAATTTTCTACCTTCTAAAAAGAGATTTTTTCTTTGTCATGTTGATTGTCATAAATTACAAAAAAAAGTGCATGATTTTCACAATTTTCTCTGCAATATTTATCAGAAACTACTTGTTTTAATCGTGATTATGTAAAGTTTTCAAAAATATTTTTGAATTTTATAATTATAAAATAAGGAACTTTAATAATAGAAAGAAAAAAAATTATCACTATACAAATCCTGATTATGATTATTTTTTTAAATTTTTTTTTTTTTGGGGGGGGGGGCTGGGNTGGGGGGGGGGGGGAAAGTGATATTTTTTGAGTGCTTAAAAGGTGCATATTTTTGTGTTGAAAAATCTGGCTGTGCACCCTGTTAAATATGTATATCATAGTTAAGTAATATTGCAAATTTTCTCTTCTAATTATTTTACTCTCTTTCCCCTCAGATTTTACAGACACTTCACTCACAATGCCAGAAAATATTTTGAAATCTAAGAAAAAATTGAGGAAATCTAAATTGCTATCAAGACAAAATAATGTCCATTTAGGAGCAGAGGTATTGTTTAAAAAAAAAAAATTGCTTAAGATATGTATTCTTTTGACAAGAAATACATTATTTACTAACTTCTCTTATTTCCCCTTAAATAGTCAGTAATCTCAAATGCTGCCAAATCTGATGCAGTCCCAACATCAGAAGTTGACAGGGAAAGTTCATCTGATATTGAATATGATGGAACAAATATCCCAGAATTGAACTTTGACTGTGATATTAGTATTCCAACTGGTGAGACTGGTTAGTTTTTTCTTTTTAAGTTTTCAAAAGCATTGTAAGTATTTTATTTTGTTTCCTTTATCAAAATTTTCTATAAAAACAATTTGATCAACAAAATCCTCTTAATTGTTAAATAAATGTTTATGAAATAATATATTTCATAAAAAAAAATAATAATTTGTCTAAAATGTTACGGATGCGAAAGTTTTTCAAAATTTGTTTGATGTTAGAAATATTTTATATTTATGCTATAATCAGAATATTTTATCTTTTAATAGTCAGCTATCAACAAACCCAGTTTGTATTCTCATAGATATTATGGAATTCTAATATTTATATTCAAAGAAACATAATTATAAAGAATTAACACTAACTTCTATTATTAATTTTAACAAAAATTAAATTTTTTACTTAATTGTGTTTTCTTTTAATGTATTGCTTTACGATTGAGTATTGATTCAAAAACCGTGAAATGCCTCAATGCAGCTTTTTTTATTAAATTTTTTGTTCAATCTGTTCATAATTGCTGCAGTTCAATTCATTTCTAATCAGTATTTATTTTCAGTCAATAAACATTTATTAAAAGAAAATCAAAAATAGTAAATCATCATTAAAATTTTTTTTTTTTCACTTTGAATTAATTACTAACTGTAGTATGTAGTTTGAATTACCTTGCTTTTTAGATTGAGATGTATAATTTTTATTTAATATATTTTTGATATTTTTTTTCATTATTTTGTATTAATATAGGTCAAAATGAGTGAAAAATATTTAGCATTTTAGTAATTTATGGTTATGAAATACAGCATAATACACTAGTGTCTTTTTCTGTGTTAAAGGTAAAATCTTCTAAACACAGCAAACTTCCAAACAACAATCAATCAATTTTTCACTTATTTGCAATTATTTAGATCTAAGAGAAACAGTTATTCATCATTGAACTTTGTTTAATTTGCACAATCAATTATTGATTAATTTTTGAATATGAATGGAAAAAAAATTATTAAAATAAGTTTTTGAATTTTATATTTAGGTGCAAATATAATTCCTACCACTATTAGACTTATTCCTAGTCACTATTAAACTGTTTTTATAATTAAAAAATATTTCTACCTGTTATTGGAGCCTCAAAAAAAACTATACAACACTGGTGTCCCATTTACGCCAAAACGTTAGAGATAGACTTATAAATGTATAATTAGAATGTAAGATCTATTTAAACGGATATAATGAAGCACCTTTATTTTTCTTCAAATTAGTGACACGGGAGAGGTCACACTGTTAACCATTTAACTAATAATATTTTATGAATTGAAACAATTCTTTCTTGTTTTTATATAAAGCTATCCTTGTGTATTTATCATGTGAAGATTCTGTATGTCAGAAATAGGATGCAAATGTTTAATTTGTGAAAAGTATGATTTTCATTAATAAAAGTATAAGATTAAAAGATTTCAAATTTAACTAATGGTTACAAAATTAAATGAATAGCAAATAAAAGAAAAAAACAGTTATAAATTAGATTTATCATTGGAGGTAGTGGAATTAATAATTCTAAATTTGTGTGCTACTGAATTGAAGATAAATGACATTCATTTTGCTTCATATGAAAAAGAAAAATACTTAATTCATCTTATAAACTATTTTTAGGGATCATCTACTGATATTTTATCACTATTTTTTTTTAATTAATATCAGCTCTCTCTTTAAGTTTATAGTGCTATAGAATAAATTAAAATCAGTGATTCGGTATAAGTTTTTTGAAAAAATTTAGAATTAAGTCTGGTGAGTAACTCTTAAAACAATACCAAAATTTCATAGACAATTTACAGTAGTCCCCCTCAGACTTCAAACCAGCCATGGCATAGGTCACCAGATTGCGTCTGCCAGGGTACTGGCAGATGCAAAAATAGCTGTATTTTTCTGTTTAACTAATATTTATATTTTAAATTTTTATTGTTATTCCTGTTTTTTCCTCCCTGTTTGTGTAGCATGTTTATTTTCTCCCTTCTAACCAATAATGAGCACCTCAAGTACTGCTGTTAAAAATAAAAATTTAAAAAAAATGGATATGTGGTGATCAGTTGTTAAAATCTGGTTCTATTTGGAAGATAAAAATAACTGAATTATTGAATAAGTCTATGTCATCATTGAGTGTTAACGGGAAGTTTCTTCATCTTTGAAGCTTCCAAACAAAATATACCGGGTCTAACTGAGCTTTCATATTTCATAATGTTTCTGACAAGAAAAAGAATTATTTTTTTTAATTATATAAACTGCATAAAAAAATTAAAACTATCTGTGTGTTAATCTTTTGAAATGAAACCTTTGTATTCTGGAAATGTATACTAATAGAATTGTGCATATATTTTACTAGGAAATAATCAAGCAAATGATTTTAATGTAAATGATGAATGTAGTGAGAAAATCAGTGAATTTCTTCAGAGGTATTATCTCCTTTACTTATGTTTTATCAAATACATATATTAAAAAGCATTTTGTTCTTCTTATATGTATAATATGTGAGTGTGTGTGAAGTTTGATTAAACTATGATGCGTATATAAGCTTAAAACTGTTAGTTTGAAGGCTAAATCATACTTATGAAATTTTTATGCTAAAAATTAGAATTTTTGTTTTTTAACCATACTTAAATATCATAAAACAGTTAAAAAATAAATTTTTTGTTGTTTTTAAAGTACATTATTAGCTTAGAACATTAAAATAAGAAATCCCGGCATGTCTCTCAGTTGAAGAAAAATGCTTACAATTCTAACTATTATTTGATCAAATATCACGATTTGATATTTGATCAAATAATTTAAGATAGCAATAAATAAGATCGAAATAATTGTTCATTTTTGTAATTTGATTTACTTCCCCCCTGACATTAATTTATTTTCCTTATTATTATTCATTTCAGTGAGAAAAAGGCTATCTGAATTTTATATGTAAAGATAGATACGTAGTATTTAAATTACAGTTCAACTGTAGCACAATTTTTTAAAAGCTCTTATCATACAGTCATTATTTTAATTACTAATTATCTGTTTGAATTAAGATTCTCAAACTTTCTGTTTATTATGAAACATAGAATGTATATGTCTCATAATGTAAGACTATGAAACAGGAGTTAAGGAAATGTGTAGACTATAAACATATTGTGAACTGAACTTAAAATTCAATCAAGTATTTAATAAGTTATTGATAAAATAAGTGAAAATATAAATTAAAAGAAATTACCTGGCACCCATGAGTGCATTATGAATTCCCTTTAAGTGATGAATGAGTTACTTTGCGTGATTTTTCAAATTGTTGCTTGAAGCTCTATATAGCTGCTAGTATTTATTTTTCGTAATCTATAAATAAATGTATTAACTATATAATTTAGAAGTCTAATGCGATTTCAGTAAGATTTTCGCTTTAAATATATTAAGTTTTCCAGTGATAAAAGTAAGTTTTTCTTATGAAAATAGAAGTTAATATAATAGGGGCCAATTTATTGATGTACATACAATCCACGTTATTTTTATAATTGTGAAGAAGAAAAAAAAATTTCATGTAAAAATATGTCAGTTTTCAGTTGTGAAACTTCAGTTAAGATTTAAAACGGGCATCTCATTTAAATCTATGAATATATATGTTGATATTTTTTTGTGTAGCTTGAATATTGAAAACAAAAGCTCTATTGAAGCCCGGGAGTCAATTTTTAATGTAAGTTTTCCTCCCTTTACAAATGTTTTTCTGCACCTGGCCTTTTGTAAACTATTTTTTTCTTTTATTGTAGACTCTTGAACCTGCATATGAAAGTCTTTTTAAGGAATCTGAGGATAAAGAGCTTGCTGATGATTATATTGATTTTAAATCTCCAGTTGTAGATTCAATTCTTCTGAGAGACCAGCTTGAAGAAGAGACTTTTCTTCAAAATCTTAAAAAATTGAGCTCCTCCCAGGTAACCACTTCAGACCCAGTCTGTTTTTTTTTTTTTTTAAATCATTATTTATTGTTTTACTTTCCAAAAAATTTGGCTCTTGGCATTTCCAGCAAAATTAAATTCCTAGTGCACTTTAGCATCCAAATATAGTCTCGGTGCTGCCATCTAGTGTGGCAGAAACTAGATGTCCGAATTAACATGACCAACGGTATCTCACCCATTGTGGTGGTCCTGAAAGAGTGGATACCACCTCTGGAGAACGCACTAGGTCTGCTCATCGGCAAGACCGATTGTGCAGCTCATTAGAAATAAAATTTTCAAAAAAAAACTTTCCAAAAAATGGGAATCTTAAATTTATATTTCACATTGAAAGCAAAACTTATCAAATATAGTACAGTACTACCTTGAAAATCCGAACTTCTGAAATCCGGAAATCTCTAAAATCTGGACTCGTGTCCAGTCCGTCAAAAAAAAAAAATTCCGAAGCAAAATTTAAATGTAACAGCACAAAAACCACAACTCTACTCCAACTATGAAGCAGTAGATGAAGAGGTAGGGGTGGGGAGTGAATGAAAGCTCTTAACCTTGAAGCTTAGGAGGTGTGGACAAGTTCTTTCATCCCCCAATAGGAAAAGGATTAGTATCAGCTGGTGCAGTCTAGTCTAGAAGCATCTGTTTCAGTTATAAGTTGAAATTCAGCTCTTGTTTTAAGCCTATTTTTTTAGTTTTAATTACTAGTATTATGTTATCTGAACGATCGATTACGGGGGGATGACGAAAGTATGATTTTTAATGTCTCTTATTTATTAAAGTATATATAACTATAAAGTTTTTATTGTTTAGTGCTATTATTTTAAACCATTTTTGTTCCAGTTTGAAATTCAATAATGAACCCAAAGTTTTTCATGTACAAACATGTCTATTATTTGTTAAATAATTAAATTTGAATATCTCAAAACTTATTCCACGGAATGAGTGAAAATAATTACTACGTATTGTCTCTTCGATGTAAGTATAAATAATTATTTCCTTTATCATGGAATGATAGTAAAGTTAAGTATTGTGAAATTTATATATCCTTAGTAACCATTCTATTTTTTAAAGAAAATTATTTATTATAGATTATGCCTGCATTTTGTCCTGATGAAATATCTGCACGTTCTTCGTCTTTAGGGTCTCCAACTGATAAACTAACTAGTTTTAGTTCAAGTGTAAATATTGATTCATGTTTCGATGATCCAAAAACAGGTGGTCTATTGGATAATAAAAGTTATGATACATCATGCTATGGCAGTGCTGGCACTGAACTAAGTGGTAAAACCTTGCTTTTTTTATTCAAAATATCTTTACTTTTTTAAGAAAAAAATCTTATTAAAAAAATTTCTTCTTTCATTGATTTATTACCAATGGGCCGAAATTATGATTGTCAATTAAACCAATTACTTTAACTGAAATTGTATTTGTAAAGACCTTTTAACTTTTAGTGTTTGTAGCAGGGTTGGGGTTTTGGACAGGACATGTGGATTTTACTGTCTTAAACTGGGTAAAACTGTCCTAAACTGTCTTAAAGTGTCCAAAACTTTGAACTTTGGTAAAAGGTAAAAATTCTACAGGTGTAACCATTGCACACATAATTGCATGTATCAATAAATATTTGATATTTTTTATACAATTTACTATAACTTATTAAAAGAAAATAATATAATATAATAGGAAAAGATTTATAATTTTTGAAGCTCCACAATTCATTGAACAGCAAAAGTGAATACCTAATCCTTTAAATGTAAATATGCTTCTAATGCTGATAAATAATATATTTGCATAAGGATAAATATGGCAATATTAAAAAATAATAATTTTTCTTAAAAAAAAAAATACTAAATTTGTTCAAAAATTAACCTTTTATTTTTCACAATATTTTTTTAAAGAAAAATTTATAATTTCTGCATCAAAGGATGATAAAAAAGACATCTGTTTATAAAAAAAATTGTTTTTAAATATAAATATATTAGTTTAAATTGAAAATACAAAATAACTGACAAATGTATTAACGGTTTTGAAGGCCATAACATCAGTTTCAGTTACTGACACTGGTGATGTATCTCCACTGTGCTAAAAGAATTGAACATGAATGAAATAAAAGTATTCTTGAACAGTACTATAGATAAATAAACCTGTTTATGATGAACCAACCACTTAGTCCCTAATATTTTAACCTGTATGGTAAGGCCAAACTTCAGTTATGTACTATTGAATGAAAGGACCAATTGAACTTGATTACTGATTAATCTTCTTTTGTTTAAATTGAAGAGTCAAACAATATTAATAAAACATTATACTTTTAAAAACAAATATTCTCTAGTATATTTAATTATCAATATGTTATTAATTCTATGTTTATTTTACCTCTTAAATATTGTTCAGATAAAATTGTGACATAATTTGAGTAAAAGGGTTTTGGACAGTTTTGGACAAAGGGGTTTTGGACTGGACGGTTTAAACCAGGGTTTAAACCGTGGATTAATCCATTCTGTCCTAAACCTTGCCAACCCTGGTTTGTAGTAATGTTTAAATCTGTAAGGCAAAATGAGAACCACACAACTGTTGATTTCAACTCCTTTGTTATTTATATTAGCCTTCATAATTTAATATTTTTTTTAAAAAATCATTAATATTGAGCATTAAAGCAAATTTAGAAAAGGTTATTTGCTTTGCCTCAAGAATTTAAATTTAAAATCTTTTTAACTCTTATTCTGATTTAAATTTTAATATTGGGAATAACATTGCTCGCATTGATCATATATTAAGCTATCCTTATATCAAAGCCAACTAGCAAACACTGCAATACTATATAGCTTTCTCTCAAACTTTCTCCTCATTTGGATATGACTCAGGAAGGATGTTTTTTTCACCAGGAGTGATTGAATTCCGGGTGTTCAACTGAGTTTTGGATTTCTCGTATTATCCCTCCAGGTCTAGGAGCAAGGTGTGTGATTTTTATCGCAGAATTTCGTGTATCTCAAGACCATTGATTCCTGGTCTTCCACGAATCAAAGCTTACTGTCCGGTGAAATTTTCCCGCAATTTAAATTTTGAAACCTTCTCTTTGCATTAATGACAAGTTTTCATACACATGACTTTTCCGCAATTTTTATTTTTTGATTTGTCTTATTTTGTTTCTCTTATTGTGTTTAATCTTTGAAACTATCAAGTGCCGATTTTTGTTTTGACTTGATTTAAAAGTTAATCATTGTGAATCATATTCACACGATTTAAAAATAGTACATCAGGATTCGTATTCACATGATTAAAATATGCAATATCCTAATTTGTATTTACAAATTTTTTAAATCAATATTGAACTTGATCACTAGCGATTCTTGTTCATGTGAGTTTAAAATCCAATGTCGCTATTGGTGTTTACAGGATGTAGAAATCGTGCATTGCGATTCGTATTTACGCGATTAAAAAATCCAGTATTACGATTTGTATTTTCGTGTTCCTAAATCCAATTTTGTGATTGATATTCACGCGATTTTAAAACTCAGTGTCGTTATTCATATTTACGTGATTTTAAAATCCAATAAGGTGATCTACGTGATTTTGAAATCCAATAGCACAATTCATATAAGAACTGAACTATGTTTTTTGTGAAGTTAAGTCGTTATTGGTGGGGAATTTAATTTATAAATCTTAGTTTAAAACATGTTAAATAGGAATAGTATATAAATTGATAACTAGTAATAGAGTTTTTGCACAAAGTTTTCAGGGTTTTCACTTTGTGACATAATCACCTCTGATTTGACTTTTTGCCATAAACCCCAAAGAGCAATTTAACAATTTGGGTAGCCCTGTTTTAAGGAAAACTAGTTTTTTTTTAAACCATTGAAAAGATATTTGTGTTAATCAGATAAAAAAAAATCTGTTTAACACAAATTAAACATAAAATTTTTACTAAACTTTTATTCAAATCTTTTATATATTTTGGAACTGTTACTTTTTAGTATCTGTTTCTGCCACATCTCCATATGGTTCATTTGTATCAGAAAAGGATTTACCTTGTAATGAACTTGGAATAGGACTGGATACAGATAACAAATTAGGAGCTAGTAACTTTTTCAGTACTTCTAATCTCTTTTCCAGCACCCAATTCGGTATTTCCGATTCAGAATTCATGAAACCTGGTAAGGTTTAAAATTTTTAATTTTCTTATATTTATGCATGCTTAGGCATAATTCAGTTGGGAAAGTAATGCTTTTGTATTTTTTTAGATGAAGTAAACGATTTGCTGAGGGAAGATGAGGAAGCATTAAGGAAAGAACAAATGTTTGAAGTACGTACTTTAAATTAAATATGATTATTTAATGTTAAATACAAACATGTAAATTCTACCATCATGCAGTGTTTAAACAATAATATTGTTAGTTGATAGATTTGCTATTGCATTGTAAGGAATAGTTATATATTTTTTTTACTTTATCTTTTAATTAATTTGTATTGTGCGCTTTTTTTTTCTTGCAATAACCTGTCTGATTAGGAAAAAAGTTTGGCACTTTTTTTATTTTGCTGGTACGATTGAATTCAGATATTTTATTTATTCTTTGTAATAAAAAAAAATGGACGTCACTTATAAAAGCAGTTTAATTTTACTTACACCTGGTGATTTTACATTGGGGACACCTACTCTAATGAAATAAATAGTACCTAAAATTCAATTGATGAAGTTTATTTCCTGCATATTATTCTTAAATCATTGAGTTTCGTTGCACAGAACTTACTATACTGTTAAATTTTTTGGTATTTAGATATCTTCAGTATCCAAATCAAGTGAAAGTTCAGATCAACAGCCAGAGGATTCTTCTACCATATCTTGGAATTTAGAATTGCAGAACAGTCACGGTCATCAAGTTTCCATTGGTGCTCTTTTTGGTCCATGCTCTGAGAATGTTGGAACCTTATCAGATGATTCTCATAGAGAAAGAGTCAGTACCTCTGATTTTAAAATACAATATTCTATTTAATAATGTTTTATTTTATTTGTATTATTTCTGACTTGCATTTAAAGATATTAAAAAAAAAAAAAAAAAGTTTTGTGTAGAAACACTTAAAACATAGGACATGTCTTAAACAAAAGTTAAGTGTTCTTTTCCTAACTTTGATTTTTTACTTTTACGATAGAAATAAACTTATACATAATTATTCATTCAAATTATGCTGTATATAATTTATTTAAAATTCAATGTTTTGAAAATATCGATGATTTAAATTTATGAAGACATTAGCATCTTTAATGATTTTACTCAAGAAATTTTCCGGTTTTTTGAGTTGGGCTCACAATCACCCCTGCTTTTACCTATAACATAGCTGCCAACTTTACTGGATTTTGCCAGTTTCTCCTGGTCTACTGATTTAATAAAAATTCTCCTGGTTTTTGTAAATTTTCGAGAATTCCCTAAAATTGAGTAAGTTTCCTTAAAAAATACCTGTTGAAATCGAATTTTTGTGCAGATTATTGCTTGCTTGAATATGTAAATAAGTGTCACTGTCAAAGAAGCCTCATATCACTGTCAAAGAAGCCTCATGTAAAATTCAGTTAACTATCTTTGATGAATTAAATGCGTATTCAAAATTATGAATAAACATACTACATAACATTTCATGTGAAATCATAACTGGAAAATATTGCATTATACTGGATCCTAAAATTCTCTATGCGTAAAATATTTAGTATATTTTGCAACAATTATCATGAAATTTATATTTTGTAGCATCGATTGGATTATTTCCTATCCATGTTGGCAGCTATGCTATAACAATCTCATATAACTACTCAGTATACTTTCTCCATACATTTATTAATAACAGGCTTTTGTATCCTGTTTGAAAGCAATTTATTCTTATTTATCATTGACGAACCACCTGAAACTATTTTGAAATTGTGTCTTAAAGATATGAATGGAGAAAGAAATTTTAAATCTTATCTTTCTGTTTCATATTATTTGATACTTTAGGGTTATATTTAACTGAAATATATATTTTCTGAAATTAGGATTATTTTAAATTGTGATATGTTGCATTATAGCTGTTAAAGAATTAACATATCCAAACGATCCTCAACATAATAAACACAGGCTCAAAAAATTTCATGACATTGAAAATCCTACATTGCAGTTCTATGAACCACAATTCTGTATAAAAAGCAATATTTTACTGGTATAAACAATGTAAATTGCATTTTTAGAAAAGTTTCTTTAACTGAGCAAAAACTATAGATGCTCACAGGCTACGAGGAAAAATTCTTTTTTAGACAGTACTATCTCTAAAGTTTACCAGATTAATAAATTTTTTCTTTAGTCCTGTTCTTGATCATTTAAATATTTTTCTATAAATAAGAAATAAATTGTATATTTTTGTATTTTAAAGTTTGTAATTGATTAATATTTTAAAGCATTAATATTAACCTGCTCCATACACAGATTGTCATGAATAGTAGGCAAGCTTGAGGAGATGTGAGATAATTTATGTAACAGAAAACTATATGTAATGCAAAGCATCACATTTTAAGATTTACATTATAAAAAATCTTCTATTGTATATTTTTTTAATAATTTAATCAGAAAAAAAAATTTTAAGGTATATTTAAGGATCTTTAGCATGCATATATTTCCTTAAAAAAAACTAGCAGGAAAGTATTAAATATAAATTTTCTTACCAAACTATTATTGGTTTCAAATTTTTAGAACCATCCATTTTTTATATGTAGTTAAAAAGTCTAAAGTTCTTCGCTTTAACTTCTGGAATAGGTTTCACCTTTAATGGACATTTTTCATCGAAAAAACATTTCAAAAAAGATCTCTGCCTGGTCTGCTTTAGAAAATATTTTTTGGCTCTTAATCCTTTAGAATAAACTCCAATGTTTTTAAGAATTCGGTGAACTTCTGCTCTCTTGTGGCTGCACTCTTGCCACAAACTTTCATAAAAGTTCTTTTTCCTTTTCTCAAAAATTTAAAAAAATCTAATACTTTCTTTAATAGTTATCTCCCAATTATTTAGTAACAGTTTAAGCTTTTTATTTGTTTGATATTCCTCGCTTTTCAGAACACAATCATTTTTGAAATTGTTTTTTTCTTACTATTCTAGCCATATTTTGGTACAACTGTATCAACACCTACAAAATGCTATCCTGATATTTCCAAGAACTCTAATTTTGGAGAACTTTCTGCTGAAATCTCTGGTAAATTATTTTTTATTTTTTTTAATATTGAAATAGATCTTCAAATTAATCAGAAAATAATTATATAATGATAAATCGGAAGATAGCATTCTTACAGTCTTTAATAGTGCCGGAATGTAATTTGTTATTAAATTTGATGTAACCTATTTGATGTACCTATTGTAATTTTTTATTAAATTTGTGTTTGGCTCCAAATAACTATCAATTAGAAATTTTTCTTATATTATAAAAAATTTATTTATTTTTTTAAAAAAAGTTTCAAGTGTAGATAGCTTATTGTTATAGTATACAATGACACATCATAAAAAAAGTAATTTAGGTAAGGGAAATATTTTTAATTTATGAATTGATTTTCAATTCGAAATTCTATTTCTGTTCATTATCGCAAACATCCCAATTGCCGTGACGTTGTAGTGATATGATGCTAAACATATCCTCATGTCACAAATTGTATAGTGGGATTTTAAATATACTATGTGCTATGGATCAGATATTTGGTTTTGAGAATATGCAGTACTTCACCTAATTATTTAAGCTTAAATTTAAAGTTTCTATTTTTCCATTTTAAAATTAATTTTTTTTCCATCATAAATTTAACCTTAAATATAATGTTTAGAAGAAACTATGTTTTGATGTCTATTATTTTTTTTTATAGTATTGAATTTTTATGCTTGGAAGGAAAAAACAGGGAAAATGGAAGGGCTGCAAATACTTTTACTCACTACCATTAATTTTTGCTCGGTACAGAGTTTTTTTTTCTTTCAAGTTCATGTGTATTATTAAGTATATACCTTTATGAATCATACTAAGAAAAATACCTTAATTAAAACTGCACTAATTTTAATTTTATTCATGTTGTATGTATTATTGTTTTTCTGATTATTGATAGCTAATGTGAAAAGTTGGCTTCTTTGCTTCATTTACCCTTTGGGATTTGGCTTAATTTACCCTTTCGCTCTTTTCTCTTTATTTTGCGTCTTGGTATTTAAGAAATTTTTTCCCTTTTTACTGATTACATTATTCCTGATCCAATATGTTGTTATTCTATATTTAATATTGCACTTCAAAGGCACCTTTTGTTCTTTAGACAAAATATAAAAATAAATGCTAATTTTAAATTATTTATGTAAAATAGTAATTTTATTTCAGGGTCTACAATGTCTGCAATGAAAAGCATTCTATCATCTGAAAGCATTCCTTCTGAATCAAGTCAGTTTTGTCGAGATATTGGTCTGTCTGATATTTTGGAGGGAGATTCCACTTTTCGGCCATCAAGATTGGCCTCTAAAATATTCGAGAATTACCGTCCTGTGCACAACTCTACCTCCAATGTCACATCCCATTCTGAAAAGGGATCTCAAGAAGAAAATGGCTATGAAATACTGAATTCTGTTTCATTAACTTCGGCTACTCCTTCCCCTAATGATACTCTGACTGTAGTAGAGCAGGACAACACCACAATTCAGAACTCTCCAATAAGTAGAAATCAATCTCTCGTATCTCCTTCTGTAAATAGCACTTTAACTGAATTACGACAACCTAATGACAACCCCCTGTTAAATATCTCCAATTCAGATGCAGTAAGTGATGCTGGCATAAAAATGGATGTTAAGTCATCTTGTCCAAATTGCCAGTTTTCCTTTCAGAATACTACTTCTTCTACAAGACCATCTTCTTCATGCTCTAACTGTCCTAGTATTCAGTTTCCTAATCATCCCGTCTCTGTTCAAACCCAAAACTTTTTAAATGGTCCCAGCAATTGCTTTCATAATGGCATGTTATATAATGCAACGTATGGAGCTGTGCAACCACCAATGATGTCTTTCATATCACCTCTTCAAGCTGGACTCAGTAGATACAATCCTTATCATTTACAAGGTATCATTTTGTATTACTAAGTTATTTTACTGCATTCAGGCGTGTGGTTTTTCCAAAATTCCACGAACATAGATTTGAGGATTTCTGCAAATCAATTTTTTTTCTATTCGGAAAAGATTTTCTCAGTGTTTCGCTTATCTAAAATTTAAATTGTGTTATACAAAATCTTGTTAACGAAACATTTATTCTTTTTAAGTTCTCATTCACACGTGATTATTGGCAATTAGCATATTTTTGTTTAAATCCCATCCCCTATATTAAACTAAGTAATTCTCCTTATTAACAATATTTATTTAATTCAATACAATAATTATTAATGTGAATTAATTCGATACACTATTTGATTATATAAACCTACTATATTAAGTTTTGCTCAAACCTATGTAAAAAGTATAACTTAAACGATGCTTATCTAATTCAGGTTACTAAATAAATAGTATCTAAAAGTATTTTTCCCATTAAAAGAACTCGTAAAGAATTTAATATTATCATTTCTAATCTTGTTAAAGCTTAAATCAACCAGAAAAACTTTTTTATGTCTGAACTTCAACTTCGATAACGGTGTCGTAATATTTTTGTTTACTTTTCCCTGCGTGAGATTGACCTCCTTAAACAAAGCTCAGCTCGTGCATGACATATCTTGTGACGTTATAGTGATACTGGATGGCAGGTCATTCAGTCTTCAGCCAATCATAGATGGACACTTGTCTAGAGCTTCTAGAATGTTGTTTGAGTATTTAAGCAGGAGTTTCGAAGCTAGTCTTTCTCTTCACTAAATTACTTTGATTATTCTACTGACGTTCACAAGTTTGAGAACTGCCCAACAGTCATCTTGTTAACAAATAATTATTCATATACTGCCAGTATTCCAAAATGATTTTAATCAACTGTTTTTGATTTTAATATTTTTAGATTAATAAATTAGAATCTATTTAAAAGCTTAGTCATCATTTTAAAAATACTGCAATTCAGTTTTACTTAAATCCACTCTATTTTCCGTCTAAAGGGAAACAGAGATGACAGTTTTTTTTTTTTTTAAAACAAAATTGTTATAGAAAAGCAAAACTTCAAAAATGCTAGATTGGGGGAAAAAAACTCTTTAATAACTTCAGATAATAACGTCATGAACAGGCAATCACAAAAGTATACCATTGATAATATAAAAGTAATTCCGAAATGGAAAACGTTTAAAAGATTGTTTGCAAGATAATTGGTGTTTCTTCCTCTCTTTTTTAAAAAAAAAAAAATTATAGTTTAATAAGTAGCAATTTTGTTGCAAATTCCAATTTGTAACAGAAGAATTATTTAACCAATGTGATATATTTGAATAAATTTCTGACATGGAAATTTCGAATCTGGCATTTCAGTAATTACTTTTCAGCATGCTTGATGCCATCGGAGATGTGTGTTTCGATCATTTTTTTCTTTTGTATTTTATTTTGTATGTATACAATTTATTTCTCATGGTTTTTAAAATTCTGATATTATAACTGCATGCAAAATTTGAAACACTAATTTGAGTAAACACTTTTCATTGCTCTCCAGGGATGAGATTCTTTCGCAGATTTCCGCTTTTTTTCAGATTTTTCCATTTTTCCCACTAATTTCCGCTAAAAAAAATTTTTGTACAAGTTAAAATATTTTATGAGGAATTTAATTTTCCGCGGAGCGAAATTATTGAAGTCCTCACTCCTCCCTCTGAAGTTTCTATAAAAATCATTTTCTTGGGATAAAACTGGTTGACCTTCATACAGGGATGAGATTTTTTTCGCTTTTGTCTCTCGAATTTCAGCCTTTTTATCAAAAACTCAGATTCTCTAAAAGTNTTTTTTTTTTTTTTAAAATAAATATTCCGTTTTTTAGTGAAAATTCAGTCATTGAAGTAAAATAATTATACAGGATTCCCACGGTCCTTAAAAGTCCTTAAAAACTGCTTAATTTTTATTTAGGAAAATAAGGGCCCTTAATAGTACTTAAATATGGTATAAGGTTTTTAAAAGTCCTTAATTTTTCAACATTACTATACCCTGTAACAAAATTGCAGTGACAAGGCGACATTGGTCCAGAACTTTACAAACTTAATTTACGCCAAGAGTATCATAAAACTGTGTCGTGTTTGATTGTATTTTTGGTAGTTATTGATATTGCTTTTATTCGGGTTTTAAAATGTTCAGATATATTTTAGACACAATGTATATTTTATTCTGAAATATTTTGACATAATGATTAAATTTTTTTTTTATAAATTTTTTGGCAGTGATTGCTATAGATTTCCACGAAGTTTAAAATCCGGTGTTTTAAATGCGATCTTATTTATTATAACAACCGAAAAACTTATTCGAACTTCTCTTTTTTAAAGAGTCCTATTAGCGTGATTTCGTCGTCGACCTTTATTTCGGGTTTTACTGCCACAGGTTTTAAGATTTTTAATTAATAATCGTTTCATTCATTTACGAATTTAAATTATGTAATGAATTTACAAAATTCGAGAGAGGAAATAATTAACGTGTGTTATAATAATTAGTCCTACAAAATGCTAGAATATCGCCTATAATATTAGAATTAAAAAAATACTACATTTATAATTAAAAAAACTTTTAAAAATTTTTACTCTGTACTTTCTTCTGTAAACACAATTTTTCTGTTACTTTAAATTATTAATTGTTATAATTAAAAGTATCTTGCAGAAAAATACTAATGGTGGGGAAATTTGTCACAGAAAGCCTGAAAAATTTCTGCCACATGGTCACTATAGTTGATAGAAACAATTTTTCAAGTCGATTTTTCATAACAAAAAGTTGTTCTTTTATTAACTAGGATTAATCCGTGCATCAAAAGTTGGGCATTTTAGAGAGACAATAAAGGATATGTGTGAGGGGGCTATAGGCAAAGGCCATAGAAATGTGTTGATACCTTCAAAAAATCGTTTTAAACCCTTTTATTTATGTTTCACTGAGAACTAATAAACATTGGTTTGAAAATTATAAATCTTGTCAAATAATCAAAATCACCAAATAATTGTAAATCTTCTTATTCTATAAAAATTTTCATTCAAATATTTAGTGCAATGACCTAAAAAATTTTCTTTTAAGCTTAATGAAAAAAAAGTGGAATGGTTTAAAGTGCTTAGATATTAGTATGGTCTGTTTTTACTTGAAATAGGACCTAATTTAAGTTAAGTTAATATAGTTAGAAAACTACTCTCATGCATAACTCTAATTCTTAGTATCAATTCATTTAATATATATACCATTCAATATATTCATTTAATATAAATAGGAAATTTTATTAATAGCATTCATTAAAAACATTTTATTAAAAACTTGTAATAATTTTTTCCCAAATTTCTTTATTTACTCTATTTCTTAAAAATACGGAAAAAAATTTTAAATCCTAATTTTACAATTCAATTTCAATTAAATCATTAAAAATGGAATATATATTCGTTTTATGGATGGCGTTAACCCTTAACAATCTGAAAAATATGTTTAAAAAAACTCTACCCTGGTTTGCCAAAAATTACCTGGTCCAGCTTTGATGAGCCTTGTTAATTAATACAAATACATTAAAAAAATGGTTTATTATTTTTTTATTGATTGATTTTCTTTTTTAAGACAGGTAAATAATTGGCACTGTAACTTGTGGTGCATAGATATTCGATGATAAACAATCAATACTATTTTTAAAAATAGTCTTAAGGTCCTTAATTTTCCAAAAAAAAGTGCTTATTAATTTTTTTTTTTTTAAAGTCCTTAAACGTCCTTAATTTTGGCTTTGTTAAAAGAGTGGGAACCCTGTTATATTTATTTACGATTTTCAAAGAAAAACAGAAAATTCAAACTACGTCTTAGCTGCTAACCCCTCCGCATTTTTATTCACATTAGCTATTTTCTCAGATTTCACGCACAGAAAATAAGATTTTCCATATTTTTTATCTGTCGGCGGGGTAGCTCGTATTTTCGTAATTCAGACGTCGCTGCTTCTTGTATTCTGGAGTGAAATCAAACAAAAAAAATAGAGGTGGATTTGCAGTGAAAATATTTATTTACTCATTCATTTAATCTTGTAAATTTTTATTTATTATGTCTAAACAAAAAACAATACAAACAAGCCTTTTAAAAATCCCAAGTCCAGACTCTGCAAATATCGCGATTTTTATTCACGCGATTTTAATATCAATCATCGATTTTCGTATTTACCTGATTTAAAAGTTGCGCATTGCAATTCTTATTTACGCTTTTTAAATATCGTACATTATGACTCGTATTTACGAGATTTAAAAATCCAATGTCGTGTTTTGTATTTATGCATTTTCAAAATCGTGATTTTATCAAACATCCATTTTCGTATTTACCCGATTTAAAAGTTGAACGTTGCGATTCTTATTCAGGTGATTTAAATATTGTACATTGCAATTCTTATTTACGAGATTTAAAAAACCAATATCGCGATTTGTATTTACGAGCTTTTAAAACCCTGATATTGGGATTTATAATCACATGGTTTACAAGTTTAAAAAATCGCACTTTTTTTGTCAAATTTTTGTTTATATATATACTCATTCTTCACGGATCTGTCCAAGCCAAATTTACTACCGTTTAGCGGTACCTTCACAAATTCAACTTTAGGAAAAACGGCAGTTTCACAAAATACTTTTTCTTAAAATTTTATTTTTGTGTCTCCTAAGAAACGATAAATATATATTTTTGTGTTGATTTTTTAATATAAGTTTTTAATTTTCACAAATTATGCCTAAATTTTCACAAAATAGGTACCTCTCAGAAAAACCTACACAGACCCCTGTTCTTGGATTTCCTCTTTTTTACTTTCCGACTACTCTCATCCCTGGCTCTCGATTTGTGTCTATACCATCACAGAGCTCCCACAGTCCTTAAAAACTGCTTAATTTTTAATCTGCTGCCCTTAAAAGTACTTAATTTTAGTACAATTTTTTAAAAAATACCTTAATTTTTCAGCATCACTATAGTTGATGGGAGCAATTTTTCAGTTAAATTTTTCAAAACAAAAAGCTGTACTTTTAACACCTAGAATTAGACCATGCATCAAGGGTAAAACAATTTAGAACGACAATGGAATGTGGGGAGGACTACAGGCAAGGGGAAGAGAGCATGTTCTTTCATTAATATATTCTGCCTTTTGCCTAGAATGATACTCTATGAGGAGTGTGAATCATTCTAAAAGAATAGTGTCGATTAGGAGGATGCTGCACATGAAAAAGTTAGTGCTTTTTTGAGGGTGGGGGCAGTTTTAAGGTACCTAAGTAGAAGACCCACACTAACCTTCAAAATTGACAGAATTCAAGAAATTCAGTTTTACTGGTAAAGCATCTGCTTATAGGAATTAAGTAAAACCCTAAGAAAAGAAGTATCAAAAAAATGTTTTGAACTAGAATCCATAACGAAAACTATTTCCTAAAATCTTGAAGAATTAAATTAATTTTCATAATATTTTGTTGTGTAATAAGTAACTGTAAATTCATACACAGCAGTAACATTTTTTAAAATTAATGATGTGCTAAAAATTGAACAGATCTGTAATAAACAGGGTTTGAAAATTCCGAGCCTTCCTAGGTTTTTCATCCAATAAACCCCAGGGCTTTGATTTTTTGATGAAAACAAAGTTTTTTCAAAATACTTAATTTTTTCCCCCCTAAGTACTAAATAAGAAAGCATAATTTGCTTCTAACAAGAAGGTTAGATATTTGGTAACAATTTATAATTTGTTTTGTTGCAATGTAAATTTTTTTTTTTTTTTTTTTGTTTTAGATTGTTACGCTATTATTTTTATTTCTTAAGGATAAGCAGATTGTTATATAAAAATTTAAATCTCCTCAATTAAAAGATCCTTAGATTTTAATAAGCATTTTATTCAGTTAACATTGCAACTTAATACACAGTTTTTGATTTTTCTTCCATCTTTGGTTGCTTTAAAATTAGTTCATGTTTTTCACCAGATTGTTTAGTAACATTATGTAAAGTTAATTCCTAATATCAGGTTTTGCTAGAAATAAATTTTGTAAAATTCATCATAAAAGTAAATATAGCACATTTGCTTTTTAGTAATTTCGAAATTGTTAGGTTATATACCGTTTTCAATATGTTTTTCATAAAATTTTTCAATATTTTTTTACAAACAATACGTTACCTGAAATGGTGATGTTACTGGACTATTTTATAATAAAAGAACTTCAGTTTTAAGCTGTTAATTTTTGATAAAAAATAAGATATCAAATTATAATACAGTAGAGAACCAATTATCCGGGATGCTCAGGACCTCGCTATCCCGGATGTCTGAATTTCCTGGTTTTCTGGATCGGCCAAAAAGTGTCACTAATTTGTATTTTATTGAACCAAATTACAAGGAAAAAGTGTAACACATTTTAAAATAAGAAAGGAAAAAAAGCTCTCCTAAATTTTAAAAGTAACATTTAAAAGAATAAAAATATTTGCAAGTTTAGACAAGAAAAACAAATTTAAAAAATACAAAATTCACAAATTTATTTTTTGAAAATACTTTAAAAAAACCAAATTAACTGATGCAAAATAAAACCAATTATTAAGTAGCGCAATATATTTCATACCTAATTATAAGGGGAAGAAAAAGGAAAACTTATTAATCTAAATAAAAACAACACTTGAAAATTATAGTTAACAATAGTTAAAAAGGGCACTAGCATAAATATTAAAACCCGAAACACATCTCAATATTATAAGCTGAACGGAATTTAAAAACTACTTTTTGATAAAATTTATGAATAATACAAATTTATTTATTGAGTGCGAAATTTATCATGAAAAGAAGAAAAAAAATCAAACTTAATGGAATCAGAAAACCAGAATCTGTTTACTGTTATTTTCTTAGTGACTTGTACAGTTACCATTTAAGTTATAGTGACAGAAGAAAGTACCTTATGAAAATATATATATTTAATACTCAGAATCATTATCTTAATATATTTTTTTAAAAAAATATATACTAGGTATATAGTCATTATTTATTTTTTTTTTTTGAAATTATAGCTGTAAAAAGTGTTAGTATTTGGACCTTCTAATTGAATTGTAATAGCAGGTTTATTTCTTTTATGATTGAAGCAAGCTCACGTCAGTTTATATTAGCCACAAACGCAGTTTTCTGAAAATAAAATTTTTGAGAGATGAGATTGTAGAGATTTTTGAGATTGTAGAGATGGAAGGAACTGTTTTCATATGTTTAAAGAAAGCAACTAAGCAACAAAAAAAACTTTTTTTATAGTCTTAGGATATATATTTCCATAGAATTATTCCATTACTAGTTCTTATTGTTATGTTAGTGTGTTAATCCAAATCTACAAAAATAAAGCTGTTTTCTTTTTCTAAAGTTACAAATAAAATATTTTTAGAATCTGTTTAGATTTTACACAGTTGACTTGATTTGAATTTATATAATTTAATGAATAAAAATTGCATTAAGCCAGAAATCAGTGAATTAATGTAGTTGTTTGTTCTACATTGTAGAGTTTTTCTAGTGGTAGATTTACCAACAAAAAAAAAGTAAATGTTTGAGATACTAAAATAATTTCATAGTGTCATATAGTGTTTTATAGTCATTATACAAAAATTGAACATTTTTGTAAATGAAATATTCATAACAATGTTGTTGTTTTTTTAGGTTTGCATAATATAAATTCTGTTCAAGGCCCTGAAGAATTGCATTATCCAGAAAAATTGTCCATTGGCATTACGAAACTTTTAAAGTTACCTGTCCAAAATATGCTGAATGTACCCTGTTTTTACGAAGTCTCTTGTGTTGCAGCCACTGTGGATGATATGCCTGTTACCATACACCTTTTAGGAATTAATTTACCTCCATTTGTCAAGTGCAATGATGGAGGAGCCACTGAAATTGAGGTATATATGCCTATTAAAAGAAATGCTATTGATTATTTTGTAGGTTGTCAGATTCAGACCTTTAAATTAATGTCTTAACAGTTTTATTGTTATCAAAACTTACTAAGTTTCTTTTCAATTAATTTTACAAGTGTAGTTGATTACTAAAAATGGTTCATGTTGTTGTAACATCAAGTATAAGAAACTATAAGGTGGTTCATAATGTACATTAATCCTTATATGTAGCTTTAGACTAAAATATATTTGACTGAACCTATTTTTCCCCCCTACTTGCAATTAAAATCTGGAAATCCACAGTGATAAATGCTAGAAAACCAAATAGATAAACAGAAAGAGAAAAACAGTTTATTTTTTACGGAATGTCATACTTGATTCAATTTTATTTCAGCCTAAACTAAATAAATATTAAAAAGTGAACAAAATGTGATTTGTATTCTTTTATTACAGATCAGATTTTGTCATTTTACTTCAAAAATGTATATTTCCTTTGGTTTATGATATTAATCTTATCAGGCCATATTTTATTTCTAAAAAAATATATAATTGTCAAAGTTGAGAAAAGGAACATTTTTTGAATAAAATTTTTTCAAATGTTCATAATTAGATTTCAGATAATTTTTATATTATCAATTTTGAACATCAGTTTGTCACACCAATGCATTATTGACCTTATGGTTCTAAATTTTAAAATTTGTTGACCTATTATCTCATAATTAATAAAGTTTTACAAATTTGTATAAGTAACTTTTAAACTCTATATGTGCTCTTATGAATTTGCATAAAAAAATTTTATTGCTCCCATAAACGCTTTCGTGACAATGCTCTGAATTTCTGCAAATAAAGCGCAAAAGAAAAAACTGTTGTGTAGGCATATTCATCCAACACTTTTTAAGAAGTGACGAAATGATTCTTTTTATTTTTACGATACATTTGCTCAAGTAGTTCGGTTATTAATTCCTTACTGTCAAGTTAATGCTTTTAAATTTTATTTATCTGACTTTGAATGCCAATAAAAGAAATTTGCCAGACTTAATAACAAAATTTGTTTGTATGTTATCTTCATTATTTTCCTAATGAGTCCTAATTAAAATAATATCTGATATTCCTAATGAGTATCAGAGATTATTAACATACTCTAGTAAGTCACCTGTCATTACTATAATAGATGATGATTAGATTACTATTTCATTGCTATAATAAGATGTATTATTAGTTAAGTGGAGGGATTATCACTGATGCAAACTGGTATTGGTTTCACACCTCTACTGTACATTTTTAACTGATTAAAAAAAAATTCGAAGACAATTTTAATAGTGCGTAATGATACTTGTTTAANATTTTTAAAGGCATTTTTTGCCCTTTTTAAGGGCATTTTTTTGCACTTTTTAAGGGCATTAGTTGAGATTTTTTAGGTCATCAAAATCCGGGCTCTAGTAATGATACTTGTTGAAAAACTTCATCGGCTTCAAAGAAATATGAAGATGGTTATAAAGTTAATATGTTTCAAGCTCTCAAAAATAGGCGGCCATTATCAAGACTTGCCAGGCATAAATGTGGAAAACAGAAAATAAAAGTATTCTATTTTTCGTTGGTGACTTTTATGTTTCAAATCACTTTTGATTACCTCATTCACATCTGGTAAATCTTGAGAATGGGCACCTATTTTTGAGAGCTTGAAACATGTCTACTTCTGTTACTCCCATCTTCATATTTTTTTGAAGCCAATGAAATTTTTAATCATGTATATATTTCCTCTTCAGTTTCTTGCAATAATTTTAACAAAGCATTCTCTTTAATATTTTTGTATATTTCTCTCCAGATCACACTTTCACCTAACTATGAAGGCAAAATTAGAGCTGAGCTTTCTGTGGGCATTCTTTATGAAAAAGCAGTTCCATTGAAAACAACACTTAAATATGAAGTTCTGAGACCATCAATAAATATTTCAAGTAAAGGAAAGGACTCTTTGAATTTAGGCCCTGTTATAGCAGGTAGTACTGTTATTGAATATGTTACTGTTGAAAATGCATCTGAGGTCACTGTTCCAATACACCTCAATTTATCCAATGTAAGTGGTCTTTTTTATTTTCATAGTTTGCATTACAAATCCTTGAAATGACATAAAACATTTTTTTTTTCCTGCTTTCAGGGCTTGGGTAGCATGAGAGTAAGCTTTTGTGATAATCAATTGAAACATCAAAAAGGAGTGAAAATTGTGTCTCCGACATCTATGTTCTATGAATTTCCTCGGTCACATTCTGGTTTACAAGCATCTCGTTTAGATATACCTTTTGTGTTTGAGGCTGGTAAGTTGTTTTTAATGTTCACAAACTGTAGTTGCTTGATTATTAATAATTTTTAGGGCAACATTGAGTAAGATCAGGTAGCTATGATCTGAGGCCCTGTTGGAGCTAAAATGTTCGACCTAGAAACTGTCAAATTTACTCAAGATATTTATTCTTTAATTCTATTCAATGTCATCTTAGTTGGTCAGACAGCCCAATATGTGCCAATGCCTTCCTCTAAAGATTTCTCCATAATGACTTCTGATTTATCTTTGATCTCCAATTCTTTTCATTAATTGCAAGAAAATCAGACTCCACAGAGTCAGCCCATCTCAACCGCTGCCTTCCCCGCCTTCTTGTTCCTGTGGATCTAAAAAGCAGTATATTTTTATTGTATTGTCATCACTCATTCGAATCACATGGGCCATCCAATTCATTCTATTTATTTTTCTGTATTTAATAACATTGAGTTATTTATAAATCTTGTACAGTTCAAAGTTAAATCTCTTTCTCCAGTTATTGTTTTCATTTACACCACCAAGTATACTCCGTAAAATCTTTCACTCAAATATTGTGATACAATTTTCCTCCAGTTTTGTCACTGTCCAAGCTTCAGAAGCGTATGTCAAGACAAGCTCTCAATTTCATTGAGAGTTTATTTTTTGTCTCAACTTTGATGATAGTAAACATACAGAATTGGAAAGGTCATCTGTCTCTGAGTCTTATTCCTTTGTCTTATTGCATTGTTTCTATGTAATTTTAAAAAATAAGAACTTACATTCTCTTGGCTCTAAAAAATTTATTCTTTGATTATTGTTCATCTGAACTGCTTTAGGATGCAAAGTTTTCAACATTTCAGATAACTTTCAAGAATTGTGTTTGTGTTCAACAAAGTATAATTCTGATACAGTCTTCTATGCTTAAATTCAGAATTATTTATTCATGTCTAATAAGTTTATTCTTTAAACTAATTTACTTAAGCATTAAATATATACTTGAAAATTAATTTGTTATAAATTAAACCATACATAACATGTATGTCATGTTTGATTTTAAAAATTTGTAGAATTTCGATATTAAGCAATAAAGTTACCTCTTTTTTTTTTAGGAAAAAGATTTGGTATTTACTTATTTTTACAGCATGATTAAGAGGATCAGTGTAATTGTTGTTTAAAAACTTAACATATATCCATCTAGCAAAAACAACTATTAAGATTTTAATGTCAAAAGTGTCCACGATGATATTAAAAAAAATTCTGTTAAAAGAAGAAATTATTAACCTTTTGAATGTTGTGTTTAGCATGCTACTATACTAGTCCACTTGTTGATTTAACTGTAAGCAAATGGTTAAATTAGAGATTTGAAAATTTTCTTATTTTATATAATTTTTTTGTAATTATTTTGTAATTTAAACTCTTTCAAAATCTTTTTAGATAGGATCTCCAATTTTTATTCAAATTCTTTCTCATTTCACACCATTGGCCTTTTAGACTCTGCAGTTAGTGTTTGCACAAACTTATTTTGTGCAGTTTGTGTTTGCATTAAGTTTGCCGGACTTGCATTGCAACCAAACTATCAAAATAATTGAATTTTATTTATCTATACATAATTGTATTTTAAATATTTTTTTTTTAAATTTTGTTTTACAGGTAACAGTGACTTGGATGTTAATTTCACTCTCACTGCAGCTATAGAAAAAGAAACTACAAAGGAAGTTTTGTCATCCTTCATTATATCAGCATCTGTTAGAGTTACTAGGCTTGTACTATCTGATCCATCCCAGGTATTAATTTCTAATTACTTTTGATTTTTTTTTCTCAATTTGTGAAGATCATTCTTTGACAACAATGAACCCTGAACTCTTTGGTCTGATGTATGGTGCAATCTTTCCATTGGTATGTCAATGGCTTATATCAATGTTTGTACTAGTCTGGAGTACTGAGTAATTGACAATAAGTAGCTACTGTCAATTACTGTTTATTTGTGCAACGTTAAATGTGTGGAAAAAAATAATGATCGCACCATGTTTGAGGTTTGTGAAAACCTTTTTACTCCAATAGGACTGAGCCATAAATTTTTGCTGATAAATTTTTTAGTTTTGATGGAAATCAAAAAAGTGCCATTCTATTGATTTATTTATTTATTTATTTTTAAAGTTTTGTCTAAAATCTAAATCTTGTTATTAGTAATATTGAGATTCATGAACTTTTAGCATCCTCATTGTACTTTGATAGAAAATTATTTTAACACCCATTCATAATTTTATTTTTTATGCTTATCTATGTTACATTTTGTGTTTATTAACACCAGAGCCTGCCTTTACTTCTTATAGCAAGATTTCATTCAAATTTGTAAATGGGGGTCGCAACCCCGAGAGAACTTAAAGTAGGGCTAAAAAATTTTAAAGAAAAATTTCAAATCACTAGTCTTACCCATTAATTAGATTGTTTATAGGCAAAATAATTCAATAAAAATCCTGCACTTCTGAGAAATTGTTTTGTCGAAAAATGGGGTTATTTTTCTCATTGATAATTATTTTGTTAATATATTATAAGGTGTAACATCAATTATGATTCTGATAGTTTATTATTTATTAAAATTGTAGTTCTGATAAACAAAAAAAACTGATTACTAACAAAATGATATTGAAATCAATCAGTGAATTTCATTTTCAGAGAAAAAAGTCTGGAAATAATACATTTCTTTGCCAAAACCTTAAATAATCATATAACAAACAGATAAAATAAATTATTTGAAAATCCACTGTAACAATCAGTAGTCTTTGAGGATCTAAGTAAATATAAGTCTTACTTTTCACTTTTATTACAATTATATTCTTTATTTGTACAAATTATACTTTATTAGTTTTGTTTACTTATGTTTCAAATTTTTTCTGAAAACTAACTATATTTGCTGGTGATTAATTCTTCACTGAGCTGGCAATAATTGTTTTTAAGAATTAAGATTTCTGCACAAAGAATTTTAGGCTCTTAATCAAAAGTATGATATACAGGGTGTAAAAGAATTTTGGAAATGGTCAACTATCTCTAGAAATATACATGGGATTAAAAAAATAAAAATGCATGCATTCACGATTTTTTTTTTTTTAGAACAATCTAATGATAACCAATTTGACCTTCCACCTCCATCACATATTGGCGGAAAAGGGGCAGCTTTGAAATCTTGAATATGAGCCTCTGTTTTTTGTTGTTGATTTGTATTCTTTAGAAAAAATTAACCTGATTCAAACTCTAGGTTTATGCATTTTGCTTAACTGAGGGATCGTAACCAGCAAAAAATAATCACTAGGGGTATTTGCGTCACATAAATTTTTCTGTACATTTTCAATAACTTTGATTTTTTGAAAAAAAAGTCCTAGTAAAAAAACAAATTTTTTAATTAAATTTTAGAATCCACTACGCTTTCACATACGAGAAGGAATTGTTTTAAAGAAATCTTTAATGGTCAGGAATCAAGGCCCTCTGCATGTAACTTATGACCTTCATATCGAAGAAGATCCAAACACAGTTTCAGTCTTCCCAAGCACTTTATCTCTTCAACCGTCTGAGACTGCAACAATTTTCATCACTTTCTCTTCATCAATAGTTCAGGAAGCTCAATAGTAATATTTTTGTATTTCTTCGTATTTGTCTTATTTAAAAAGTTTCTAATACTGAATGTTTAGAACTACTCATACTATTTAAATTTCATATGTATATGAATGTGTGTGTGTATTTGAGAAAAAAAATTTAAGATGAATAAGATAAGTTATTTCTCATAAGAAAACTGAAAGGACCAACAGAGCAGGAGAAAACATTAACACTAAATAACGTACTAAATATCACCTTGTGAAAAGCACTAAAGGAAAAAACCTACGTATCAAAAAGAAATATATATATATATCAAAATTAAGCTTGAATTCCAGAATAAGGTTTTAAATATCTGATGTGTATATTCATTTTAATGATTTTTGCAGGAGTGAATTTCATCAATTTGTGTTCGTTATAACTCGAGATTTCAAAGACATTTTACCATAAATGGGAAAAATTTAAGTCTGCTGAATTTTTTTAATAAAATTCCTCGCTTTTTTATGTCACTGAAATTTTAAAAAATTTAAGTTAATTTGTCATGTATTTAAAAAGATTTTAAGCAGTGAAAATCTACGGTAGCAAAACAGTTTTAAAATATTTAAACAAGTTTATCTATTTTTATGTATGAAAATATCATTACTTAAATCTTAAAATTTACTAGTGCTCTAAATATAATTTTTTGTTAATTATTAAGATGTATTTCTCTATGCCCAAGTTGAATAATCTTTAGATGACTTAATGCAGAAAAGGCTTAAAAATAATTCAACTTTGTCCAGTTTTGCTTTAAATGTGTAATTAATCAATTGATTATAAATATACACTTAATACTGAAACTAAAAAATAAAACATTATTGTTTGATACTTTAATTCAATCATTCAAATTAATACAAAGCCATATTATAACAGTTATATTTAAAGCCTCTCAGTCACACTGTTCTATTTTAATTTTGTTAAATTTTGCCAGCTATAGTCCAGTGTATATTTGTGTAAAAACAATATATCTGCAATGTTGCAATTAGAAAATATTTATAGTTAAAAGATTTTCTTTATAAGTAAGTTTATTTAATTATGATGATGAAAATTTTCATATCTAGGCATTTTGGATTAAAATACAAAAGCCAATAAAGTGACTGAACTACATTGCCATATCAAATTTTAATTTGTTTTAATGTTAATGAATATCGAGCAAACTTTGTTACTTATGAATAAAACTAAATAAAGTGAGGGGGCAAATGATGCCAAATAAAGAAACTAACTTCAGTTTCGGTTCTGTAATGAAGAATCTTCTTCTATATGCAAACTCAGAAAAGAAGAGGGAAATATAGACATTAGACGAAAATTTCAGATCGGAAGGGTTTACCAATAGGGAAAGGGAAACAAGTTTGAACAAGGTAATTAAATAGAAGAGAAATCTAAGTAATAAGTGTTGGTCTTTCTGTGTGAGTCAGATAGGCTTTCTTAGATTACTTATGTTCAATATTAAGGGTAGAACTTTAGTATCTAATCTAAGCAGGCTCTAACTACAAGTATATCTTACACAATTTAAGAGAAAAATCTCATGTGTTGAAAGAAAATAAATTTCCAAACATTTGTGGAAAATAGTATACTAGAAAGTTTTGTATCTAAATTATTAGAATTTTTTAAAGTATGAAATGACTCCCACAGGTCTAAGTCAGTAGCTGAAGAGTAGTGTTGAATAATTTTAGCATAAGAAAACTCGAACCTGTAATTATAATCAACTCTGTTGGATCTTAGTTGGATAAGAAGTGAACCTGTTCACTTCTTATCAACTCTGTTGGAAACAAAAAATAGTGATCTTCTATCAAATTTCTCTTTCACTCTGTGTCTGAATGCTGGAGAAAGTTTTTAATTATAGAACTTAAACTGTGATATGCCCGTTTATGTGCTATTACTAATGCTCTCATTTTATTGTCAGTTCACTGAAAGCAGCAGCTCAACCTCATGGTCAAGTTTTTAAAGTTGTGGACATCTTTGGATCTGTTCGATCAATCCAAAATCCAAGGCATTCACTTCCAAGAGAACAACCTGGCAGCAGAAGACAGTCTCATTATGAATGCAAAAACATAGTTGAAGTAAATAAGAAGTACCTTGCCTGGGGTGGAGTTGATATTGGTCTTTCTGTGTGAGTCAGATAGGCTTTCTTAGATTACTTATGTTCAATATTAAGGGTAGAACTTTAGTATCTAATCTAAGCAGGCTCTAACTACAGGTATATCTTACACAATTTATTTTATGCAATTGAGTTCTATGTCAGGTCAATCATTTTTGAATGAGCCTTGTTAAATTTTACAAAAGAAATTTAGAGATAAAATTCAATCGTCCCAACTGGGACTTGAATCTTAGACCTCTCTGGTAAAAGGTGGACAACATAACCATTGCACCATGATTTCACATAAACTAGAAAGTTTTGTTAGTTAGAAAGTAAATGAACCGAATCTATAACGGGGCATATTTTTCCCTAGAGATCTAGCAGCTAATTTGTATGTTATCTAAGGTTTTCAAACGTGTACTTTAATTTTAGATTAACTTTGTTTTAATTGGGAATTTTAAGATCAGTAACTCCCTTGTTAGTTACATTTTAAACATCTTACGGGGTATAGTATTTATTTTAAAAATACTCTGATATGCCTAATAAGAAAAATCCTATGCATGTTTAATGTATATTTATATCTATGTATCTTATTATTTGCACTGAACTATATTTGTGTTTTTGCAAAAAATATCTTTCTGTTATGTCTAATTTCTGTCTAAACTTTTTAATTTATTTAATTAACACTATAATTAAATTTCCTTATTTAATACACTTATTATTATTTTTTTAATAAATCATTTCAGAATGAAAAACTTTACCCTACGCAATGCTTTGAGTCGGCCACTCCGGTTGAAATTATTTGTTAAAGAAGCCTCACAAAGCTTTCAGGTTATTTATATTTTGATTAATTTAATACAGTTATTCATAAAACCTATATATGTTACCTATATACATATATGTTACCAGCAAATTGTATGAATTGTTGCATTGTGCATTAAGACAAAAATTTACCAGTAAAGTATATAAAGACTAAATTTTTCTCGCATTGCCTAGACGTTGTATCCATTGCAGCATGACAAAATGTCAATAAGATTATTTCATTCTAGTTATTTTGTTTATATGATAATGATTTGTTAGTGTATCATATTTTATTTTTTTATGAAAAAGGCATAAATTTTAATTGTAACCTGGTATTATTAATTGCAATCAAATTAACAAAGATGTGTGGACCATCGCTCAGTATTTCCTAAACTGTTGTTTTTTCTAATTACATATAATTAGTATTAACCAAATTAGCTTGTTAAAGTAAATTTTTTGTTTCATAATTAAATTAATTTATTGAATAAGGCGAATGTTCTTTTTTCTTTAACCCTACTGTCATACTTTGCTTTAAGAGCATTTTCCATTGTTTGCAGTACATAGGCAAAGTAATTATAATTTTCATATTTCTTACTTTACTAAAACATGACTCCTTATTGTCCTTAAAAAAAAACGAGCATTTTTTTTCTTCTAGTTGACGGCCAGGTTTAATAAATGTTCTCCTAATTTTTGTATATTTTTAAAAATTCTTAGAAATTAAAAAAAAGTTTTACAATAATGTAATGTAACTGCTAAGGAATTATATTAGATATGGCAGACTATTATATTATAACATTTATATTTCAGCTGTTGAACCAAAATAATGAAACTTCTCAAACAATTACTCTTGATCTTGAAGCAAAAGAAGAAAAACCTGTGAGTGTTGTATTCTCTCCAAACATGGCTGTTATCTGTTCTGGGATTCTTGGAATAAGACCAACATATGAAAATACGAAAACCTCGTTTTCTGTAAGTTTTGTGAAATTTCAAGAAAAGAATACTTTATTCGTATTTTTATTTTTTTAATTTAAAATTTTATCAAAATTTAAAACATTTTTAATCTCTTTGGTTGTAAACAAGTTTGGATTGTAAACTAGTACCTGGCTTTAGTAAACATAAGGCCAGGTAGAGTAAAAAAAATTAAATTGCTTTGAATAAATTTTGATCTCGGGATTTTCATGTGTTCCTACTGAGATGTAAAGTTAATTGTTCATGCATCGCATCTTAGGAAAGTTAAGTATTGCCATTTATTACACTTGTAAACAATTAGCTTGTTTTCAGTTGTCAACTTGGCAATTAGTTACAGGGCAAAATTTTAAAATGAAGGAAAATTTTAAATTTTAAATGAAGGAACTAAACTCTTAACCGGACTTTTGGGTATGCTATTCAGTATGAATGATAAACCTTCAGTATGACTAAACTCTTAACCAGACTTTTGGGTATGCTATTCAGTATGAATGATAAACCTTCAGTATGATTTACACCACAATTTTAAATTGTTTTTATTATCCCAATTAATTCCCTAAGTTTTTTTCCTAAACTCTTGATTCGGATTATTTTCTTAAATTACAAAGTGCTTTTTCTTTATGAGAAAATAATGTATGTCATGAAAATTTTCAATACAATAAATAGATCATTCAAATTTTACTTTTAAATTTATTTGATATATTTCAGATACCTGTGAGTGGATATGGTGGATTAGGTAAATTGAAAGTTCTTGGTATTCCTGAGAGAGAGGGAATAGGATATTGTTTAGATATGGCAGTTACAAATGGGAAACTTACATTTTATAATATTCATCTTCAGAATACTGGTGCAAGAGCCATATTTGTCAAAATTGTTTTATCAAGTGAGTTTTTTTTTATAGTAATTTAGTAGTCACTCATTAGTGCAGACTCACAATAAATAATAAATTTTAAATGCATAAACTAATTTCTTTATTCTATAATTTTAAAATTAATATATTAATTAATTTTTGCATTTCACTTAAATTCTAGTGTTTTATCCTTGGCAACACACCCCTTTTTTTTTCTTTGGTAGAGTGTGAAAAAAAAATAATTTAGATTTCAGAATCCACAATTAATTTATTTTTGTGACTATTAACAATGACTCGATTATTTATTAGGATGATGTACAGCAAATTGTATTTACAAAGTTTGCATGTGATACATTTGAACTAGAATAAAAATTATAGTTTTCTACATATATGGTGCAACCTCGAAAATCCGCACTGCTTGGAGCGTCCGGATTTTAGATACCTTACTTAAATTGATAGAATTATCTAAATTTCTAATTTTGATTTAGCTACTAAATGCGCATATGTTGACCTCCAATAAAATTTTAACAACTTAACATAAGTGTGAGCTTCAAACGATAAATAACAGATTTTAAGAATGAAGAGATTTTAAGAATGATACGGAGAGTAGCTTAAAATTACGATCTATGCAAATCTGCACAATTATAATTAAATGTTAATTAAATTATTTCTAAATACGATTATCTAAGAGGAGGATAATCTTGGTTTCGCTCGGAAGCCCAACAGCATTGCAGTGAGCTCGAGCTTTTGGGACAAAATTATCACTCTTCCATCAATTCTTGGGAAATCCTTGCACATTAGTTTGCTTTGCACACAACAGGTAAACTTTGAGTGTTTTTCAATGCTCGGGGTCTGGCACACTTTTGCCTATTACCATCAACTTGATGCGATGAGATCCGGAAGCATTAGCGCATGCCAACACAATTATCCTCTCCTTTATATCTTTCACCTGCTGTGGCTGGAGGTTTTCTTGGAACATAGAGCCTGAAGAGAGCAGTTTCATTGGTATTATATATTTGATTGAAAAAACGAATAATTTTCAGCTACAAATTCGGAAAATTTCATCAATAAAATTTTCGGCAGCTTCAACGTCAGTTGACTCATTTTCCCCTCAAATTCTTTTATTGTCTTATTCTGTGGCAATTTTTAAGTCTTTGTGGAAGAGCCTTAATTGCGCCACTCAAAGGCACTTTCTCACTTCTTCTTTGTCGCACCCATTCTATCATTATATTATCCAAATCTTCATTGTTAGCTTTTCGTATGGTTTTTCTTTTGTCCATTTCTAAAGGTACATCACTTTTCGTGAAAAGCAGCAGTTTTTTCCCTTCCGTTTTATTAAATCATAAACAGTGGATTTGCCGAGTTCATATTCTAGGCAAAGATTAGCCACTGAAGTTCCAAATCATATTTCCACAGTAATTCTACTTTTTTTTTTTAAATTGAAAGTGAATTATGCTTCCTCTTCTTCGAACTTTCGTAATTTTTTTACATAATTGATCGTTTAGATAACATAATGTTAGCAATTAAAACTAAAAAATATGAGCTTAAAATTCCAGCTGAATTTAAAACTATCAACTTATAGCTGAAACAAATGCTTCTAGACTTGAATTGGATTAGACTGTACCAGCTGATACTTTCAGCTGATACCTTTTCTTGTTGCCGAGACTGGGGGATGAAAGAATTTGTCCCCGTCTCCTAAGATTCAAGTCTAAGAAAGAACCAGTTTTCTTTCTTCACATGCAAAAACAAAGTGGTAAAAAAGAATACCTCCTGCACTCCTTATCTACAAAGCACTGATAAAAATGACTGGAATTCACTTCCCACCCCCACCTCTTCATCCACTGCTTTGTTGTTTGAGAAGAGTTGCGGTTTTGTGCTTTTACATTTAAATTTTGTTTTAAAAGTTTTTTTTTTTTTAAATTGATTTAGAATTTTTTTTCTGACGAGCTGGACATAAGAGTCCGAATTTTAGAAGTCTGGATTTTCAAGGTCGTACTGTAATAGAATTGGTCCTTAATAAAAATTAGTTTTGAATTATTGATGAGTTTCAACATCTTATTTTGTTTAAACTTATTTTGGTTTGAAAATTAAATAAATAAAACTGCTGTTATCAAATTGTTATCTTTTGAATTTTATAATTGTCATAATTTTTTTTTTGCATTATTAAAATTGGTTTGAGGAATTTACCAAAGCATCGTTGCTACAAATTAGCCAGTCAAAACCACATCTGGTTCCTAAAGTGTAGATTAGGCACTTGTAGCTTTAACTGTTTATGACTGCCTATACTCTTTCTTGAATGAGGAAGTTCGAAATTCTTAGTGTATCTTGAATTCTTTCCTAAATCATTTATTTCTATAGTTTTAAAGACCACGCATGATAGAGAAACTTTTAATATGGTTTATTTTTCTATCTTTGAAGGTAATAACAACAGCTGTGGTTTAAAGATTGTTTGTAAAAAATAGTAAAAATAATTGTTACAATAGCTAAGGAACTATACAAAAGGCAAATTATCTGCACTTTCTTGTATAGATTCCCTGTTTTTCACCAAGTGATTACCCCCCAAAAAATGCCTGATAAATATGTAATTTAATGTGTGAATCATATTTTAATTTAAACTGTTCTTCAGGTGGTGGAGCAGATAATTACACTGAGAGGATTTCAGTGCGACCTTCAGAATTTGTTATGATGGAAAATGAAAATAAGGTAAAAATGTATCTTTATATTAATAATTATCTTTCAGAAATCTTTCATCTCCCCTTTCCCATTCAGAATATGGGGTTGATATTTAGTTTTCAACCTTCCAGCTAAAATAATTGTTAAAAATTATGTTAAAATCAATCTAAATTTTTTATAAAACTAAATCTGTATGTATTGAAAATTAGAATTTTTTTAAAACTTCAATCATAAAACCAAAGTATGAATAATACATTCTAAGTATGAATAATACTCAGGCTTTTTCTGGAGAAAAAATATGTATTACTATTAATTCTAACTTGTACTCATTTTGAAATTTTCATAGTTAGACATTTACATTCAATCAAATCCAATCAACTAATCCATAAGTTATTCTTATTTAAAAATAAGTGAATGGAATTTTTTGATCATATTTAAACAAATAACATTCTTTCTATCTCCTTTTATTCCCCTTTTCTCTGTAAAATGGATTTGGTGAATTATTTTATATTTACGAGAAAAAAACTTGTCACAAATACTGCAATTATTTCCATTAAAGTTTGCTAACTTTAATTTTGTTATTTAAATTCAACAGTAAATAAAAGTGTAAATAATGCTCTTAACAGTGATGCTATATCGCTTGTGAAAGTGTTATGTCTTTTGTGTCTATTAACTACATTATTTGTGCATTGTTATTTTACTTTAATTCTATATCACAAAATATTATATGATTTTTATATAAGAATTTGAAATCTTAAAAAATTGTTTCCTTCTTTTTAGGTGGTTGTTATTAGCTGCACTTTTTCTGCAAATTTTTTATCTTGGAACAGTTCAAACTTAGGAATCATGACTTTAATTTACGGAGATGAAATCATGAGACAACAGCTTCGCAGATATGAGTACGTTAATCTACATTCATAACCCATTCTGAATCTATCTCATGTCAGTTTTTATATTAACCTTTTTCCCTTATTATAACAAAAAATTTTAGATATGTAATCAATTTATTAGCTATTTGCTGTACTATTTGCTATTGGTGCTGTTTTTCTACTAAATTCATAAACTAAATTGCAGTGTTGGTAACAGTTTGTGAGTGGTTGAGAGCTAAAATTTATTAAAAAGAAACATAATATTCTGTGGTGTGAACATTTAAAAAAAAAAAAAAAATCTATACCAAATCAAATTATTCTAGAGGGAATATCATCAGGAGGAAGACTAGAAAAACATCCTGAGGGGAGAGGAATATAAATTAGTGCTGCGCTAGCAGTTGTATTTCAAAACTTGCTTATAGTTCAAAAAAATAATTCTTGAAATGTTCTATATTTTAAAAACCTTCCATTTATTCTATTTGTTCACTAAGTTTCAGATTTCAGTATTTTTTTAGTGACTTGATGTCAGTTCTATTATGGTTTTATTTTTTATTTAAGAGTAAATGAAAAATAAAAGCATAGTAGCATCTTTTCTTTTTTATTAATCTCCATCTTTTTTTCTTTTTTTTTTGAACTATGTGACTAGGAATGGGAAAATAACACTTCATCACTTCCCAGTAAAAAAGAGAATTCGAAGATTTAAAATTAAAAAGTAGTCTTGCATTTCAAAAAATATAGTAAAATGTAAAGTACAAAATTTTCTTTTGTGAAAAAAAAGTCTTATCTTGCCCTGGGAAATGGCATAAGCACTAATTTAACAGCGACTTTAATTCATTTGTGCCTTGTGTCTTATTGAAAGCAGAATTTCTTTTCCCAGAAAAGAAAAAAGTGGTAGAACAAGTGTTTTATTATTCAAATTTATTTTGTTTACCATACTAAATTAATAATACAAATACTTATATTTGCACCTACTAAATATCATACCTGCCAACTTTTACGCATTTGGCGTAAAATTTTATTTCTATATTTAAAGTGGTGGTAAAATATATGCTTTATATATTCCTTGCATTTATAAACTTAATTTATAATATTTTAATCCACTATTTTTAAAAAAATTAAGCATATATATTAATATGTAATACTATTGTAGTAATCTGCTTAAACTTGTTCAAAATACAGCGAATGTTACTGCCTAAAATTGCATTTTAAATTTACTACCACTGGGGAAAATCATCCTTAAGGATTAAAAGTTGGCAGGTATGAAATATTTATACTTGAAGCCAAAGTGCAGAGCTTTTTTACAAAATAAAATGGCAGGTAACACACAAATATCCACTTGGTATAAAGAAATATGCACTAACACTTTTTTATATTGATGTTTTTCATCTATCCCTTTTAGTAACTGGCCATTAATGGGTTAAATATTTCAGTAAGTCACTAGAATCCCTGTAACTACTCACAAAAAACTAAATAATTGCTGCTGTTATCTGAGAACTTCATTGATTACAGATAATTCACTGACTTTTTATATTTTCTGCTGTCTTTTTTTAATTACAATTTAACGTTAGATAACACTGTATCATTTGTTGCTCGATATAAGCAATATTTAACTGGGACTGAGAAATAACCATAACAGATTGATGTAATAATTTGATTGTTTTATGATAAATACTGTAAATTATTATTCAATATCAAATTGTAGATTACTGCTCTTATGAAAAATATATATATTGTTCTTTATGTTTATAGAGTAGATAGAAAGCAGGCTGAAGTTTTGGGTGTTGACTACTATCCAGGGATAAAATTTACTTCCTACTTTGAAGAAGAAGAAAAAGTTCCAACTGGTGAAACAAAATAATATTGCTCTTTTTTTATGATAAATAGTTCTTTTGCCAACTTTCTAAAAAATAAAAATAAAAAACAATTTCACTGAAGCACAAAAAAGTTGGTAATGATCTGTGGATTTACTGCATCATCAAATTGCCCCTTTCATCATATTGCACTTCCTTTATAATAAGTTTTCTTTTTCCTTTTATTTATGACAATCTTAGACCTGCCTACTTCTCCAGCTTTTAGCTGGAGATTTTCCCCCTACATTCAAAGTAATACGGTGGAATCCTGATCTATCGTTTCTCAAGGAGCTATTCATTACGAATGATAGATACGGGAAAACAACAAGCTGGTCATCTTAAAATATCAAATAGTGACCCGAAAATTTATAAATTTATAAAAAAGTATGATAAATTGTAATTGAAAAAAAAATTATTTAAAATATTTGGAAATTTTTGGTTCTTTCTTCTCAGGGTAAACAATAAATTTTCGTCAGTTTGATACAAATTGCTGTTCATTTTCTGAAAGTTTGTGTGAATACAAGAAGCTCCTCATTGTCTTGAAGGTTGAGACAAACCTTCGGCAAATGTTTGCTCCAATTGTTCAATATTTTTATCAACTGATGTATGAAGAATAAACCAGTTTAAGTCATTTTACCCAAACTGTAACAAATCACATTTTTTTCATTATTAACATCAGAAGTTACTGTTCTTAAGACAAATATACTTCAACACTTTTGTTAAATATCTGTAGAATTTCTGAACGATAGACTGAGGAATCTGCTAGTCTCAAAAATTATCTAAATGGGTATTCATCATCATCATCAATAACTCAACAGTCTTAAATGAACCCTGTCTTTCTCAAGAAGTTACCAGTTTATCCTTCTGGTCGCCACAGCCACCCAGTCTCTGGGGTTAATTGAGACTAAGTCACTTTGAATCTCGGTCTGCCTCTTCTCCTAACTCCTATTTATTGGATTCGCCAGAATTTTATTTTTTCGGTGTTCGATCATCATTCGTTCTTAAAATGTGTCCTGCCAATTTCATCTGTTGGACCTTATGATACTTCTGAATGTCTGGTTCTCTGAATAATCCATAAAGTTCAGAATTAGTTCTCCTTCTCCAAACTCTGTTATCACAAAAGCCACCAAAAATGGATCGGAAAATCTTCCTCGCAAAGATTTTGAGTGTTCTCTCATCGACCTGGGACAAAGTTTCAGATGCATACATGAGATCTGTCCTGATTAAACTTTTATATGTCAACAACTTGGTGTTCCGTTTTATGTTGTCAGAAATTTTTCTTAGACCATAAAGGCATCTGTTGGCCGCAGTTATTCTCTTTACTTTTGGGTTCAGAGCCAAGATGGAGGAATTTGTTCACCCTTTCAAATTTGTATTCTCCAATCTCTATGTGCGTGGAGGTATCAGTGTAGGAAATAAATTGCATATACTTCATGGTGCGTAGCCTTTTTAAAAAGTGCTTATTTTCGTTTTTTAAAAGCCCTTGAAGGCATTTTTAAAAAAGTGCTCAATTTTCCCTTTTCGAAAATGAAATTTTTTTACTTTAACATGTCAATTTCGCCATGTAGTATGCAAAAGCGTACGTTTCACATTGTTCTATTCAACGATTTCACAATTCATTCAACCATAATCTATTTCAGCGTACCGTCGGTACATAGTGTATGAAAGCGCCAATCATTTTACATGTTTGATGAAATACTTGCGAGTCTGCCTGTGAGCTGGTTTCGGTGAGATTTTTGCACTCTCGTGCTTCATTTTTCACCCTCTGAAATGAAACCGAAAAATTCCTTGGATCATTTTTTAGTGGCTAATATAATCAAGAAAAGAATTCCTTGTCAAAAACTAGTTATTTTATCATGATCATGTATGAGTGTTTAAAAAATACTTAAAAGGTGCTTATTTTTTGTTGAAAAATTTGGCTACGTACCCTGTACTTTGTTTTGCTCTGATTGAAAGGTTCATTTTCTTACCCTCTCTTTCCAGATCTAGGAACACTTGCTTGAGGTCTTTAGAGGTTCGTGCTATAATATCAATATCATCAGCATAAACAATAATTTGAAGGATTTGGAAAATATAGTTCCTCATGTGTAATTTTTGAATCTCTTACTTCTAAATGAGTATTATTAACATTATAAGGAAAACATTTTTGATGGGATTGTTATGACAGTATGAGACACACGAGAAAATGAAAGATCCTGAAACTATGGATTGAGATTTGATTGTAATAGTGATTTTGTTATAGCATTTAATTAAAGTTTTTGACTACAACAATATATGAATAATCAAGAGATATACATACAATGTTAAAAATGAAAGCAGTATTGTATTTGGGTGATGGTGAAATTTAAAAAAATTTTGCTTTCTTAAACTACCATTTTAAAATGTGGAAAGCTAGATCTTCCAGGTTGCCAGCTCTGCAACCTTGTGGGCTAGATGTCAGTGTTGTTAACAACATCATCAAATTTTATAATAATTATTCATTTGCATTTCTAATGTATTCTGTTAGGAATATTTTAAGTAGCAACAATAAATTATTTATAGGATTGAATGCACAAGCTATGGCTGCTTGCTTAATCTTAATTTTAAATAAAGCTTTGTATTTCTGTTTTTCATGATCTTATATTTCAAATCCTGCATCATGTTAAATCAGTTTTGATCATCTTCTGAACTGTTCTGAATCAGTTTTGATCATCATCTAAAAATCTGTTGAAAATAATTCTGATTATATAAAAATTATTCTAAATAACATCTTTTTTATTATTCATTATACCTTAAATAGTGTATTTTGAATCTGTTTTATCTATATAAAAAAAAAATTTATATCTTGTTGATGATTATGTGTCTGGTATTTACATTATATCTTTTAATCTTTTAGGTTCTTTATGCCAAAGTACTCCTAAAGATGCCTCTCTCTTTGCTTCTAATTTAAAAAAGACTATTATTCATCTGAACCCTGTAAGCCAAGACATGAGTTACAGTCGTATAAATTTTGAGGCACTCTCAACTATTGAAAATGGCTTTGCAAGCATTTTGGGACAGTCAGCAACATTTTCTAAGTACGTTAATACTTTTACTTCAAAATTATGAAGAAAAAAGTAACAGTTTAGTTTTTAGTTAATCTATGAAAGTAAGCAGTAGATTTAAAAATAAACAGTAAAAAGTAAATTGTTTACTTTACATGAAATTCAGAAAATGGATTATTAAGCTCTGTAACTTGACCAAGAAAAAAGTATTCTTGTCAAATATCTTTGTGCAAAAGTTGAAATGCAGCAATTCTTGTTAAATGGCGTCAAGTTTTTTGAAGTCAAAATTTTTTTTATAAAGTATATATTTTTAAAAATTGCTCTAAATTTATTTTGTATGACTTCTCTTTATTTATAATAGAATAAATTTTGTCATAAATTAAAAAAATTAATATGTCGATTAACTGCAGCATAAATATTGTGCTTTTAATAATTCTTCTTTTGAATTGAACAATTTATCTTAAAATGCATGAGGTTGAGATATTAGTATAATTTCCAATGATAGTTCTCCAAGCACTGTGGATATGATTTTGCTCTAAGAAGAAAAAATCAACTGGTTATAGTGACTCTTCCTCAGTAAATTGCTGTACCCAAAAGTGTTATAAAGTATACATGCATTATTATATGTACTAAGCAGTATGAGGATGCGATACCACGGGATGAACTTTTCATCACAATTTCTTTCACCTTCGTCAGTAATTTAAGATTTAAAGTAAGGAAAAAAAATTAGTTCTGGTAAACCTAGAGTAAGTCGTGAAGTTTCAAATGCTTAAAAGAAATGTTCAAAATGAAAACAAATTATGAAAGGATAACTTAGGATTACGTAATGAGAAAGTTCTTTTTCCAATAATTTGCTTGAATTTGAACTCCAAATTCAAGTATACAGCCTCTATCATTACTCTCAAGCTTATATTCTATTTGTGGCCTGATATTTTGCCTCCTTTCATGTCTTGCCGAATGCATTTGCTCATTGTTATTTGAATCACTGATGTTGAGTTCAGATGTATAATTCATCTCCAAATATTTTATTACTCTTTCTATAAAAAATTTGCCCTCTTTGGTAAACTCTAGTATGTAACTCCAAGGTACCACATTAATTTTTCCTCTTTTTATTTATTTTTTTTTTTGCATCATATTTAGTTTTTCGCATCATTTGATTGACTTACCCAGAGTTTGCAGAACTGATGGCCACAGTATTATCAATTCCAAGAATGATGAAGTGATTTATTTGAATGCATCACTAAATAAAAATTAATAACAAAAAAAATCAATAAACAGTTACTTCTATTATATTTTTCTTGAAATCCATTGCTTAGATGAAAAAAGAGCAACAAATTATTTTTCTTTCCAGATGATATATATATAATATAATATGTTTTATTGTTCTAATCAAAACTCTTTCTCACACTTTTTAAATTCACATCCTGTCCTTAAATCTATTTTTGGCTCAAATATGCATTAATTGAAAGTAAAGAAATTTTTCCCTTTACCCTGTGTGAGAATCACGCGACCAATTGTAATTACTAAGATTTCCTTTTTCCCCTAAAATATAATAAAATAGAGGGAAATTCATTTGCTACTTTCCCTAGGATAAAACCTTAAGCACACACAGTTTTGGAGTGCGATTTTGAGCTCCGCCATTGATAAAAAAATGTTTTGAATATATATATATATATGTTACCATTACTTAACTATTATCTTTTTTTTATATGAAAATTACAATTTTGTGAAAATGTAATTATTTTGAAAATAAATTAATTTTGACTTTGCTCTAATATCTTTTACTTTCTGAGCTCTTCATCGAAGCAATGATGATCAATTTGTTAAGCTCTTAGTGTAATAAACTGAAAATAGTTATTAAAATGAACAATAATGTTTAATTATTTTTACAGGAAGCCTACAACTTTTCTGGAAGCTCATTCACCTCCACAAAAAGAATCCGCTATTGACCAGCAGTGCCGGCCACAAGAACTTTTCCCTTTTGGTCAACTAAACTTGGAGAAAGATTCTGCTAGTGTGAAAAATAGCAGGGATAGTTTGATTAGAAAACCAGAAGAACAATCTTCTAGTGCAGAAAATAGCAGGAATAGTTTGATTAAGAAATCAGAAGAACATTCTTTTAGTGTAGAAAATAAAGGAGATAATTGGACAATTAAACCAGAAGAATTATATCTTGATAGTTCATCAAAAGATGTTCGAATTGCTGTGACCAACCATTCAAAGAAAGATTTAAAGTAATAATGCTTTTTTTATTTCTTTATTCATAGTGAAAAATACTAAAAGAATATCAAAAATTTGCAATAAATGATATATTGATAGTAAGATCCGTAATAATTTTATTCTTAATTTTATAAATTAGTTACAAAAATTTCCAACATTTGGCTGCTTCGATTAACATTTCGTCGGGCTTGACAGTGATATACTGGAGTGTGTTCTATGGGTCACATTTTTTTTTGTTTGTATCTGTTTTTTTAATGCCATAGATAATTGCTCTGGGCTTCAGAATACTTTTTATAGGGACTGCAGTACTTTTTGATAATTTTAAAAATTGTGAATAAAATGCTTATACCTTTTACTATTAATCTACCATGCATTTTATCCTTTTATCACTGATTGTTTGTGTTATTTGATATTGGGTATTCTTTTGCGACTAATTAACAATGTTTTAGATACTCAATAATAAATGTTGAACCTGGCATTGTGTATTTTTGGTTTTTTAAGGCTTTTCTGGATATTTGTTTTATATATAACTTTTCTTTTTGTGTGGAGTTTATTTGAAAAGAAACTGTTCGAAAAAAGTTTTTTTTTTAAGCATAGTCCTATAAACAGAGTGTGGAAACAATTTTAAGCATGTTAATGCATGAAAATATCTTAATGACAAAAATAGATTTTATTTTGGCAAAAAAACATTTATGGAAACTATTTCTCTTCAAATTGTAAAGTTCCGTGTTGTATATTAGTGGTATAATTTTAAGTGCTCATTGTATTACAGTGTAACGTCCCATATCCGGACGTCCCTTTTCCGGAAGGGTCAATTTCCCGGACACTTTTTAACAATCAAAATAAACAAACATTTCTTCATCATCCCCACTCTCTTAAAAAAAAAAGTATTTTGACAGGTTTTTTCCTTTCTTAGCTTCTAGTGATCTATGCATTAAACCCATAAATCAACAGAAAAGAGAACAGAAGATCTACCAAGACCGTACCGNAATGTTTTAGATACTCAATAATAAATGTTGAACCTGGCATTGTGTATTTTTGGTTTTTTAAGGCTTTTCTGGATATTTGTTTTATATATAACTTTTCTTTTTGTGTGGAGTTTATTTGAAAATAAACTGTTCGAAAAAGGTTTCTTTTTAAACATGGTCCTATAAACAGAGTGTGGAAACAATTTTAAGCTTGTTAATGCATGAAAATATCTTAATGACAAAAGTAGATTTTATTTTGGGAAAAAAACATTAATGGAAACTATTTCTCTTCAAATTGTAAAGTTCCGTGTTGTATACTAGTGATATAATTTTAAGTGCTCATTGTATTATTGTGATTTTCAGTCACTTTTTCACTTAAATGTTATTTAAATGGCATTTTTTAAAAAAAAATTAAAACTGAAATGTATAAAGTTAAGCGTGTATCACCATTTTAAAGAGTGGCACAAATTGAAAGGGAAATATTAAATTCTAAGAAACAGCAGTATAAAGAAAATAGTTGCCGATTTCAGTTTATTTAAATCTTCTGAGAAACCAAACCTCGATTTTGAAATGATAATTTTATTTTTTGGAAGTCTTTGTGTAAAAAAATAAGTAAAAATAAGAATACAATAGATTATATTTTTACAAATCTATCACTTAAGATGTATTGTGGGATGCAATTTTCCGCCATATTAGCTCTAATTTTTTTATAGATTTCAGTCATTTATTTATATATTTTCAGATTCCGTGTGGAATGCCCTATCGATGTAATAACTATATCGCCCTTAAGTGGAATCGTACCTGCCCAGTAAGTTAACTTTAACTCTATTATTATTTTCTTTAACTTTTAGTTATTGTATGTATACTTTCAAGAAAAAAATATTTATAATCAGGTAAAGTATTTAAAAGTTTAGTTAATTTTATCCCTCTTTAAGTGTTTTTTTCTTTGCATTTTGCTCATTAGTTGTGGAGCCTGAACTTCTTTCGGTTATGATTTAGTTGCTTTCTTGCATGGCAAACTTGTTTTTATCAATGTTATTCTTAAAAGAAACAGTGCTCAAAAAAGAAATTTATGTGAAAATTTTCCGAAGGGACTAGAGAGTTGGAAGTTTGAAAACTTAAATAGATGATTATTGGTTTTTGAAACTCTTTCTTATAGCCTACCAATTAAGTGTTGAAATTTAGTATTTGTTGACAAGAAAACAAACAAGAAAAATGTAAGAAACTATTTACATGGGTCTGTCTAGGTTTTTCTGAGAGGTACCTATTTTGTGAAAATTTAGACATAATTTTTGAAAATTAAAAATTATATTAAAAAATCAACACAAAAATATGCATTTATCGTTTCTTACGGGATACAAAAGTAAAATTTTAAGAAAAAATATTTCATGAAACTACCGTTTTTCCTAAAGTTTAGTTTTTGAATGTACATCTAAACAGTAGTAAATTTGGCCCCGACAGACCTCTGATTTATCTATGGTATTAATATTTTTGTTACTTTTATATTTTGTTATTAATTTATTTTTTCTTTTATTAAATATTTTATTTTAACTGTTTTATTTCTTACCACGGGATCATGCTGCTTAAAGGGACTGGTTTAAATTATTTCTATTGTCTTTCTTTTTTCTTATTCTTTCTATTTTGTCTTTCATTTCCGTTGATTTCTCTCCCCTGCTGGTTTTTTCTTTCAGAAGTATTTTAACAATGCGTCTAAATTATATGTGTGGGAATGATCATAATAAGCTTCACTTTCAAAAGCCTGGAGGAAAGTGCGTACAATTTGTCAAAATATGCTGGAATTCGACATAATTTGCAAAGAAAGAAAAAAAATGGCATTAGAAAAAATATCAAAATTGCAACAATAGGTGGTGCTTGATAGGTTATAAATGATATTGGCTATTAGTGGCATTTAAATCCAAACAAATAAAATGAGCTTTTTCAACTGATTTTGATTTAAATGTCACTGGAAGTTCAAACCATTTGTGTTACAAATTAAGAGTGATTTGTTGCTAAAATTTTAACTTTTATTCTTATGTTTTATCCTTTCCTCTTTCTACGTAAATACTCTAACTAAATTCCAGGTAATTCTGACTACAGTTTTTTTTCAGCTTTTTGAAAATCGTAGTTTAATAATTACCTTATATATATATATGGGAAAGATTTGATTCTCAGCTGTATTCATATATTTTATTTAAAAGATTCTCCCCTTTTTTTGTAGAATATCAAAATTTTATTTTGGAAAAATCCTATTTTTTATTAATTTGCATGTATTGCAAATTTTAAAGTTTAATACTGTAAATAATAAAAACCTATTAGTATTATGACCTTATTATTAAAAATTAAGTCCATATCTGATGAAGTGCCAGATTCTAAGCAAATGAATTATAAACTGAAAACAATCAAAATTTGTAGACAATATCTCATTATAGTATATGAAATTAATTTTCTTTTTATGATTAATAGTTATTCTATTCCAAAAGTATTTAGGAAATTAGCCTTTTTGCTGATTTGGTAGATTTTAAATCAAAATATTCCACAAATAGTATTTTTCTAACTTTCTTTATTTTTCTTTGAATACAGTCTTATGTATGTACCTACTTTTCTATAAAATATTTACCTGACTTTGTATTTTCAGAGGTGAAATTGGTTTGCGGTGCAGAGTAATTCCTAATAGCATTGATAAAAACTCTTTCAATGGAGATCAGTATTTACGAATTATCTGTGGAAGTTCTGAAAAGGTCTAGTCAATTCAAATTTCAGTTGTCATCTTTATTCACATTATTGAAATTTGTAATAGTAGTTAAGCTTATATTATAATGTAGCAAACACTGAATTCTTTTTTCCAATATTAATGCCTGAAATGAATTTTGAAGTTTTTTATTCTCTAACACTTATGTGCATGTTCCTGTTGTAATGCAGCTTATTTATTTTAAGATACCTCTATCTAATTAAGAACATAATTTTATTCAACATTTAGTTGCATATATTTTTTTTACTTTGTTACTTTTTTTATCATTAACCTAACATTGTTAGTATCTAAATAGATGTTCACTGTTTTGTTGTTTTGATAATCGTTATAAATTAACTGGCTTGTTTTTGGTTTTGAACATTTAAAAAAAAATGCCGTAGAATCTTTCTTTCATAAAATTACTTTATTAATTGAAATTTGATTCATAGATATTTTTACCCTTCGCACAGACTTTGTAACAAAAAACTTAAAAAATCTGAATCTAATAAATAATCTTAAAATTTTATTATTAATTATGTGTTATATATTGTACTTTATGGAAGCGAAACTTGCACCCTAAATTCAGATATACAGCTCACACTAGACACCTTCTGAGGAAAGATCCTCTGAGCCATCTTTGACGCAATTCAAGAAAGGGGATGCTGGCAAACCAGATATAACTTAGAACTCTATGGACTCTATGAGCAGCCCCAAATTACGCAAATAATCTGCAGTAATAGGCTGAGATTGCTATGCCATCTATGGATAGGCCCTGAAAATCGTGCTATAATAATCGTCTCCTTTAAGAACTCCTGGGGGTCACGTCCCAGAGTCAGACCCCTTACCAGAAAACCCTAAAGATTAGAAATTGGAAGGGAGTTGCCATGGATAGGAGATGCTGGCATTTGTCAGCTGTTGAGTTGGCAAAGCGCTGTTGCGCTGACAAAGAAGAAGAGATGTGTTATATTAATTACATGTCTGCAAATAAAAGTTAATAAAATGTAATTGTTAAGTATGTAATTTTTAAAAAAAGACTTCTTTTTTATTCTGGTAATTTGCAATTATTTGGCTGCAGGCTTTTATTATATAGTGATTTTTCTTTTTTTTTTTAAAATTTAATCGCAATCTAAGTGAATAATGGTCGTTACGTTACTTTCACCTGCCTAGTCCATAGTAGGACAGATTATCAATGAAGCGGCCAAAAGTCAATAGGTTAAAGTGAGTTAATATTAATTATCGGCGCAATTTAGGTTACTTCAAAACTAATACAAACTTACAACAGTAAGACATATTGCTCATCATCAGACATTGAATACATAACTATAAAGGAAACTTATGTTCTATACATGTTTCTAATAATAAAATCTTATATTAAGTATAGGGGGTGAAATTTCCACTCACCATTGGCAGCCAAATATTTAGGGCTCACGAGTAAGTTGAGTCTTGTAAAGCATTAAGCTTTAAACTGCCATACTTTTCCTAGAGTTTGCTGTCTATGAATTTTAGAAATGTTAAGCAAGAGTTTGACTTTAAGAAGGAAATATATACTATATATATATTCTCCTCAACTATATACTCCGCAAAAAAAAAACTGAAATCCTTAGATGTGTTAGTTAACAACTTTACATATTTTTGACACCTTCGATTTTGCTCCCAAAGAAAAAAATCTTCGTTTTGGAATAGAGAACATAAACTGTTCATGTAATAAAACTCTCATCTCTTTAATGAACAAGTGGTTGTTGTGTTAACAGAATGGGTAGTATTAAAGTTTAAGTTTGCTTTACTGATATGGACTCGGATGCTTGAGAAATTAACAATGAAAGGTGTTCAATGAGTTTCCCACATGTTCAATTATAACATGTGCTATTTTTTCAGTTTTTGCATTCTCTTACATTTTTGGTTACTAAAACGTTCTTTTAATTAAATCTGTTAAAAGTTTAAAAAATGTTACATTCCTGTGAAAATAGTAGTGAACAAAAATTTTAATTTGACCTGTAACTTTACAACTGAAATTTCACGCTCTAAGTCTGTATTTATATAATAAAATTTACTATTACATAATTAAATATTACTTAAATTATCTTTACTGTCAATATAACTTCTTAGAAATTTAAATGAAGCTTATTTATATTTTACATAATGGATTGTAAGAAAAAAAAATTTTTTTGCTTGCTGTCGTTTGATAATTTAAATTTTCATTTACGTCAACAATGTTATTAAAAAAAATTTCTTTCTTCTTATGATTTGTTTATTTAATATTCCAAATATTTTTAAAACACTTTGACTTTTTATTAACTTTCGTTGTAAATTCAACAAATATTATATTTTTTATATATCATTCGAAATTTTATAAATATGTTTTCCACAAATTATTAAAAGAAATTTTATGTTTTATCTGGTTTTCTTATACACTTGTTTAGTAGGATTCCCTCTTAATTGCTGCAATCTGTTTTTGCATAAAGAGACATAGTGATTTCAGTGAAATAAGGTTAATATTAATTACAATAATAATTAAAGTTAAAATTATTTATAATGTTATAATTATTCAATGTAAAAATTCAGCATTTCAGTAGAATTTTTACATCATATCTTTTAGTGTTAGTTTTTTACAAAGTTTAGTATTTGACATCTTAATTAAAAAATATTATTTCTGATTAATTGTTGAGTGTAGCTAAATTCTGGTCTGAGATTTCATTAAAATAGTGAAGTTTTATTTCTTAAAAAAGTAACCTATGATTTAATTATGCTATTTTCTTGTGTCTAAAAAAATTGAAAGCTTTTAAAATACTACCATGAAATATAACTAGTTATTTATTTATTATTTTTTTTTTAGAGTGTACATGTCAAAATCGCCCTGGATCCAAAGAAGCAAAAGGAAACTTTAAGGCTAAGTTTAAACTCTGATAGACTGAATTCCTCACAAACCAGAACTTCACAAGATTCTAGTGCAGCATCTTCCAAAAGTGACAAAACTGGAGTTGCATCGCCTGTTCGAAACATTATCGATTTCCCAAAGGAGATTACTCTGCCCACAACTGAACCTGGAGACACGTCGGGTAAAATACTTGAAAATATAAATTATATTATTAAAATAAAATTTATTTCATATAAACTAAGGATAAAGTGTGTATTTGACCAGATTTTCATTATCCATCTCCGCTAATGATTTTTTTTATTTTTGGGAACCTGGTCCCAGTTGACATTCCAAAAAGTTAGTTTATTTATTACTTATTTTACTCCAATATTAGCTTTCTTACATCATTATCTTTCTCAAGATTAAGACACACATTTATTTCTGCTCTATTATTATTATTTTTATTATTCTTACTTTATTATTCTAGTAACTTTATTATTCTAGTTCTATTATTATTGACAATCATTAATATCTCCAAATGAGACATTATCTGGATTTAAGAAAAAAAGTATTGCTGGGATGAATCCTGTATAATTAGCAAAACTTTAGGCAAAGTTCTTCAGGCAATTAAATATATTTTTCCTTCGAATTATCTTTCAAGCCATCTATAGCAGGAGCTGCCAGACTTTTTTGAATATCAACCTCCTAAAACTTTATAATTCTCTAATTGGCCCCCTCTGTATAAAAAAAACTAAAAAATGATGAAGAAAAGACTTGGTAGTGGAGTGAAAGTGAGTAGTGCAATTGTGTTGAAATTAGTTCTGTTCTCTAATGGACAAACACTGAATTAGTTGAAGAAGGACCTACCATATCGGCACATTCTTCATTCGTAATGAGTTTGTGTAAATTAGTTTGTTTTGCTATGTCTACTCTTGAATATTTTTTAATGATATTTATTTATAGGCCATTGCATTTATAAAATTAATTTTTAACCCAGCTTATACTTTTACTAAAGATTCATACCATAACAAACAATAAGAATGTAGTCTAATTGTAGCACTACTGTTTCTTTTCGATAACCTCTGCTTTCTGCACGGCCGTCCTCTTGCCCCACCCCTTGATGTGTGTGTGTCTGCTGGACCCGAGAGGACTGCAGGGCAGAGAGGGAAGAAAACTACATCACATGTAAATTACATGCATAATGTTCTTAATTTGTCAGATAAAACATAAATGACTGCTACTTTTTCACTAAAATTATAGCATTTCTTAATGTCCCATATTATTCACATGTGCGATGGTAATCCACTAGGGCAGGGATGGCGAACCAATGGCACGCGTGCCATTTATGGCACCCGACACAATAGTTTGGGCACGCCACCGATCACATTTGTTATTACACTATGAATTCTTATTACACAAATGTTATTACACTATGAAGCATGTAACAATTATTAATTAAAAAAAATTAACAATTAATGCTAAAAAAGCAATTAATAACCATAAAAACAAGCTAACAATAAATAACTATCAAAAAAAAAATTAGCAGTCCTGCTTAAACTAACATCTTACAACCTAATCTAAGTTATTTGTCTTCTAATCTGCAACAACAGAAGTCACACTGATGTTACTTTAAGTTGAATAGTGCGTATAACTGAGACATTGCAAAATGTTTTTTTTTTTCAATGTAAATAGAGTTTATAGTATATAGTATTATTATTTTCCCAATAATCATGAAGTCAAAATTCGACGGCACGTCTATGACCTCATTAAACAATTTTTTAGAAAAAAATGGCATGTTGGTGTATAAAGGTTCGCCACCCCTGCACTAGGGTTACACCAGGTGATTTGATTTTTTTCTAGGAAACAAATATCAGCCATAAACAAAGGTAGTACTTCTATGATTTTTCAGGAATCGTATGTTGTACACAAATAAACAATGAATATCTTTATTAAAGTTGACAGTTTCTAAAATTGGAGAGTTTAGCTACAACAGGCCTTCAATTTTAGCTATCTGGTACTACTCCACTTCTCCCTATCTCTTTCTTTAATGATTTATTTCATTTTGACAAAATCAAATTTTTACACAAATCAATGAGTAATGATGCTTTTAGCAATGCTTGATTCAAAATTTGTTAGTTTTTATCTTAAATTGCCTCACGCTCCAGGAGCTATTTCTCTACACTTGACATAGAATTTACAAGATTAAAGCCAGATTTAATATCGATCTAAGCCTATGGGATGCAATTAAAAAGAAAATAAGCCCATTAGAAAGTTTTGTAAATTTGTTTGTGCAATATTTTAATTCCTTCAAAATTTAGTCTCAGTTAAATTAGTAAAAAGAATCTTTTCTTCAAGGGCAACTAATAATTAAATGACTTAATCTCTCAAATGATTGCCATTATTTTCAACTTAAGTAGAAGGTGGTGCAATAATCCATTCTTGTGTATCCATATTTTCAATATCTCCAAAGTGTTCATTTGGTATTCATTCATGGACCCCTAAATCGGATCCACCTTTAATTGTATTATATCAACCACTTTGAGAACCCCTAAACTATAGTTAAAAAAATTATGAATCATTGCTTATGTGGCTAAACAATGCTGGGAATGGAGGATAATGGTAAGACTTTATTGGACAATAATAATTAAAAATACAGTCTTCAAATTGATAAGAAAATGAAGGAAATTTCTAGTGGGGGAAGAAGCATTGAGAGATTTAAGGCGTCATTTCAACTTGAGTGATCTCATAACCTGTGTCGTCCAGATGAAAAGATCAAAAGATGCCGTTCATATTATTTCACAAGAGCAGTATCATTTTCTCTTTCCTTGCAAAGATAAAGCAAGGTGACAGGATAAAGATTAATTCTTTAGCAGTGAAATGGCTTATCAATATTTTTAGTTATGGATAAGGCAAAAAATTTACATGCTTTAAAAATAGTGAAAAGTTGAATTTTTTTTTTTTTTGAAAAAGTAGTGTCCTGTTTGAAGAGATAGAAAATAATGTTTCAGGACAAATATGACTATCCAGTTGTGGAAGTGTCCACTTGACGGAAAATGTACATAATGATTTATTCATAGATTCCCGGGGAATTAGAAGTATGTCCGTTTTGAGGGACGTCCGTTTTGCAGGAGTGTCCATAACAGGAGGTTTCACTGTATATACAATCCCAATTCAACTTAAGTTGTATTTAGTCTTTCAATAACAATTAAAATAATGTTATGGAGACTCAATATATCTTACTCTTTTTTTTATAAAAATAGCAATAAATTTTAGAATATTGAATAATTAATAGAATTAATTGAGGTTAAATCTTAAATCAACTAAAGAATAATTTTTAAAATAAGAAAGATAAAGTTAATGGGGGGGATAGACTTTAATCATGTAAAGCTCTGCCGAATCAAAAAGATATTTTTCTCCACTGGAAAATATATACCACTGTTGTGACTTTTCAGATTTTTAAAAGGAATTTCTATCTCCAATCATTTTCTTTCATGGATTAAAGTTAAAAAATTACTGTAAATTACTCCCCTTTTTCAGCAATCTGAAAAAATGGTGAGAAATAATCGTAAAAGAATTGCCCTTAATAACCCTTCTTCAACATCAAAAAGGAAAAAAATACTTTCTATTTTTAATGTTCTGTGCCTTAATGACAATGATTGTTTTTTGTGGTATTATGTTTCTTTTAATGAATTATAAATACAGTATGAAATAATAAACTATATTCCCAACAGCATTTTAAAACATAATTATGCAGGGTTTTTCTCCTACCCTTTAGTATTTTACTCAATTGCAATTATGTTAATCAAGTATTTATGCAATTCTAAAATATCTTCATTTCTTCCTGATCTAGAAACTTCCCTAGCCTTTCAAAACACTACCAAAAATAGTGCACATTGGAAAATAAGTGCTGCAACTATTTTGTTTTCTGAGGTAAAGTGATGTTTCACATTGATTTTTCTCTTCATAAAGTTTTTGAAATGATTTTTGCAATAATTAATTCTGAAAGAAATTTTTGATGCATTATAAGGCACTGCTTATTGACTGTCAAGATTTAAAAATTAATGTAAAATACATTGTAAGTGCTTACATCAAAATCCTTGAGTACTCAATTTCCTTATTTTAATGTCCTCTTTTTTAATAATTGAACAAATATTAATGGTTCAGTTGAATTAATCATTGAATTCAGTTGAATAACTCTTTTGATTTCCTAGTTCATAAAATTATTTGCATAAGTATGTACTTGAAAGTGTTTTCTATGCAAGAATTAATCAAATAGTCAGTAAATTTTATTTTAATGTACCTGGCTGTTTTAATAATGTATATTACTGAACAGCCATGACTGAAATGAAAAATTTAATTCCTTTTCTAATAATAAAAATCTTGATATTTTAAATTTTTAAAGAAAATTTAATGAAGTGTACTTTATTTAATAGACTATATTTGCAAATTTTCAGTGAAAGCCAAACAAAATTTTAAAATTTTGCGTTATTACATTTAACGATAATAGAAGATAGCTACATAATTTGTGCTTAGTCGTCGTCATCACCCACGTACGCTTTTAGTCTTGTTCTCACTCTCAATTATGTTTGTATCTCTAATTTATTTTATATTTTATAATAGAGTGTTAAAAAAAATGTGCTTTTTTATAGCATTCTGTTCTTGTCTAATTTAATTTTTAATATATTCCCTGCCAACAAGATTTGAAGACGATAAAGCTTTTTGTATCATTGATCATTTTACTTTCAATTAGGTTTAATTCCTATTAATTGTAACATTAATTTTATGTTTTAAAAATAATTTGGGATTACTTATACTTTTGTTTTGTGAAGACATAAATATCTACGTTAATTTTGTCCCGCATTGGATTGTTCATAAAGACACGATTCCCTGTAAAACATCAAAGTCAAGCATTTCTCTCTTTGGTCAGTAAGTGGATGGGTAACCACTTTGATCAGCCTGCATTGGAAAAAGAGCGTGCACGATATAGGTCCTTGTTAAACTGTTCCACCGTAAAGTGTTAGACATTAGTCGTTGGTCTACCAAAGCAGCAATCCCCTCTGCAGAGGATCAAAATTGTGATTGCATGTCTCCGGATCGTCCTCGGAGGTGTTTCCCAGAACATGTCCTATAGCCCATTGTGCAGCTCTAGTGCACTGTAAATAAAGTACCACTACATTAATTTCAATTGATATGCTACTAGAATTTTGTTTTGTAAAGGCATAATTTCTTTTTTCAGATATTTCAAAGAAATAAAATTTTCCATAATAAATTTCTACATGTTAAATTTTTTTAATAAAATATACAATGCAATGTCCAAAACTATGAATACTGTATATTTTGGCCATTGCATTGTCAGTATATATTACGATATAAAGCTGGAATTTTTTAAAAATATATCAGGAAAAGCCAGGGAATTATATTCATCTATTTCATAAGCAGCCATGTTTAAATATGTAATACCATGGATTCAATGCAAGGCTGAGGAAGGCATTAAGGTCAATATTTAACTGGAGAGCTGTGACTCTATGGAAGCAGAGTTTCGACATGGAGTGACAAGTTGTTGAAAGCAAACCACCTGGCCATTAGCAACAACCAATTTTTGAAATTTTAAGTTTATATTTTTCTGGGGGAAAAAGCCCTAATTTTTACTTGTAAGACCAAACTTATTTGTTTTTAATATTAATGGAAACAATCTGTTTTGATGCTTATTTAATTTATATAATATTATCTAAACTTTCCATCTTGCATTTTTATTTTAGTGCAGAAAATTATCTCAGTTAGTTTAGAACTGTATCTGTGGAAGAGCATTTCCGCAGAATGACATCCTCAATGTCATTGTTATTGCTATGGACATTGTGTTTCTAATTTTTCTTAAATTATTTTTAGACATTTGAAAATAACTGCAGTGGAGATATTTTGAAAATCCACCCAACTTCTGGGGTTTTGAATACCATGGAAACTTGTACTGTAATCATCAGATTCTCGCCTATATCTCTTGAGAGTTATTCTCAATTCTTTCAGTTTTGTATAGAATCTGAGAATGAACAGAAAGAAAAATGTGATTTCAAAATCTCTGGAAAGGTACATTTTTTTACTGTTTGGTATTTCTTGACAATATTTAAAACTATGCATTTTACAATAGGGAAATTTTATACAAATATTTAAAAACTTCAAACTAAATGTATACAATAGGGAATGAAAATTAACTCTTTATCAGTTTAGAACTAAATACATAAATACACAAGTGGGCGACCTTTGTGCTAAAGTATGAAACTAAGGTAAATAACGTTAAAGAGCACAAAAATATTTATAAAATACAGACAGCTGTTTCAGATGCTCAAAGGGCAACTTTCATCAGTGCAACAGATCTATTTCTGTTGCACTGATGGTTGCCCTGAAGTATTGCCTACTATTTCATTTTAATCAGAAAATATTGAGAATTGCAAAATACCTGTAGCTCCCTTAATTTTTTTATTTTAATTTTGATTTAATCTTTCTGTGAGCAGCTTTTTCTGTAAATAAGTTGTTGTAGCTTATATTCTTTACAAATATATTTTTGTCTTAAACAATTTATGTTGTCTTTTTAGGGTGCTATTAATATACCTTCATCAGAAGAAAAGGTTATTACTTCTTTGAACAGCAACATAAAAGGAACTAGCCAATCTAAAAAGTTAGTGTTAATCTGCTGAATAACTCATTACACTTTTGTATTAATATTCTTTCTATTCTTACTTTGTGTATGTTAAAGATTTAACATTCAAATAGATTTTAATTTACTTCAGAAAGAAATCGAACTTCAAAATTTTATACTAATCTACAGTTTTAGTGATATGAGTATGTTTTAATCTACTTAGGTTAAAATAATGTTATATAGAGTATTTGAAATGGGTAGTTTCAATATTTAGTGTATCAAAATTTGTGCTTGTATTGTACTGTAATTTATTTATTTAATTTTGCAAATATTTTTCTGATTAATGAGTCTGCTAATATCATCTTAGAAATACTTGCTCTCAACAAGGAAAATTGAGTTGCCTTATTTTTCCTATGATTTACATTTGCAGTTTTTTTTTTACTAATATGGCACTGAAGTAAAAATATTTTGTATGCTAAGATAATGTATCTAATGCAATCTGTGCTTGCATTATCAGTTAATTATTTATCATATCAGAAGGGAAACTAAGCTCACAGTAAGTAACAAATAATTGTAAATTTCTACAAAATTCAGCATACTTATATCAAGGATGTATAATCTACATTTTGTTAATATTTTTTATATATTTGCTTTATCTATGTATATATTTTAAATTATCTATTATTATCTTATAACTTATTTTTTGTTTGATATTATAAGTTACATTCATAATAAAAAGTGAATTAAGTGTTATTATAATTTAAGGATGCTTGTAGGTAAACTCAGTGGTCGGAAAAACTATATTTTTGCAGTTGACTCAACTATTTTATTATAAATATAGTTGCCTGCAACTACGTTTTTTAAATGTAATGACTAGAAACTACTTTTGAAATGCAGTCGCTACTTTTAAAAGACTAATTTTGCTGTAGAAAATTTATACCCATGTTCAAAATGGTTTTGTATTTTAAAAAAAAATGGTTTACTTAAACATGATTAATTTGTTAAGGAATATTTATTCATGTTTCTATGAGAGATTTCATTATTATAAACTATTTTTTAAGAGTTTGTTCTTTTAACCTTCAACTTTTTTAATACCTTTCTTGATGCCTTGAATATTTAATTTGAGTGTTTAATGCTTTTTGGTTTCCTTTAAGAAAGATTAAATGCATCAAAAATTACGAAGAAGATAGTTTCTCTTTCTTTAAAATAACATCGCATTTGAAGCTGTTGATCAAAGTGATAAATTAGCTATTTATAATAGCTTGTTTAAATATTAGTAATAGCTAATTCAATATGCGTAATTCCTGTTAATGTTCTGTCACAGGAGCACTCTCATTTTGTCAACAAAAAAAAAACACCCGAAACAATATGTACCAATCAGTTTCGAAAAATTAGTTGTGTTAAAATCTTGTTTCTTTACTAAACTAATGTTTAAACAAGAAAATGCTATTGTTAGAAAATCTAGGAAATGCTTTTTTTTTTCTCATTGCACTGCTCACTACACCACTTTTTTTTAAAAAAATAACTATAAACTATAAAAAGTAGCGACTATAATAATTTTGCTTCTTGTAGCACATTACTTCTAACCATAAGGTAAAATCAACATTTCCATTACTTTTATAAATAATGAGCAATTAATACAGAAACCCGCTAGAACTATTTTCAAAAACTTATCTCATACAAACAAAATTTAATGTGCTTTTTGTATTAGGATGGTTTAAAAAAGAGAGAATACAAACTTTATCTCTACGAGGTCTAGAAAAAAAAGAACTAGACATGGGTGTTGTAGTACTTGAAAATGGAAACATTTTATTTTGAAAAAGATTTGATTGGTCAACTCGCGAAACTAAAGGCCTCCTATATTACATATCAGGTTTTGCATTCCATGATTTATTTCTTATTTGCTTTCTGTCTGTGCGTTCAGAGCTGTTTTGTTTGACTTCTTTATATATACATAAACATAAATTAAACGAATATATTTTATTTATTTATTTTTTAGCAGCCTTAAAACTGGTGTCTACCTTGAAAGTGATATTTGTAAATTTCTGTCTGTATCTGCTGGAAAATCCAGTCACGCTTATGTGACCTTAAAAAATTTCACCGATCAAGATGTCCCAGTAAGAAAACTTTATAACTTGTTTTTATTATAATCAATTGATATAAAGCTGTGGAGCCCACGCCTCACAGGGTTTACTTTGAAAATGGACTTATTAAGTTTAAGTTAACCGTACAACAATGTGAAGTTGCTACTCAAACTGAGCCTTCAGAGTGAGCTTCTTCTGCCAAAAGGTTGACAGAAGAATGAAACAAACAGTAGGTTTATTTCGAAAGCAACACAAATTGTATACAGAAATTTTGGAATTTAGTTACAGACATTGCCATCAGATGGCGCTATTAAATGTTTACATTTCTTTAAACGTTCCATACAGCTGAAATCTAATCTCTGATGTTTCAGTATGCACCAGAAACTCATGGTGGTCAATAAAATACTTGGTACCTTTATGTTTTGTACAACAAACTCTTCATGTTCCATTGCTACAACTTGTCTTTCTGGTCAACAATAACTTGAGACACTATCTGTTGGCAACTTTTGTGACTGATTTTAAAAATTTTTGCAGTTTTCACAATAAACATAATTTTTGTTTCTTTCCCCTACCATCTTTTGTTTCTGAAATTTTTGAATTTAAAATCAGTCAGTACTCTGCTGTCACTAAAATCTCCAAACTTTCCAATCCTTTGGCTTTCTTTTTATTGTTTGTGACTTTTAAATCAGTTTGATATCTCTTTCAAACCTATCTACTCATCATTTCTTCTGTCTTTCAACCATTCTCCTTGCTATTTCCCCCCCCCCCCCAAAAAACGACCTTTTCGTATTTCTGCCTTCAACCATTCTCATCAAATGGCTCAAAAACTGTAGTCTTTCTTCATGTCTTTATGATGTTTTCATCTTTATATAGCTTCCTTATATCTAAAATAATTTCAATTCCCCAACCTTCACAGCGTGAAGCGCTACCACTCAGCCACCGGGCGTCAAATTTCAATCCTAATTGCTTAAAAAAAGAGGATTTTATCCAACCATCAAAATCTATATTTCTTAAAACACTACTGGAGAAAAAATGACACAGCAGTTTAAGCTATACTACAAAAATGAAATTGGTAGTGATAAATAATGAATTAATTAAAACTTAATTTTATATGAAGTGTTGTTATTCCATTGTAGAAACCAAAATCAAATATCTGAATAAATTTCTTTACAAGGGTATATTCAGCCTAATAAAAATACAATTTTAAATGTGGCTTTGTGTTGTTGTGGCTTATTGTTAAGATTTAGAAGCAGTTTAGCTACTAATTTTAATATAAAATTTGTCATAGTAAGAATGATCAGATATATAACTAAGTATTATTAAAGGAAGGGAAAGATATTTAACTTGAGATTCTGTTAACACATGAACTCTTCCTAGTGTTATCTACAATAGAACATAAATTTACTCTTTCTAACTTAAGAAATTATTTGTTAATTAGGCTCGGGCCACCCTCACCTGGTAGAAAAATATAGGGTTGTTAAATCAAGCAGAAAAAAATTTAATCCTTAATTTTAGAAATGTTTAATTCTAATCCTCAAAAACACCTAGTTTTAATTTTCGAAAGGTATATAATGATGCTTACATAGCCTGATTAATCTTCAGATCTTGCTGTATTATTTTAACAGATTGATTTAAAAAATAAAATGTGATCATTAGAATGCACTGATTCACTAAAATGGTCATTAATCCTTATGAGAATGAAGGATCCAATCATAAAGAGTTTCAACTTTTATTTTTTACTCAATAGTCATTCTAGTAGTTCTGCTATTTGTTGAACTTTTAAAAGAACGGCTGGCCACATTATACTATGAAGATTTCAGAGTCCTATAATTATAGTGTTAAAAAGGTATATTTGGGGAGAATTCACTTATTTTAATTTCTATTCACAACTATTCTTTTCTATTCATCATTATAAATAACATTAATCGGACATCATTATTGCTAATAAATGTTTCTGCTGCTATTCATGGGTTGTATTAAACTGTTTTTATTCCAGAGAATTTTAGATTATTATTCTGTCTTTGAGGAGAAATTTCCAGCCTTTTTATTTCTTGGGGTTAAGATTTTTCATGTGCATTTCCTTGTATGAAAGATAACTAAAAATGTTTCTCCTGAAATTTTTTTTACGTAGATTTTTGCATGTTATTATGGACGAATTCATGATATTTATAAATGCTTAAAAAGAATGTTTTGTGAATGAAATGTATAAAAAAAATTTTTTTAACCCACTGGCAGTTTAGCAAATGGAAATGTTTCTATTTTCTTATCTAATAACATAGAGAAACCAATTTTGTTAAACGAAGAAGACTGCAGGTTAAAATATGACTTTTTACACACAGAACCTTCAGTGGGTTGAAAGGTTCATTTTATTATACAGAATTCTTACTTTCCCTTTTCTAATGTTTTATTAATTTTTTAGATTACTATAATTAAGCCGAGGCCCCCTTTTTCTGTTCGGCAATCATCAGTAATTGTAAGGTGAGTGAACTGTAAATAATAAATACTGTGTGTGCCTTTTTTTAGTTAATTTCTGATAAACAATATTGTCAAAAAAAATTATTCTAATAATTTGCTGAACATTAATTAAATCTCTCTGGGTTTCACTATTTGAAGTACAGATTATCTTTATATTCCCTAATTGGAGTACCATGAAAAGTTTTAAATCTTGTAAGGATGCCTTCAAATTTAGAGTTTAAGAAACCCTTGTTCAGATAAAGACCTGGACCAGAGTTAGATCACAGACTTAGTGACTGAAAAGTATTTAAAAATCTTGAATATTATAACGTAGCATTTGTTGCTGCGAATATAAGACACTGGAGGAAGAACATATTAGAGATTAGAAGGGCTGTTTTTGCTTTTGTAAAAGGAAATATAGAATGCAAAATATATCGTTATTTCAACATTTTAAATTTGTTTAAAAATTATATTTTCCAAAACTACATTATAATATGTATACATACCATACTTTGGATAATATTAAATTACTTGAATTATTGGTATACATTTTTATTTATTTTCAGTAATTAGCTATGAAATTAGGTGTTTTTTTTTAATTATAATGCTATATATTATTTTTAAAAGCTTTGTGTATTATAGATTTGACAATCAAATAGTGCTCTTCCCAAATTTTTAACCATAAGGGTCAATTTTTAGTGTACAGTGCGCCAAAAAAAAGAACCACCCTGAGTAACTTTTGATCTAATGATCGATCTAGAACTCAATCTTAATAGTTCCTGAGGATGACCTCAAATATGCAGACAGACGATATTTTAAGTTACGAAATCAGACAAAAAAATGTTCTTCCTCTGAATAGATATAAAAAAATTTTCGACGAATTCATATTTCTCTCCTTCAATATAGTAGCCGCAATCTGTGAAATATGGTTTCAATAGTTTGTTCAGAATAGTGGTCCAAAATTTGAACCCCTTAAGGTTAATTTCACTTTTTGTGTTTTTTCGCTATATCTCGAACTTTTTTAGCGAATTGAAAAAAAAAAATTTATCATTTATCCAAAGGTAATTCCATACAAAAATAATTTTTAGCAAATATTTATAATTTTTTATTATTTTATTTAAGAAAAAATTTTAAATTGTAAGGGATACAATTTTTGCGTCGTTTTAAAGAATGTAATTTTCATGAATGCATAACAAAATTGAAGAGAAATTGGTCGAAAAGTTTCTGAGAAATCTAAATTTTAGATAATCAGATAATTAAAATTTGATTGCTCAAGAATTAGTCAACTGATTTTTCTCAAATTTTGTATTTTCCCATGTAAAATTACATTCTTTAAAATGATGCAATAAATTGCATACCTTACAATTCAAAATTTTTTCCACTATTCTTTAAAAAAAAAATTATAAATATTTACTGAAAGTAAGGTTATTTTTTGCATGGAATTATCTTTGGATAAACGAATAATTTAATTGTATGTAAAAAAAACTTCGATTCGCTTGAATAAGCCTTGAGATGGCGAAATACACACAAAAGAAAAAAAGGGGTCCAAACTAGTGTGACCATATTTCCCAGATTGCGGCTGCCCTCCATATTTTGGGGGTCAGAAATCTGAATCCGTCAACAACAACAAAATATGTTTATTCAGAGAAAGTACGTTTTTGTGTCTGATTTCATAATTTAAAATATTGTCTGTACTTATTAATTAGCATATTTGAGGTCATCCCTTTAAGCCATTAAGATTGAGTCCTAGAACAGGAAGATCCAATCATTAGATCAAAAGTTACTGAGGGTGGTCTGTTTTTTTTTTTCGCACTGTATATCAGTGATGCAGCTGTGGAATTCTTTGACTTTGGGGAGTAGATAATTAAAATTCTACTTTGATATATATAATACATGGTTTAAAAAAATGAATGCCACTGCTCTAATTAATATTTGTTATTGATATACTCGTATTATCTTATTAATTTATCTTTTGTGAATGTAACCAAAATATTCTTATACTGTTTAAATGAATTTCTTATTTATTCAATCAATGAATGCCACTGTTCTAATTAATCTTCATGTTATTGATATATTATCTTTTTAATTTTTCTTTATCTTTTATGTATAGGTCCAAAAAATTCTTAAAGATTCCTTTCTTGTTTAAACCTACACGTCCAGTTCAATTATACGAAGATGACGTCATTTTCCAACGTGAAAGCTGTGATAATCTAATTTTAAAACTTAAAGGATTCTGCTTTTAAGAAGAATTTTAATCAAATTATTTATTTTATAAAACTTATATTTTTATAGGTGTTTGATGTTTTATAGTTTTATCTAATTGCAAATCAATGAAATAAATATTTTGTACATTTTTAACAGATTGTTTTTGATTTAATAAGTATTCTTAATTTCTATTGAAGAAGCATACATTTTAACTTTGTAACTCAGAATGATAGCAATATACACTGCTGAACAATTGCTAAATAACACCTAATTTAGGCAAAATAGTGTTCTCGACGACGCCCATTGACTGAGCGGTAGCGCTTCGCGCTGTCGTGCCACAGGTTGGTCCGATCCTCGGGCCGAGCAAGGTTGACTCAGCCTTTCCTCCCTTCAGTGGGTCGATAAATGAGTATCAAGCATGCTTGGGCACTAAACACTGGGGATTCCACTTTTGGTTGACCACCTGGCCGGAACATCTGCTCCTGCACCCCAGCGCCAAAGGTCAAGAAAACTAAGATGGGCACAGTAGGCCTTGGCCCTCTATGGGCTGTCGCGCCGCTGAGTTAAGTTTAGTGTTCTCAACAGTCGACCAATAATAGTGAAATCAAGTGTAGAGAGGCGTGGTAGCACAGTACGCTGTTATCTGTATAAAACGTAGTGCACACTATCTTTTCATTTATTCAAAAATTCAGTACAATAATTAAGAGTATAATGTTAGCAAGATATCATTTGAGTTCTTACGATCATGGGCAAAAGTTAGACTACTTGCAACTGGTCAAAATGTCACCACTGTGGTTGCAGTACTGAGAGTGTTGAAAAATGTCATCTTGCGATTAAAAAAAAGACCGCTGAAGATGGAAATGCTATGCAATAGCCTACTGGTTGTCATTGTAGGAACACCTCACCTCAAGAGGAACGATACGTATTCCCAGTAGCGAAAAGGAACAGAAATGGCACTCCTAAACAGGAAGCAGCAGATCTTGCAACCACTACCAGTACACATGTTTCTGCCAGAACCATCTCATGGGGAAAAAATAAAGTTGTTTTGCATACACGTGAACCTGTTTGATGCATTCTGCTTTAACCTTGCCATTGTCGAAAAATAATGCATTGAAGTAATCAGCAGTGGTCGAGAGTGATGTTCTCTGACAAATCCAGATTTACTATGACTAGTTATCAGTTAGAGGGGACATTGCTCACAACAATAGGTTCATGAACATGATCAATATGGAAAGGCATAATGGCCAAACACAGCTTAACATCTTTGAGCGATGTAGCGATACATCGCAGCGGTATTGCAAATAGATGATTCTTTATCATTAGAGACAAACGGGACAATATATCCCAAGAACTCTTCGATTGTTTAGAACACTATGATGAATAACAGGTGCAAAATGTGCATTAGTGTCAGGTAATCTCTCATCTTTCTGAGGTAAATTTTATTATTTTTTGATATGTCTATATCTGAACTATTTTGCATAATAATAAATGCACATTGTCTCTACTAAATATATACTTAGTTTCATTTCATCTATAAATTATTTTGAAAAATGTAACTGTTCCGTAGCAATAATCAAGCAGTGTATTTTTACTTTACTATAAATCACTCATAGGGTCTCAATGTGTGCACTGAAGATCAGGGCTTGTTAAGACTTTCAAGTGTGCAGTTCGCTTTAAAATTAATATTTTTCCCTGTCGAAAAATAATTTACATTTTTAACTCTGCACACATGTTAATAAAACAATTATAAATGTTGCAATTGAAATAGAGAATGTTAATAGATTTTATAGTACAAAACTACTCTTAACTTGTTGTGCAAAAAAGATTTTAAGTCGTAGAAGTCTGATTTATTTTTCTATATCTTTTTATATTACAAACAAATCATTATTGACTAAAATATCGATGTGATTCCACCAGCTACCTTACTTATTCGAAGTGCAAATTTCTTCGCCTTGATAAACAAAGTACAGTATTTTTTGCTAATTAAAATATTATGACAGTTCTTTATCCTCTTTCAGGGCTGCCAGTAGGTCCTTATTTTCCTAAATGGCCTTTTCTTTTAAACAAGCTGGTTTTTAAAAATCCCCGTCATCTCTGAGATTCCTATAATTCTCTTTTTTTCACTAGTAATGTTAAAGATCAGTATTTTTCGAATTTTATTATTAAAATTATTTAGATTTGTTTCAAATTAATGCCGTAAATAATCGCATGTAACTTAACTTAGCACTGATCGTTAAAATGATAGCACCCATGCATTTGATTCACTTGTGAAATACTGTTTGATGTTCATTTTTTTTACCAAGATGAAAAGAAAAGGCTTTTATTTGTTTAATAGAACTGTATAAAATCACTTACTATTAATCACAACAATGCTTAATTAATTTTGGTAATAGGTACTACTGGTATAATTTAAATTGGTATTGTTTTAATAGGTCCCAATTACACTAAAATGGTTATCAAGTTATTTAGCATGGGTTCTGTGGAAATTCTCCACAAAAAAGAATAAATACCGAAGATAATTGCTGATTATTGTAAGTTTTTACTATAAGGAGTTAGCCTTGAGCAATAACATTATACCAGATGATACTGAATATGGTTAATCTTTATTTGGATGAGATAAACTTTTAAAAATATGCTTTGCTCAATCTAATAATATAAAGGCAACAGTTTTAGCGTAATCATGTTGGTACATGTCTTTTAATTTTGCCCATGAATTTGTAATGCTGATCAATGCCGAATTATTGATTATTTTCTCTTTTTTTTTAACCCGTACAAATAAGTATTTAGCTCTATATGTATAATATCTAGTATGCTGGTTTAAAATGTGCACACAGTTTTACTCAATCAGCAGCACTAATAGAGATTCATCATGGCAAAGATGCAAAATAGGGGGCTTTCAAAAATGTTTTTTATAAGGTATATTTTTTGATGATTCATTGTACCTATTTGAAATTCAGCAACTTGGTCAATTCATCATAGTTTTGCTAAAACTTTAATAGGGTGCGTAGCCAAATCTTTGAATAAAAAATAAGCACTTTTTAAAAAATTTTCAAGCACTCAAAAAATTCTTATTCAATCAATGATATTATTGAAAAACAAAAACTTTTTATAAACATTTTTAGCGTTAAAAAAAACCCAAAAAGAAACGGGCGTGAATCGAAACAATCAGTACTTTCCCACATCACCGAGTGAATTCAACTTGACCCAGAACTCAGAACAAAAGTACCCATACCCCCTACGTCAAAAAAAGTGTTAGAAGTAAAATAAAATAAACAAGAAAAAAATTAAAAAGAAAAACATTTCATAAGGATCTGATATTCTCTATCGGAATTGGAGCACTCAGGTTTCGGTTTCAAGTGTGCGCGCATGCGCAAGTCATAATGTGGGTACGACATGAAGTCCACGAGAATGATTACGTAGCAAACTCCCCATTTTTCGTGAAATGCATGGGATCCACCAGATATCACTGAAGGGGGGAAAAATTATTCGGAAAAAAAGCACTTTTTAAAAACGCCAGCTGAAAAAAGCACCTTTGAGTACTTTTTACAAACGCTACGCACCCTGTTTAAAATTAGAATGACAAGGAAAAGTGATCTCTATTTCTAAGAGAAAGGGGAGAGATTCTTGCTGTAATTTATCTATTGGCATGACAGCCCTTTGTGGGGCAGAGTCTTCCCTAGGACCTTCCTCCATTCTGTTCTTTCTTACTATAGTTAGAAATAATTAGAACTTTCATCATTTTTGCTTATGAGTTACTCTTAACAAATGTCAAGTTTGCCTAGTTTGAAAGGTAGTGTATATCAGTTTTTCAAGTATTTAGTAAGAACAAATAATTTAATTTATTTCCAAGTTATTTTCCAAGGTTGCTTACATAAAAAAAAAAATTCACATTGAATAAACAAATTAAAAATTTGCAATTGATATTTTTAAGTTTTAAAAGAAGTTAAAATATTTTTGTAAGAATATTTTTTTATGAAATAAATTTAAATCATAAAATCATTGCTCTTGTCATTATTATCTGTTTCTTAATTCTTTTTCAAACTTCTTAAATGTGATAAATTTTAATATTTTTATTTATCTTAAATTTACAAAAACGAATATTACATCTTAGTTCAGATAGTTTTTAACATGTAAATTTAAACTTAAAAACTTATTAAAAAAACACTAAGTTTCAACAATGTTTAGTATAAAAATTTCTTTGCATTATATGCTCGTTTACTTATTTCATAATTTTTTCTAGTTACTTGGCAATCAAAGAAGAAAAAAAATAGAGGTGTAAAACTAATAAAAGTATATGTATATATAGATGCATAATATTTTTACATCCACCTGTTCCCCACCCTAAAAAAAATCCTGGCTGCCTAATTTTTAGGCATGTTTCTGCGTTATTAAATATCTCAGTTAAATACGATTTGATGTTATAGCATTTATCATTTTGAATTTATAAATACTTTTATTAATTCATTATTTGGATAATTTACTTTCTTCGAGTAGGAATTGCTAATAATCCACTATAATAAAGTATGTGAAAACAATTTTATTGTGCAGTCATTTTATATAAGATTTATAATAATTTTATATATAATTATAAAAAAGCACCAATACTTTTTTTAGATGGATAAACATAGCAATGACAAGCACTTTGAATGTGGTAAACAAAATTCTCATGACTTTACAAAGAATCATTTAAGAAATAAATCAGACTAGACAAAAAATAGGACTAAACTGTAAATAAAAATAAGTACTAAAATGGAATTGTGAACCTTTTCACAAACACTCGATAAAATTTCTTATAACCGGGTGTTACATATAACATACAAAAGCTTGAATATATTAAACACTAACTTGATTATGTAAATTTATACATAGCAAAATAAAATTTCATTATCACTTTTACAAACTACTCAAATAAAATACAGATATATTTTATAAAAAAAAAAAAGAAATATCAAAGCCTTTTCTGTAAGAAAAAAGGTTAATAAAAAAATACTTCAGGGATACCAACCTTGAAAGGGCTCTTTTTAAAGATTTATCTTCAGAAGAGTTAGAGCTGGCTAGTCATAATTACAAAAGAAACAGAAAAAATCATCCCTTTTATGTTGGATGCCATAAGACTAAGAAATGAAATGATTAGAACAAAAAAATAACTTTTTAACAACTATTATACTATAATAGTTTTTTGTATTCATAAAGTGTGCTGGTTGTCAATCAAATATCCAAAGATCGACTTATGACATATAACTGCCCTGATAAGTAAAAGTTTGAGTTAATCAGAAATTAGAGAAAGTTATTTCTTTCATCAACTAAAGCAAAATTTCATATGGCATCATAAAGTGATTTTCAAAAATATCTTTATATTTTCGAAATTTTAATTCGAATGATACTCAGATTGAACGATTTAATTATTATTAAAACAGATAGTATTGCTTATTTCAGTCACTGCCCCTATAAGCAACGCTTTTTCACATTTCAGATGTATAGCTCTCTTATATTCAATGCAAGTAGTGTTTATCTCAATGAAATATTAAGAATATAATTTTAAATCAATACAAAACAAGAAGAATCATAATAATGATAGGTTTTTTCTCACAATAATTTGAAACTTACATAAAATCTTCACACCATGCAGAAAACAGGTAAAATATAATTCAATAATGTTTTTTAATAATTGCTTCGAAATTTCAGCTAACAGATCAACAAATTTTTAAAAAAGAAATAAGTTTTTGTTTAAAAAAAAAAAACATTGAAATGAAAACTATTTTATGCTCAAATAGTGGTTCATATACAAATTTTTTTTAAAAAAAATGAATTAACAAGCTGGAATATAATCAAAAACTTAGATTTGCAGTTTGTTATTATCTAAGTAGACTTTAGATTACCATATTTAACTATAATTGAACTCCATATCCAATATATTACTTTCAAAAGCATTAATTGAAATTGTTTCGGACGATTTAATCACTATAAAAGTAAACAAAAAAACAGCAGTTGGCATCCCTAAGCTATAAAAGGTTACATAGAATAGCTGTTATCCTTGTCAAAAGAGGGCCATGTCCTGGCAAACTCTTTTTCCACTTGGTTTTCATTTAAGACACAGCAGAATATCATTCACCACTTAGTGCCTTCTATTTAAGTATATTATTTTCATTTTATATCAGACATATCTTCATATAAAACTGACAGAGTTTCTTTTAAAAAACTTGGTTCACGCAAGGTGGGGCAACAAACATTGCTAAAAATTAGCTATGGACGAGTAACAAAACCTTTTTCCAAGATTTTACATTGTGCGCTATTCTGTTTCTGAGTTATCAGCCACTTTGTTTAAAGGCTGTAAACTGTGCCCCCCTTCTGTGCCCTTGATGAAACGGACTAAGCTACCCCCGAAATAAGGCTTTTCCTTTGAACCATCATTTCTCAAAATATCTTCACAGACGCATAAAAACAAGGTGTCGATAACCATTTCATATACTGACAAGACACAATGAGCAATAAAATAAGCAATGACACAAATAAGAACTACAGGAACTGCATAGAAATACAAGTCTGGATCATTCTTGAAAATGACAATGCAAGCGAATGCAGTGATGGCAGTGACACTGCACTTGCCAAGAAACAGAACAAAATCGCCAACACTATTTATAGTTGCAACTTGCAAGGCGTTTGACATCAAGATGTCAAAAGCCTCTCTAGCAGCACTGCAAAACCCAACACCCTGTATGGCAACTATAGTATAAGCATTGTGATTCAGGTATCTGATACATTTTTCCATGCACCACAAACAGCAAGTACAACATTTCAAACACCAGGCTACGCATTTCCACTCTTGATGCTTGCGCATTAGACTTATCATGTAAGTAAGGATCAATCTAGGAATCTTAAACACTGTTATCAAGAAAGCACCCAATGCAACAGATCCCATATGATACAAGCAAAGACTGGTGACAGATTTGCAAACAGGACTAGAGACCGTGCTCCGATCTCGACTGAAGTACCAAGTAGCCACGGCTCCGGCTATTGCCATTTGCTGGCACCCCAAAATAAACTCGCTGGTCCACACCAGGGCAATTATGTGATACCACCACATATACTGAACCCATGAACCTTCAGTAAAACTCACCAACGTGAAAGCTCTGTTTACCAGATTGTGTTGAGGTTCTGGTGAGAGATGAGTGTAGTTAGAGGGCAATGGTGCAAGAGGAGCTGAAAATTGTAGAGGGCCTTGAATTGTGTTTCTCACGGGGTAATAAGCAGTAGCGATTGCTACTAAAACAGCGACCCAAAAAGTTAAAAATAAAGCAAGGGCTATAAAGGTAAAAACAGGTTGCAACAGAATTAAAGGCATGCTTTTAATGCATTCAGATGCTTCAGTAAACAGCTTTACAACAATGCTCACTCTTTTTCTCATTACAAGAACAATCAATAATAAAATTATGGTAAATATAGTTGTCATTATAGAATACACTAGAAAGGCCTCTTCATTTTTCACAGACTCAATAAGAGTCTCATCTGTACTGGTAGAATCCAGCTGCCACTTCAGATCGATATAAGTCCACCACAGTACAACAGTTCCTGCAATGCATGCTACGCAAGCTACAATCATGATTATCCAAGACACAAATGAAGCTAACTTATGAATCAATAAAACCACAATTACGGATAAAACAATTGCTAACGCAACCATTCCAAGAATGTGAAACTTAACTGCATAAACATCACTGACAACCTTTTGAATAGTATCAAAACTATTTAAATAAGCATAAATACTGTAAATAATATCACTAGCAAAGTTTGCCACTGGAAGAGGAATACAGCGTTTGAATATTGGCTTGGTGGCAAATATGGGTGGTTCAGGGCAAGCATAGTGGCCATTAGCAATGGTTTCATTTATTGGTTCAGGATACAAGCGACTACGACCTTGGTATTCAGTTATGTCGTAGCGACATAGACGCGAGCCGGTGGCAATTTCAAAATCTCTGGCCTCTGCTTCATCTCTGAGTGTTCTGTAAGGACACTGCTTTACACAGATTTTCAAAGATTGATATAAATTTGTCATGTTTAAGAAAAATAAATAAGGCCTATCAGTCATATCCATGCCAGAAAATGTCATATTTCCCAATTCTTCATTTTTCATTCCACAGGTGTTACCGAAGCTGTCCTGTCCATATTCGAGACTCATAGGATTACCGATCACAAAAGCAAAGGCAGCTATGAATATAAGTAGGCCCCAAAACACTCCAAAGATGAGAAGACAAAACACATCAGTACAACTTTTGGATTTGTCCATCTTGGGTTCATTTTCAGATTGACCACAACAAGGAGACATTTTGATTATAATATTTAGAAGTCAATAAAATCAGTTAATCATTATTCATTTTCAAAGGAAGAGGAGAATTTCAGAATAGACACATTTATTATTTTATTTTAAACAATTAAAATGTTAATTAAATATACAATACTATCCACTCCCCGAAATTTTAAACAGTTTTTGTTTTTGACAGGCTACTGGTTGTTTGTATTTAAATCTTTCACGAATACGGTCAAGTATTAACTTGTAAAATGCATCTGGGAAACAAGTTTTCTTTTGACTCGAAACTCAGGTTTATGTACTTCTACTTCCACTTTTATTATTATTCTTGTGTTGTGGTTGTGACACTTTCACTTTTGTACGCGATATATTTTAATTTTTAAACTATTCCCTAAATTTTACATCCTCCGTCTGGATCTCTTTTATTCTTAATGTTTGTTACTTTTAAATTTTGGCTATTATTATTCTTACATTAAAGATCCTCATCTGTATATTTAGGTAAGTCTTAAAATCATAAATGAAATAAAATACGCCATCATATACTTAAGCTGAAATTATGAAGTTTTATTTATTACAGTTTCATTTATTTGTGTTGCATTAATTTTTTAATCTTATTGCATTAATTTTTCATAAAATGCATATGTATCCTAACTATAAGAGTAAGGTTTTAATAATCATAAGAAAAAATGCGAGATTCCATAAATTATCGTAGCATCTCTTAATAATTTCTAAAAATTTTGACTTTATCTTGCTAATATTTTAATGTGTAAAAATATCGTAATTGCAAACTTTGTTTCGTTTTAATCGTAATATTTGTTGAAGTAAGTATATTGCTTTGACAAAAGTTTGGGTAAAATAATTTTACTTATTCAAAATCAAGGTTTTGAATAAACTTACTAAGTGTATATTTATTGATAAAGCATCGTAGTGATATTCTAAAAATTTTGTTTCTTGTGTTTTTACTATTAAATGTAGTGGGGGAACATTAAAATATATGTTTGTAAATTTTTTTTCATTAGCTACCAAATATGTTTTTTTTTTATACTTTTTTATGTAGTGCTGGTTGCTTACTAGTGTATATATTTCATTTGCTATTGATAACAAATCTTACAGCTATTGTCTACAGCCAATTTAAACATTCAACTTTATTGTATCATTTGCTAAAGATTCTATTTTACCAATTCTTTTCAAATCTTATAGAGTAAGTACAAAAGTGAAGTACAAACAAATGAATATTATAAAATTATGCAAGGTGAATAGTTAAATTTTATAAGATTAAAAATGTAAAGGATTCGTTCAGGGGAAAAGTATTTAAAACACAATTCTAAACAGTACTCATAAATTACTAAAATAGCAACTGAAATACGAGTAGCGAGACACCCTGGTCTGATAGTAAGTTGTATAAAAAGTACTAACAAATAAGTTAAAGGAAGTAAAAGTGCTTAACTAGTGAAAGAATAAATCCTGAAAAATACTATCTAAGACAAAGAGAAAGAATTTAGTTATCAGTGGTCCCTAGAAAGCATTTAGAAATAATCAAGTTTTAGGCAAAGTTATTTAAAAATTAGTTCAATATATATCCAACTTAGCTGTAGCTCATAATAATAGAATCCTTAATAATTGTATTGATGAAACGATAAAGAAAACAGCTTTCAGTTTCTAAGCAAATATTTACGTATCAAGTCCCGCTCCTAGTTGTAATCATAAGGAAGTATTTTACTAAATGAAACTGGAAACACAATGATGCCAAATAATGGTATCTCCTTCGTATCCAAAAAGCATTTAATATTTATCCTGGGATCTCATTTGAGTTCAAGAAAAAAATTTAATGATCAAATTTAGGTCTGGATTATAATGAGATAAAAGAAAGGCATATTACTTTCAGTCTTGATCATTCTCACTTGATTTTGTGTGATAAAATTTGAAAAGTGCACCTATTCAAATTTAGAACAGGAGAATGTTCTTGGACTATCACCAATGGAGAATAGTCATATTGACTTCAAGGAGAAGGTATTTTGTAATGGTTACTTTCAGAAATAAAGTATTTCATAGACTGATTACAAAAATAGAAAATAAAAATATTAAATCAAATGTTCTGTACCAACTGAAATAAAGGAAGTTAGCAAATGTAAACATTATGACCATGTTATCTGGTATAGTAGTAAGAACAGTGAAAACCTCTGTAGTCCTAACATTAATAAATTATTAAGAATATTAGTAAATACTTTAAGTACTCTTTATTATATATTATTCCTACCATTTGCAAAATTGTTTGCATTATAAAAATTAAAAATTTTCATTTGTAGTTAAAATAAATAACTAAATACAGTTTTAAATTTCATATGTGTCGTGTGTCACAATACATTGCCTGTCCGTCATGTGAGTAAATGTTTTTTGGCAAAGTTATTTTCTTAAGATTTTATTTTATTATTTCATGTTTTAAAATTAAGTCTTTTTTTATTTAACTAAAAATTCTGAACTCATAATTATGCACCAGTTCAGAGCAGTTGGTCATATTGCTCCTTAACTCTAAATTTATGTCACTTTTTTGTCATTTCTCTTTCACCATGATTTTCTTTTATTAATAAATTTTTTTTTCTACTAAAGCAAATATTTTGCATTATTTTTAACTGGACGGAAAATAAGTAAAACCGCAAAATTTGGTAAGATATGTTGATATTTGGTATCCAAAATTAAGCTAAAAGGTCTCCTGGTATCGTTTCTGTGATGCTGTAGAGCTCCGATTATCCGAACTGGTCAGGACCGAATGTGGTTTGGATAGTTGAAAAGTTGTTTAAAATCTAGTGTAAATGATATCTAAAATAACTCTGGCGTGTTTAAAAGAAAAAAATTTTAAGTTTTAAATATTTTTATTTATTATTTTTAAACCTTTTTTTTTCCATTTTGAATTATTTTGATCATATTTCAGCATTTCATAATTTTTTTTATCAATTACTGATTTTACCACATTTTTCTTTATTTTCCATTGCAAAAGAAATAAAGCAAAGACTTTCATTTCAAAGAAGATGATCTTTTTTGAGCAGCCATATCCCTTATTCTTTTTAAATGAATCAACTAAACTGGATCAACATCATTTTGATGTTTTAGCCAATTCATTGCAATATCTAATGAACTGCATGCTTCTATATGAGAAGGTCCACTATCTTGAATTTGATCACCTACGTCTTCGTTTGTGGAGTTCCGATTTTCATTCAAAATTTCAGCAACAATTTCATCATCATTTAAAATTTGAAATCCCGGGTCGTTTTCAGTGCCTCGACACCAGTCTTCTATTTCTTCTGCTGTATAACCTGGCATCTTTTCATCGGAAGATCTACTAGTTCAGAAACTTCAGTTTTGTTTATTTTTTCGTTAAGAATTTTATTCCAAGATTTAAGATTCCAAGCACTGTAATCACTAATCATTAACCATAAGGGACAAGTACCATCCCCCAATTGTAGAACTTCAGCATGCATCTATTCAGAAGTTCCTTCCTCATTTCAACCATTGTAGACTGTCAAATTGAAGTTTGCATTCTTGGAAGATAATTTTCAGTTGAAGAGAGATAAAGGGGTACGTAGGTTTAACTGTATAACAATACATGTATGTATTGGCTACTATAAGAAAATTGCTAAAAAGGGTTGTGAATTAAATATGGTCTTCAGATGTAGTGGATATTATTTATTCTTCTAAATTTAGAAAAATTATCGATAAGTTAAAATTATTCTAAACTTTAAAAAAAAAGTGAATTCGGACATGGTTCGGATAATTGACGCTCTACTGTACATGGAATTGGCCAGTCTTAGTGCTTTAGTTTGCTGCCGAAAGACAAGTATTATAAGGTCAGGTGTGATTGCCAAATGCACTTGAATCCTTCATCCAACCACTGAAGTCGCCAGAATTTAAAGACTTAGCAAGATAAGTGATTATCCTAGAAAATAAATAAAACTAAAAAAATTCTGATAAATCTTAATTTCTTTCCTTCAAAAATCCTCTTATAATCTTAATTTACTCAGCTCTTAAATTATAACAAATGTATATTTTGTCAGGATGCCCTCACTGTTCTTAATTTGATGATATTTGACTTGATTTATATATATTACTTGATTTATATATATTTGACTTGATTTGATTTATATCACTTTTTTGGTTGATTCCCTTTTAGTTATTGACTTATTGAGCTTAATTTTTTAGGAAATATCTGAATTATGTTGCTGTCAACCTAGTATGTTAAACAATAACTTTCCTTGATTTGTTAATGTGAAGACAGACTTGACTGGTCTGATTTATACCAGTTATTTTATTTGTTTGACCCCTTTGTCATTCAAAAAGTTTCTTTTAATTGAAATTTTGACTATTGCATAATTTTTAAAGTGATAGGTGGTTTATCTTCTATACTATTTTGGCACCAAATGATAATTTTCCTGCAACTCCGAATTTCATTTTGCAATTTTTGGGATTTCTCTAAAAGAAATGCACCTGAAGCTGAAATTGAATAATAATCATCTACTTACAATTTAATATTAACCATCTACCTTTTTAAAATTTCATTTTCTTTAGATATTGTAATTTAACCTGTTTTCTATCACTTAAAAATTTTTCTCATTTCTTTTTAACAGAATTTCAAAAAAATAAATGAATAAATAACTGTAGCAGCATTTGGGCGGCTCTCCTATAGTTTTTGTGTAGTCAGCAGTTCTATGGTCACATTTCACACATCTAGGTGGGTGATTACATTGTTTCTGTTCATGGAAGTAGTCTTGTCACCTGTGGCATTGGGTTGGTCGGTTTGATTTTTTAAATTTCCTCGATTTTAACAGACATTCTGAATAAGTATTTAAGTTCATAAATGTTCTTACAGCTGGGATTGTTTTTGTCAATTTTACTACATACGTTAAAAGTGGGATTTTATTACCATTATTGCGTCTAAACATTTGTATGACGTTTGTGACGGCTTGATTATGATATTAAAATTTATCCTATTATGTAGGCTTGGTGACGAAATTTCAGGACTTTTTGGGATTCTTGCATAGCTCCGTAAATATTTGTTCTATCACGTTGAAACTCTTAAGTTTCCAGAACAACCATTTTTTTGCCAAGAATGTCGCCTAACCGAATCTTTCATAAGAAATACATTAGATGTTATTTTCTGTCTAAATTACATTAAAATTAAACTACTTTCTTGTAAATTTTCCAATTAATCTGCTTATTTAGGGTCTGTCTGAGATATTTAGTCTCATAACAAAAAAATAATCACCAAATTATACTCATATTTACATATTTGTGACAGTATACTTCGGTGTAACCAAAAAACAAGGATGTCATGAAATGTAAATATCTTTTCCTTTCAAATTTGAAAATATACCATCAGTAGTCGACAGAAGAATTTACAAGTTCATGTGTTAATCTTAAAAAATTATGCTGCCAGAAGAATTTGTATAGTACAGAATTTGAAACTTTCTGGTGAATGCTTACTGTGTTGACTAAGGATAGGATAATGTTCACGTTTTGATAAACTTATTGAAAAGTCTGGAATACTTACAATTGCAAATCCCATCTTTTTTTATTTAACTATGTTAAATGCTAATAGGATGAACTCAATCTGTTGGTTCGGGAATTCCCACATCCATCATTATCAACAACAGCTTTGACCAAGATTACCTGAAAATACATCCTAATAATCACCAAGTCCATATCAGTTATTTTGTCTACATTTTTGATCTGCAATCTGTTGATGATATCTAATTTTCCACATGCATTTAATCCTAACAGCGCACCTGAGTCTTGATTTACAATGTAGAATTCAAGAAAGAAAAAAAGCATTCATTTTAAAAATGTCTTAATATGTTGGCATGTTTCGTGGGTTCAAGTAAAGAATAGGGTGCCCCATGAATTGAGCACTGTAACTAGGAGTTTTTACCAGTACCTAAGCGCTTTTAGAAAAGCGGCCTGCCTCCGCCTGATCTTTGATCCACATAAATGCGCCCTCCTTGCTCTTTTTGTAAAAATAAGCCGCCATCCTTTAAGAACACTGAGAAGTTAGATCTACCACAGTAAGCCACATCCTTTAAGAACTTTTCTTTTTATGAAAAGGTTATTTTTTTAACCAATGCTAAGTCTTATTCAAATTTATTTAGATATTGATAATTATTTAACTTTAATTTGAAAATTTTTAATTTCATTCCTTTATTTTAGTAAGATTTTTTTTTATGTTATAAATGTTGTTAAAATTCGCATGATATTCGGCCTCAGAGATATTCACATCTTTTACTTATGAGTTTTTTAGTGATTTTAAATGTTACCATTATTTTCTTAAATTCCGTTCATTTGAGAAAAAAAAAAAGCACCTTTGAGTGTTTATTTTCTCATATTTTTCTGTTTAAAATATATAAAAAATCTTCAAAGTTGTTCATCAATTTATTATTTTTTTTACTTTACTTTTTTTTTGAAGAAAATGTATATACAGAGATAATCTTTTAGCTTGCCTTACTTTATTTTTCAAAAGCTTCAAATTTTTCTGTTATTGTGTTAATGATTGAGAATTACTTTGGTAAATATGCACACAAAATAGTATTAGAGGGTAATTTAAAAATTAGGATCAAATTCGGTTACATAACATTACACAGTTTGATAAATTTTTACGGTGGTGAATGTCCTTTCAAAACTCAAAGTGCCCTTTTCTGTGAGGAAACACCCATCCTGCCCTTTTTTATTCCTTGGGAGAACTCTGCTTTCACTGTGTATGAAATCTTCCATTTCCCTATTATCTCGACCTCAATCACTTTACTGTTAGGAAAGCTCACTTTTAAATCATTTTCCCTGCTTACGGTAGGAATATAAAAATTCGCCGAAATAAAAAGAGTAACCTATTGTAGACTTTTACCGTTTTGTGCTCGCCTGTTTAATAATTACGGTAGTTCAGTAATGTAAATCATGTTTAAAGTTAATTATGTGACAATGAAGATACGATTTAACTAGCTAAAATGCTAAAACGATATTGCGTTTTCAATGTTATAATTTTCCCCCTTTTTCTTCTGTCTTGTTATTTATTCCAAGATTTGACTGTATTATTATGTGTATAAAATTTTCTTGCATTCCTTTTTTTTTTACTTTTAATTACCTAATTTTCCTCTGCACTACAATTTTTCTTAATGTATCCATAATATTTTTACTTTATTTGGATGGGAAATCATTTACTTAAATATATATATTTCCTTTCAGAAATATGGCCACTGCTTTATCTGATGAAGAGTTTCAGCGCATGCAAATGCAATTATTGGAACTTAGAACTAAAAATTACAATCTTGGAGAAAAGAATGTGAAAGTACAATCTGAACTGTTGCAAAACAACCAAAAATTGGAAGAGCTAAGAAAAGAACTTGTTAAATGTCAGAGAATAATATCCCGAGGCAAAAACTATAAGGAAGTTGAACAGTTTTTACAGGAAAATGAAGCTCTTCAACTTAAATTACAAATGCAAGAGGACGAGTTTCGATTACAGAATGAAACTTTGATGCAAGAAGTTTCAAGCTTAGTCAACTCTAACGAGATGTTAACTAAGGAATTAGAATTAATGAAAGCTGGGCATTTATCAACATCTGAGCAGTATAAACAAGATGACATTATTAAGCTTCAGGCTGAAAATGCAGCGCTTAAGAAACTGCTTTCTGATTATCAGAATGAAGGTAGTGCAATAGGTGAAAGTGAATTTGATTCAACCAAAAAGATAGAATTAGAACTTAAATCAAACACTGCTTTGGAAGAAAACAAACTACTTCAGGCAAATATGAGAAAGATGGAAAATGATTTCAAAGAACAGCTTTTAAAAATGCAAACTGAAAATGAGAAAAGCTCAGAAAAGCTAAAACGAAAGCAAGAAAGCTTCTCAAAATTGCAAGATGAAAAAGAAAAATTATACAACGAGAATAAAAATGCTCTTGAAAGTCTGCAAACCACCAAAGATATGGAAGTTCAGCAATTGAAGGATCAAATTCGAAATATGCAATCCGAATTCAAACAAGCTTTGCTGTTTAATGAACAGTTAACTAGTGGGGAAGTTAATAAAGATAGTGATGCAGTGGTGGAATTAAGTGGAGATACAGCTACTTTTGACTGCTCCATAAGTGAGACAAAACTATCACTGTTGAACATCCAAAGTAAAATTCAGACATTGAATAAGCAACTATCAGAATCTGAAGAAGCTAGAAAGGATCTTGAAAAATCAAATGAAGATTTAATCGCTAAGCTACAAGATATAGAAAAAGCCAAGAAAGAAATCGAGGATTCTTTTCTCGAGAAATCCAAATTGGCTGAAAATCGCAAGCAGTTGATGGACACCATGAAAAATCATCTTCTAGAAACAACTAATAAACATGCTAGTGAAATCGAAAACCTGACAAGGCAGTTGGCAGATGAACAAGATAAACTGCAAAAGCTCTTTGATAAAGAAAAGGAAACTGAAACAAAACTCATCGAGTCTAGAAATGATGTGCAGATGTTGAAAGAGGAATTGGAAAGACTTCGCACAGATTGCAAAGGTTCAGACTCTAAAGTAAAGGACTTGGAAGATGAATTGCAGAAAAAAACAGTCGAGTTTGAAATCATAATAGACGATAAAGAAAAAGAACACGCCAATGCTATGGATAACTTAAAAGAGGAAATGGAGAGCGTCGTCAAAGATTTAACGATTCAGTTGGAAGTTGCTAAAGCTGAGAGAATGGAATTCGAAGAGAAAATTAAAGTTTTGCAACAAGAAGCAAAAGATTCTGTCGATGAACGAAAAATTCAGGAAAAGAAGGGAGTTGCCATGGTTAAAGACCTGAAACGTCAACTACAAGTTGAAAGGAACCGCGCAGAAAAATTGCAGGAACGTCTTCAGGAAGTTCTAAATGACCAAAACCGCCCCGTCGATGACATATTGCAGTCTGCCGGTAATTTTGAAAAAGGTAAAGGGGATGCAAGTAGCATCAGTTCCTGGAGCTATGTATCTGGAGGAACAGCTGAAAGAGAAAATAAAGATGTTACTCTGCAGAGTGACACTTCTTCGGGAGGGCATGACTCCCCAAACCGCCTGTCACCCTCCATATTAGAAACTGAAACTAACAGCCTGATTGCTAAAGTTGCAGAACTTCAGCAAAACAATTCAACTCTGGGGGAGAAAGTTAGCCATTTAGAATTGAGTAATGAAGCTCTCGTGGATGATGTGTTGAAGAAAACTGCCCTGATACAGTTCTATTGTATGGAGGGTCGTTCGGAGCATCATGCGTCTGGCTCCTCCCAGGATAAATTGACAATTAAACGCATTGTAGATTTTATCAAAGATAGAGGTGATGAAAATTTAAAAGAAATAAATAGGCGAATGCAGAGATTGCTAGAAGAAACTCTTACAAAAAACATGCATTTACAAAATGACATTGAAGTCCTGTCCAATGAAGTGTCTCGTTTATCTAAGCTTGCTAGTATGCCTGTTGAAAATGGGCTGCAAAGTGCTGTTTATGTCAATGAGGCTTAAAAAAGTAACGTAATTCATTTTAGTAATCTAGTCACTTTTAATTCAACTTATAAAATGATATCTACTATGGTTACATATTTTATCATATAGTATGCAAAAGCTTATTCTTAATCAAAACAAAATTCTTTCGTTTCCTCGGAAAAATATATGATGCATAGGCCTCTGGAGGTTAATGTGCGTCAATATGTTATGTCTATGGAACCTGTATTTGTGTTAGAACATTTTGAAACATTAAGCCTTTCGATTAGGTGCCAATTTTATACATCCAAAGTTTAAGTGGAAATGCTCAGTAGATACGAAGACCCTAAAGTATCACGTATAGAATTCCCAAAGTTCCAAAAAAAAAAAATTGTAATTGCGAATTTATGTAATAAATATTCTTTCACATATATTTTGGAAGAGCAAAAAGAATTTCGTATAGTGCTTAAAACTGGTTCTTTAAATCTAAATAACAGTTTTGGAAGTATTTGATGTTAATAATCGCTTTTATTTAATCATCAGACTATCTAATGGCCAGGCTCTTAAACAGTGTTATTTGAACTGTTATTTCTTAACAAAAAAGTATACTTAAGAATAAACTCTTTTACTTATTATAAATGGCTCCATTTTTGAAAGCTGGTCTTTCAAAATGTATTAACAGTTTCGATACATAAACTTAACCAGGTCTTCTGATATTGTTTTCATAGAATTGCTAGCCTGCGGGTTCCTTGAGTAAAATTATGCTTAAAATAGACGCCAAACGTTACATAGAATTGTAAGCTGAACCATACTCATGTGACCTAATCTTAAAAGCTTAACTGTGAACTTATTTTAATAACTTTTCCTCTCCTATTACATGGATTTTGACTTTTTAAATGGCATAAGGGAAACTTATCAATCGAGTCCCTTCCATATGGAATTACAGTTAAAGCGCTGATTGTACCACCAATCACAGCACAATTTATCATGATTAAAAAAAAAAAATTAAGCAAATTTTAAAATATTTGTGGCTGTTAATTATTTTGTAAAAGCATGTATATTATAAACAAGCATTCAGGTGTATTTAAATTTTGTCAATTATAAATTTCAGAAAAAAATTCGTGTGAAAACAAAGTGTAAAGGAAAGATACAACTTTTCTTTTCAAAATTTCGTTAAAACTTAGTTCTTTTTAGTTTTAAGTAACCTTTCTTTGTTAAGATTAAAACAAGATTTGGTTGTGTATATATATAAATTTATCTTATTATACTTGAGTGCGAGAAAAGTGCTAAAAAAATTGTTTTTGTTCTTTTCTTTACTGTCTTTTTTGGGTTTTAAAAGTTCTTGCTATCATAACTATAAAACCTATACTATATTTCATATCGCTGGTACCATGCCAAAAAATAAAGAAAACTGATTTTTTGGCGAATGGCGTGATGCCAACCATGCATAAAAAGAGTCCACATTTTAAACTGGTTGTAACGCCCATTAAAAGTCTTAATTTTCTGATATTTATTTATTTGTTAGCTTTTATTGAAAAAAAAACAAATGCATTCCTTGTTTGTAAAGTTATAAGTTTATTCTTTTTACATTTTTTCTCTGCTATTTCTTTTTTATGTTGAGCTTATTATTGTTATCAAAAAAGAGCTAAGAGGAATAATATTAAAAAGCGTGATATTTTTAATTGATTATACTTATAAAACTAGTGATTCTTTATTGGTAATTAATTGTTGTTTACCTATGAAATCTTTCTATGTTAATAAAATAAAGAATTATTTAGACCGTGAGACTAAGCAAATTATTTTATTCAAATGAAAAAAAAGGCAACTTTCATTTTATTTTTTTACTTTTATCATTAACAGGGTGCGTAGTCAAATTATTCAACAAAAAGTAAGCTTCTTTTAAGCACTTTTCAAGCACTCAAAAAATATTTTTAAGCCCTTTTAAAAAATATCATAATTAGGCAGGGTTGGAAAATTTTGGACAATTGACGGTTTTACCTTGTTTTCACCGTCATGTCAAAAAAAAAAAAAAAAAAAAAAAAAAAAAAAAAAAAAAAAAAANAAAAAAAAACCTTTTGGCATTGTTTTTTGACAATTGTCAAAAATCATGAAATTTTGAATCATGTAAAACGACTGGCGTTTTTATACGCTACAGACTGGCAATACGCCGAAATAGATTGGGGTTGAATTAATTGTGAAAACGTTGAATAGTAACAATGTGAACTGTGTCTTTTGCATAATTCGAAGGGAAAATCAATCTCATTTTGAAAAAGGGTAAATTAAGTACTATTATAAAAATACCCAATGAAAAAAGCACCTTTAAGGGCTTTTAAGAAACGAAAATAAGCACTTTTTGAAAACGCTACGCACCCTGATTAATTATCACAGTGCTTTAATATTTAAACATTATTTTGAAAGTTTAGAAGTACAAGCTTTTTTTTATGAGCTTTATTACATTAGTGACTAAAAAGAATCTGGTACTTGCACTTCAAGAAGATCACAATACCCAGACATGTGATCTAGGACGTCGGCGCCAGCTGATTGTTTGTAAGCAAAATGGCGTATTAAAGTTGAGTTCAGTTTCTCTACATAAGTTAGGATGTTAATTAACTTGAAGATAAATAAATATAACGCCATTATCGCTCATCGAATTTGTTGAGATATAATTCTCTTTCGTCTACATCTTTTACTTATTATTTGTTTATGCATTTTATTGCAAACGTGATATCTTTTTGTTTTGTGTGTCTGGCAACCTCGATGCATGATTTGTTTATGTTCTACGTGGCTTCATACCTGTCTTTGTGTTAAGTAAGAAATATGTAGTGAAAAAATTGAAATCCTTGTGAAAGAATCTTTGTGTAAGAAAATAGAATCACAGAGAATTGATACTTGACGGGCTGGCTTATTTGGAATAATATAGAAAGAACAGTTTCTAACGTAAACAAATACCAGTTTCTAACGTAAACAAATACCAATCAGGATCGAGATACCCACCCTCCGTCACTTGCAGGTGTCGTTTTTTATCACGCTATTGGAAGATGGTATATCAAATCGTTTTCTTTTCTGAAAATGATTCATTTGTTTGTTTACTTCGATCGTCTAGCACGAGAAATTAAATTTTAAATTTAGTAGATATCTATAAGCACATTTGTGAAAAGACTTCTGGATTTAATTATTATAGTTATGTACCTCGTGAAACTACCGGGTTACTGTTTATTTTTACGCCAAAAAGTTTGAAAGAGCGCTTCAACTAATATTAATATATTTATAGCGTTTACAATATGACGCGTTTCTTTATTTTAACTTTAGCTTAATCCGTTTAATCTTGGCAGAAAACGAATTCGGACAACTCTACTAGCATACTATGATGCAATCCAAAAATAACAAACGGCGATATTTTACACGGATACAGCCCAAATAGGGGATAACACTAAAAACATGGCGATATTACATCAATGTTGTGATATTAATTTTCCTAAATTTATTTACTCCTTTTAGAATTTATAAAATAAAGAAGACACTTATGAATGGTAAAATTACCCGAAAATTTAAAATAAAACTTATTAGAATATCAAGCCTCGGCAAACCACACGTAACATAAGCGGAGGTACACCGGAAGTTTTCTATATTTCTTCCGTTTCCAGGAAATTTGTTATTGTTTACGTTCAGTCACCCATGCATAGGTAAAGAATTCTACCATCTGCACTCCATTTAATTCTTAATAAAAATTTTGAGCAATTGACCCACAGCCTGTTTGAAAATTCTTGATTTGTAGCAAGCATGTCTTATTTTATTTGTTATAAACTCACGAAGAATCTATTAAATTTTTATAGGTATAATAGATTTTTTCTGCCTCCATTCCTTTTATTTCTCATCTGCAATACTAAGTTTTTGAATTATTTGTGTAAATATGTAAATATTCATTGTTTGAAAAGTTTCTTTGTCTAAGAAATTCTTTATTCCTAATTATTGGTTTGGGTAAATTATTTTATTATTGTTTAATATCGATTTTGAATAAATATATCAAGAAGTCTTTATTATTATAGTTACTATGTTATTAGTTATTACCAGTTTATTTTCTTTGTATTTATGTGAAACTGTCGATATTTTATTAAATTATAAGGTCATTACCTTTTTTTTCCCCAAATATTTTGCTGTTGTCTCATATTTTAAATAGAGTCAAAATAATTTGTTTTAACAATAGCAAGAAGAAGAAAAAAAACTTTGAGTGAATTTATTTTCAATAAATTGCTAAAATGTTTGTATTTGTTGTAAAAATTGATGATATATATCCCTTATCTGTTTTAATAAATATTGAAGCTTTGTATGTTTTTGAAAAATCTGTTTATTTTATATCAGGGGTATTCTTTTTTACATAATTTATTGCTGAGTGCATCTAGAAATTAACTCCAATTTATGGTTGAAAGGCATTCTTACGCAACTTTATTTTAAAGACAAATTTAATACTTGTAGAATTTGAAATTGCATTTACGGGCATCGTATCATTGGTGATGTGGAGGGTATCAGTATTGCCAGATTGGGCTACAAGTAGCGGATTGGGCTACTTTAAAAAGTCCCCGCTACTCAAAATCGAATTTGGGCTACCCGCTGCTTTTTGGGCTACTCATTATTTTTTAAACGCTACAATTTTTAAAAGTGCGCTACTTTCTTACAGAATTTTATGCTACTGTTCTTACAGAAATAATTTTTTTTTTTTTTTTAATTTTTCCTTTCCTATTGTAAAATGATTCTAAAAAGTCTAGTTTGTTTATATTTTTTAAAAAGGAATTTTTTTTTTTTTCTTCCTGAAAACGCATCAGCTTTAGTTTTGGATCAGTTTTGCTGCGCCGATTTTAGAATCTCTCCATATCTATGCTTCAAATCAGACTCGTGAAATCGTTTATCTTCTGGAATAATCACGTGACCTTTAATCTGAGAAATATTGAATTTGTCGAAATTTTTAACGAATGAAATTTAACTTATTTCTTTTAATTTAGTAGAAATATATTATATAACGTAGTTTTTGGGGGCTACAAAATGTTCGAATCCTTTACTTCTGGAACTCCCATTCGCTACTTTTTTATCTTAAGTTCTGGCAACAGTGGAGGGTATATGTCTCTCAATAGCTTAGAACGAAAAATTCAAAATGTCGGAGCATGAATAGAACAAGCACGATAACCACGTGAACAATATTAGATCAGAAAAACTTTTTAGCTGGTACTTTTTTTTTGTTTTTTACCACAATAAAGGACTCACGACTTGCTCTTCCTCCATCTTTTTTATTTCACTTATTACACATGACTCTTCCCTTCGGGAACACCGCGTATCTTTTAAAAAATTTTATTAGCCCTGGTACGTTCACGGATAACTGAATTGATCTTAATTATTGGCTATACATAAATTTTTCATTTTTTTTACGAGATAATTTTTTTTTCATGGCTACGAGGCTCCGCCCTCAATAAAATTATTGTAACTTTATGTTAGAACATTTTGTTAACATGTTAATCAGTGGCGTACTTTTTGGGGGACAAAAACCCCTCCGAATTATACATTTCTTGATTATGAGCGATGTAGATGTAAAAAAGATTTCATTATTTATTTTTTTAAAATTTAAACATTTAGAATACAAGACGATAGAAAGCGTTTACTTTTCTGTAGTCTATAAAATCAGCTAGTATTATGAGCTTGCATGTGTGAAATGAAATATACGTTAGGGATTTTTAATTTTGTGTACGATACGATACTTTTTCATAATTTAAGTTATTTCTATTTATATGATTTATAACATACAAGTGTTTTATGATATGATAATTTGTTTTAATACTTATTTTAACAAAAAAATGGAATATTTGCATTGTTAGCGTTAAACTGTGTCAACGAAACTTAACCCTAATTTAGAATAAAACTTCCCCGTGAATTTAACTGCTATAAATAATAAATATGAAATATTTATTATAATTTAAAATATAAATCATTTTATTTTGTTTTGTATAATATTAAAAAAAGTGGGTGACGTGATAATTTGGCAAATCGTCTTTAGAATTTTAAATATGTAATTAATTATACGATTATCATAAATCCAATTTTAAATGTTGTAAAAACATAATTTGTTGATAAATTCTCCATCAGTGTTCTTGATTTAAATATTAATAAAAGAGTTTTTTTATAGCAAGAAAGCTTTGTAATATTTGATTTTTAATAACTTTCAAAAGATTTTCTGTCTCAGAATCGATTCTGAAACTTTTTAAGATATTAGTCCATCTAACTTCATTTTTTAAATATTAAGCTATGTTAAGACAAAAGTTTTTTTGGATAATCTTATTTTTAACGTAGACAGTTTTATAAATTTTTATTTTTCTATAGCATATTTGAAAATTTTATAAAGGATATAACATTTGTTTTGTGCTTTTCCAATCAATTTTTAGCATTTTGATAGTTTAATATTAAGTAACGAAGAATATAACTAGACTTATTGTGTAAAAAGTGCTAGCCTGAAATGAATTTTTTATTTTTGCAATAGGCAAGTTTCTTACGTTAAATAACTGTTTGCAATAAATATCGAACATGGAATTGTCACGATTATTATTTATAACTGTAGTTATTGAATATGTTAATATCGCGATAATTATTGAATACGATATTATAGTGAGTCTTGATGAATTTTTATTTGGCTAATGAAAATACCAGCAAATAATATAAATTAATGTAGATAAATATCGTGATATATTGATAAACTTATAATATTTTTAACAATACATCGCGATGTTAAAATTTAGATCTTATCGGTTATTGGAACCAATGTTCATGTTGACAAAGCGGAAAAGCAGTAGCCAACAAGACTCCTATAAACAGCAAGTGCGTGAAAGACTTATTACGAATTTTTACCCTCTGCTATGCTTAGCTTAGTACAGTTAACCATTCCTATTGTTATTGTATTAATACTGTTTACAATATGGCGTACTATCTACCCTTTAATTTATAAATCCGTTTAACTACAGCTTGATAACACAAAAAATGCAAATAACAATCAAAACTTGGCATCTCTTACTATAATGATGTAATATCAATATCCTTAAATCTTTTTTTGGCTGACGACCTTTTATTATGTATACAATATAGTAGAATCTTATGAATGGTAAAATTAAATGTAAATTCAAATACAATGCAAGAGTTATTTCCAACGATATCAAAATTCAGTTGAAATATAGTCTTGTTAACTTAACATAATAGGGGAATATATACAAGGACCGATCAAGCCAAATTGAGGCCCACAAAATTTTTCGGGCCCCTAAGAAAATATTTTAATATTAAATTTCTGAAGAGTAGTCCTAACAATAAAAATAATCTATTGAGCTGCATGATTCATGAGAAACATTCTAAAAAAATTTGAAAGCAAACAATTGAAGAATATTTTTCTAAGATCTAAATATTAAAGCAAAATATAAAACAACAAAACAATATCGTATGAAAATAAAAATTGTTTGGTGACCACAAACAATTGAAATCAGTGGTTTTTGCTATAAGTCACTGATTAGCTATATTATTTCAAAGATTGTAGCCTTCCATCTACAGCTTTCCAATTATTTGTTAAGAATAAGCTTTTAGTTCTAGTTGACACTAATCACTTATAAGAGACTTTGCGAATAGGCATTGTCGTTGCATTTGCTTAAGCCGTTGTAGTAAAAATTGCACCAATTAAAATTCAGCTGTACTTTCGAATTTGATTAGTACAATGTTTACACTAGTTTGTTTTATCACAATATAAAGAATTTTAAAGTAATATTGTGGATTTTTTACTAATTTTTGAGGCCCCCAGAAGGTGATAATCAGGCCCTGAATATATACCTTAATTCTTTAAGATTCAGTCTTAAGAATCTTGTTTCTGTTTGCACAGAGTTAGAGACGAAACCTTTCGTATTGCCTGCAAAAAAATCGCATACGAATGAGAACGACCTTCTAACCACTTAGCATCTTCAGTTTACTTAACCATAATATATAAGCATAAATAACCTTAACTTAAACTGTGATGATTTTTTCCTTCCTCAGTTCAAGTTCCAATGCGGTTTCCAAGCGTGGAATAGTTCCTACTTTGGCTATCAAGGAAAAGTATCTTTGTTTGCCAAGGTCCCTACGAATGGAAAAGTACACTTTAAATGCGTTAATTTTTTTTTCTCCCTAATTTCCAAAACAATGACTGTAATTATTTATTTTTTTTAAAAAAAAGTACAATAATTAATGTATAATAATAAATAAAATAAATTCTGATACATATACTGTCGATTATCAGATGGCTATTAATTCCCACTTATTCATTAAAACCGTAATATGAGGGGGAGCGAAAAATATAGTTTCGACCCATGAAATATTCGTTAGTCTTAAAAGTCAATTTATTTTTTTCGATCCGGCATTGAAAGGTTGTTGCTAATTAGGGTGAATAAATTATTGATTAAAAATAAAATCTTATAACAAATGCACCGAAACATTACTTTCCGTTCCTCTTAATATATTGCTGTTCATTCTGTGAATCTTTTCGGATTAATAATTTTCCCCAGAGAGAGGGATTTTCTACCTGTTCGAATAGTTTTATTTCTTGTATATATCTAAGGTTTAATTTTTTTCCAGTTATATACATAAAAACTAAGATGACATGCGAATCTTTAGACAACGGTCTCTAAGATATTTGTGACATATCATCATAATTCAAAGATCGAATCATTTAATACCACCAACTAAAATGACAATTCTCATTTTAAAATTGTAACCGTTTTGAGTTTAAGGCACTCCAATGGTATAAACTCGAAACAAAGATCAAGACATTAGTGTGGCTTTCTATTTCAAGTGCTTTAAAAAACATTCAGTATTATCAAAGAGATATTTTTCTTTTTAAAAAAAATAAAACATTTCTCTATTTTTAAACTCATTTTTGAAAGATTGTATATTGATTATAAAATTTAAATATTTGCATTAACTTTTATAGAGTATAAAATACTTTGAAAAGTAAACTTTAGTTTATTATTCAAAATAAACGTTGAAATTTGTTGGTTCAAAAACAGAACTGTGATTTTTTTAAAATCATTTTTATGATAATTAAAGATATTCACAGATCTTCTCTGTAATATTAATATTTTTTTTAAAAATATCGTCATTAAAAAAAAAAGCTGTATTGTGCAAATGTTTTTTGTATGTATGTTCAAACATAATATGAATAGTTTAAGAAATAAAATCAAGCAAAACAAAAGAAAACCACTTATGTTTATTTACATACAAAAATTGTAACGTTGATGAAAGTACATTAATAGTTATGATACAATCAATTCTTTTTGCACCTAAAGTTAGGAATTTTTCAACAATATTTTAAGTAAATTAAAAGGAACTATACAAGTATTAAACACAACATTAATCCTTCAATATGAGGGATGTTTAGACATCACGAAGTAACCTTGTATATAAGACTAAGCTTAAAATTAGAAAAGGTATGATTATTTTTACAAGTTTCAACAAATTCCACTCATGATTAAATTTTAAGCTACGCTATATATACAATTGGTCTTATTGACAATGATACAGAATATAATCAAGTTTCACATTAATCAATACAATCTTTCAATTTAGAAACAAACTGATGAAAGTAGAGTTAACTAGGTTTACTTTTTTAGTTCATAATTTCTAAACATTAAAAATTATTAAAGGCTTAATCCTATATTTGTAGTCAAATTAAATATTCTAACACTAAATGAAGAAATAATGTAAAAGATATAAATTTCAACTAAAGCCGACTTATTATTTTCGTAGAGCTTTGCTTAAAATATTTTAATAATCTTTCAAATTATATTTTGACAGTAGTTTTCATACTGAATAACTTTTTCTGAAAACGAAATAAAGGGCCCATTCATTTCATCCTTTCCTAATATCTACAGTCAATATTTATTAAATCAAAATATTCAGCATTAGACACAATCATTTCTCCATCCATTCGATGTTTAATAAATCTTTTTTTAAATATATATTTTAACTATTGCTGTTATATTTAATGCCGAATGTTTTCCAAGCCCTGTGCGTATATTAAGAAATATGCAAACATGTCAATCTATATAAATTAAAGAGCTGTTTACATATTTATATACATATCTGACATCAAAGATTTCTTTACAATAAGTTACAGTTTTGCAAACTAGCAGAAAGTTATGCACAAATTGCACAGTTAAGAAGTCATTATTTCCTGTTTAAAATGAAGATTACTATAGTTACACGCAATGCTCAAACAACTGGCAAGTTTTTACCAATCAAGGGTTGGGTGACAAGAGACGCACAGGAGCTACTTCCAAAATGAATCAAAAGATGAGCACTGAGCTTTTCCTTGCTGTTGAAATTCTTGCCACATTGGGTGCAGGTGTATGGTATTTTCCCATCATGAGTTCGCATGTGGATATTCAACTTACCTTTTGTAGTAAAAGCCTTTGAACACTGGCCACAAATGTAAGGACGTTCTCCCGTATGAATGCGGATGTGAGCGGTGAGTTTGTCATTTCTTGCAAATGCTTTTCCGCAGTGCTTGCAAACAAATGGTCTCTCACCTGTGTGACTACGAATGTGTACTGTCAACTTATCCTTTTGCGCATAAGCTTTACCGCAATGTTTGCACACAAATGGTCGCTCTCCAGTATGGACTCTAACATGGTTAGTTAATTTGTCTTTCCATACAAATCCTTTACCACAGTGAGGACAATTATAAGGATACTTTCCAGTATGAGTGTAGGAATGTGAAGTCAGTTTATCATTACGGGCAAATGCCTTCCCACAAGTTTTGCAAACAAATGGACATTCTCCGGTATGAATTCTTACATGAGCTGTCAGTTTATCATTTCGTGCAAATGCTTTACCACAATGTTTGCAAACATAAGGTCTTTCACCAGTGTGTATTCTAATGTGAACAGTCAACTTATCATTCTGTGCAAAAGCTTTCCCGCAATGCTTGCAAACAAATGGGCGTTCACCAGTATGAGTCCTGATGTGGTTAGTCAACTTATCCTTCCAAGCAAATCCTTTATTACAATGAGGGCAAGTAAAAGGATGTAAACCAGTATGAATGTATGTATGAGCTACTAACTTATCTTTGCGTGTAAAACCTTTTCCACATTGCGTGCAAACATAGGGACACTCTCCAGTGTGGATGCGTACATGGGCCGTTAATTTATCTTTTCGCGTGAAATTCTTCCCACAATAGGTGCAAATATGAGGGCTTTCACCAGTATGCAGCTTTATGTGCTCATTTAATTTATCTTTTCTCGTAAAGCTCTTTTTACAATACGAGCAAGTAAATAAGCTTTTAACTTCTTGAGTGGTGTTGTTAATGTTATAATGTTCTGCTTTAACGTCTACAAAATAGATGTGACAATGCTGACAGATGTTATGTGGTTGACAAGACGGTATATTTAAATTCACAACATTCTCCATAATGTATCAGTTTTAAATGAGATTTGAAGCTTCACAAATATTATTTTAAGTGCAAATTTTACCTTGAAAAAAAATATTTATGTGTCAATATGTATGCTAAATCCATTATCACCTAAACTCATTTCTCAGTCCCCCCTACTGTTAAAATTACCTTCAAGATGAAAGTTTTTTCTTTACAGCTCTCCTAGTTCCACTTTCAATCAGAAATGGAGAATTGAGACATTTTTCTGAAAATAGAAGAGGGATGAAAAATGTCAGAAGTTAGAGTAGTAGTGATAAAAAAGTATTTAATAAAACTAGAATTTACCAATTAAGATTATTTTTTTTTAGTCAGAACAGATATAATAAATTATTCAAAGAATTTCAGGCCAAGAGGTAAAAGAAGCTTTTAGATCTTAAAATTCAGAAATATTTTCTTATTTTTGGAAAGATAGGAAATATAAAGGTGCAGAAGTTCTATAAGTTTGAGAGAAAAAAAAGAGCAAAATGAACAGACACTACTTTAATACTTCCCCATTTCTGTTGTAAGTAAATTAGGGAAAAGGAGTGTAAACAAAATTGTTTTGAGTTTATTTTTCACTAATTACCATATAATAGTTATACGTTCATACTTTTTCTCCATACTGCATAAGCTGCAATTGCCTTATCTAAAAGAAAACAAGAACTAAAATGAAAACACAAAATTTAGTTTTTACACCATGTAAAGTTTTTTTTTTTTCTTCCTTCCTGTAATATAAAAATGCAATGATAACCTTCTAAAAGTTTTAAAATTTCAGAGAAAGGAGAAAATGATTTTTTAAGAACATAATTCAAATGCCCCTACAATGAATTTGCTTTATATTTAGATCAAAATTTTTATTTTTAGAATGATGAAATGAAACTCCAATAAAAAATTTTGCTTACACTCTTTGTTCACTTAATAATTTATATATACCATTTGCTTCAACAATTTTAAGAGCTTAAACAAATGTAAATTTTTATTTAAAAGTGTCTAGCCATTTTACTGAATTTTTTTCCAATACAGATTTGTTTGCTTTTTAATTTTCACATATCAAAACTTGAGACAATATATAGCATTCTAAAGTAAAATCATTAAAGGGTTGGTTTAAAATATTAAGTATGTATAGTGCCAAAAACTTGATAAAGAAAATTTACAAACTTTTTGATTGAGTAATTTATTTTATACAGTCACATACAGCTTGCAACACAGTAGAGAAGTGTACAAGCGAACAAAAAGTCGAATTATATCTAGCAAATAACAATACAATGTAGTATAGAGAAGAATTTTTAAAATCTAGTGATCTACTATATTTTAAAAAGCAAGCTGGAATTATTCTTTTTGTCCATTTAAAAGTTTTTTAGTCAATAGTTAGTCCTTTAAAAAATAATTCATAATTATTTGATCTTGATCACTGCATCATATTGCTAAATTTTCTATCGGCGTATAATATGAAGAAACTTGATGAATTTTTCAAAAATATCCTTTTCTTGCACTAAGAAATAATTTCCAAGCATTTTTGTGGTGGAACCCTCACATCGATTTTTAAATTTTATTAATTGTTAAAAATGTGATGAGGCAAAAATAAATAGTTCTACAAGATCTATTAAAAAAATTACCACTGCTAAATGACAAAAACATAATTCTGTAGAGCTGAGTATCAGTTTGGAAAATTTCTCCATTTAATTAAAATAGTAATTTGTCTCTCTAATTTTGATAAGCCAATTTGTAGAAGACACATTACTTAAATTTAGATGCTGCCAATTAAAGCCCACATAGACGGGGTTTTTTTTTTTAATAACAATTCTAGAAAAACTAAGGAGAAAAAAGAATTATTGCTGCTGTGGAGGTGGTTGCTGTTGCTGCTGTGGAGGTGGCTGGGGTTGTTGAGGTGGAGGAAGCAAGGGTTTTGTGTCCGGTAACATTGTAGGTGGTGGAGGTAATGCTCCAGGTAAAGCGATATCAGGAATCTTCGTTAGGAGTGGTTTTGCGACAAGTGCAGCACACGGCCCTCCTCCCAGATGGATCAACAGATGAGCATTGAGTTTATCTTTACGATTAAAGCCTTTACCACATTGATTGCATGTATATGGATGTTTTCCAGTATGAATTCGCATATGAGTGTTGAGCTTCCCCTTCATAGCAAAAGCTTTCCCACAGTGAACACAAACATACGGTCGCTCTCCCGTGTGCATACGTACATGGGCGGTCAGCTTATCGTTTCGCGCAAAAGCTTTGCCACAGTGTTTGCAAACAAAAGGCCTCTCTCCCGTGTGAATGCGCACGTGGACAGTCAGTTTGTCTTTCTGTGCAAACGCTTTAGCACAATGTTTGCATACGAATGGACGCTCACCTGTATGTATGCGAATATGATTGGTCAACTTATCCTTCCATGCAAAACCTTTCCCACAATGTTGACAATTGTAAGGATGTTCACCCGTATGAATACACATATGAGCACCTAGTTTATCTTTGCGTGCAAAAGCTTTAGGGCAATGCTTACAAACGTAGGGTCTTTCACCTGTGTGAATGCGAATGTGAGTGGTTAACTTATCATTTTGGGCAAAGGTTTTTCCACAATATTTGCATACAAACGGTCTCTCTCCAGTATGTATTCTAATATGATTTGTAAGCTTATCCTTCCATGCAAATCCTTTCCCACAATGCTGACAATGATAAGGGTGCAAACCTGTATGAACATACATATGAGCCCCAAGTTTATCTTTCCTAGTGTAGCCCTTACTACAAAGATTACAAACATAGGGGCGCTCACCTGTGTGTATGCGTATGTGAGCGTTTAGCTGATCTTTACGAGCAAATGCTTTATTACAATGGTTACATACGTGAGGACACTCCCCAGAATGCATTCTTAAGTGATTGCCAAGCTTATCTTTACGTGTAAAACTCTTATCACATTGATTACAAGCGAAAGGTCTCTGCTCTTGTGGCGGTGTTTGTGTATACAACTGATGAGTTTTAATGTCCACAAAATAAACACGACAATGTTCACAATCAGTGTGAGGCTGTGTCGTAGGAATGTGTAGACTCGTCAAATCAGCCATGTTCACAGCCGACACCATCTCGACTCCAGCAATGGAAGGATTTTTCAACATTTTTATATAACAGCTATAATTCTGCACAAACTAAAAGCAAAAACTTAACATGTGTGACTTTCAATATGGGATGAAAACTCCTAAATAACAAATACAGCAATATTCAATTCAATAAAATAACAAGGATTAAAAGCAAATGGCACAATACATAATTCCAGTTTTGTTAACTTCGCCAAAACAACACATGTACATTAACAGCTGGTCATAAGTGAAAAAGCAGTAAAAAGTTATAACATTTCATATACAAGTAGCTGTAGATATTGCTAATGTCACATTCTTAAAACCATCTTTTCTTTGTTCATTATTAATTTTCTTATAGCATGACTAAAGTTTGTGGATCATAAAGAGATCATGTGTTGTTACCTTTTTCATTGACTTTTCATCTAATTTTCACTTCCTTAAATTTCCAAACCATGCATTTCACTTGAAGGGTTCATGTCTGAAAGGAAATATCCTTTAAAAATACCAATAATAGTTATATCATATATTTTTTTTTAGAAAGAAAAAAAAAACTGACTATTCAAAAGGGGGGGAAGGTGCCAACAGCTATTTTACAATAAATAAAATAGTTTGCAGGATAAGATGTTAAAGCCTAGCAAGCATCATTGAAAATATTATCAATTTTTGATGTTAGAGGAAGGATTTTAAGCTTCGAAACACCTATCAACAAATAATTGTGTGCGTTGAATATTAATTAAAAGACATGCTAGTTAAATATGAAAGCATCTATCATAACGAAAGCTAAACACTCAAAAATATATCTGAAGTCAACATGGAAACAATTGACAGAAAAATAAGACAATAAGTAATCGATACCCTTAACTAAGTATACGATTTAAAAGTATTACTTTATAATCTACTTTTATGTATTATAATTTATATTATTTATGCATCATAATATTTTTTATAATCCACTATTCTGGATTAGATAAGACTTAAAAGAAAAGATTTTGATGTATTTAAATATAAACTAGAGAGCGTAAAATAATATAGGTATTTTATTTGTTTAAAACTCACTTAGTTTTGAGACTATCCCAAAAATTAAAACTTCATTTTTTATTGTTATTTTAGACACCAATATAGATATTATATGAATTTCATTTTAGTTTTGGATAAAAATGTGTTTTACATTTAACAATTTTAAAACATTCATTTTAACAGTGAACTAGCAACAAAATAATAATATTTTATAGAGTGACATAGCCAAAATATTTTTTTTATTTTTTATTTATCATCTAAGTAAGACATTTGGTTAGTTAACATCCAATAATGAATTATAGTAAGGACTGTGATAAGGGAAAAATTACTAATCGCAAAATACCTTATCTCAAAGTATATACCTCAGCAAGTTACAAGGAAATTTGAGTGTTATTTTAATATTGTAAAATTACAATATACTGATATGACTTATAATACAAAAAGTGTACATTTTTTAAATGAGAAAATAGAAGCCCCTTAATTTAGAAAAATGGAAACTTTAATTACTTTTTTTTACTAATAATTGTTGTAATATTTGCTCTCTTGTTTACACATTCACTGATAGTTTAAGTGTGAAATATAATGTTATTGTCATTAATTGTTTAAAAAAAAAATTTCCGTAGCTAGAATTGATGTAGATGCAGTTTAAATAAGAAATTCATGAGCCCAAACTGAGTGTTAAACAAATTTTTATTAACGATTTTCTACATGACACTGTCATAAACAACAATTTTGACACAAGTCAGTAATTAAGAACAATTATAAATTCCACATATTGTTTGAAGCACAATTAAATGTAAGATAATATCATCCATACATTGAGATATTTTATTAAAGATTATAAAGAGGAATGGAAGTATTGAATCTAAGAATACTGCATATGAAAAATTTTTCTTTTCGTCAAATATTGTTCTACTTTTGGAGAGGGGAAGTTTTTTCCTCACAGAAATCAATTTTATTGTTTTATGTTTCTCCTTAAAATATTTAAACTGCACTAACTATTCAATAACCACACGTGTAAATCAGATATGATTATACTTTTTAAGTCATAGTTACTTAAAAATAGTTTTCTTCTTTTTTTAACATTTCAAAAATCTTGAAATTCATAATTAATAATGTTAATTAACATTATATTATAGAAAAAACTATTTCCTAGATTTTACTGATCATCAGATATATATATAAAATAAAAATTGAATTAACTATGAGGGAAAGTTATAATTTTGACAATAAAGGTAAAAAAAATTAACATAGCCACAGAAATTTTATACTTTTTTAAGTTACATCTTTTAATAGCTCCTAAAATGAATAATGAAAAAATTTACAGATACGGATTAGAAACCCAATATGTAAAAGAGTTCAATTGATTAAGTGTTATTTAGGAGTGAATGAAAAAATATTTCATATGCAGGAAACTTATATCATGAAAAAAAAAGAAAGAAACATTCTACATTGTTTTTCCTAACAGTGAATGCACAAGAAGAGCAGCATGTGTAGTTTCACTAATATGAACTAGTATGTGTGAGTTTAATTTGTCTTTAGACTCAAAAACAAGGCCACAATGTCCACAATTAAATGAAGATTTCCCAATATGAGTTTTCATATGCGCATTCAGTTTGCCCTTGGTGGCAAAAGCTTTACCACACTGCACACAAGAATAGGGTTTCTCACCAGTGTGAGTGCGAATATGGGCCGTTAACTTATCATTCCTAGCAAAGCCTTTATTGCATTGTTTGCAAACATAAGGCCTCTCTCCCGTATGGGAGCGGGTGTGAACAGTTAACTTATCCTTTTTGGAAAACGCTTTGCCACAGTGCTGGCAGACAAATGGACATTCCCCGGTATGAATTCGGATGTGAGTCGTAAGTTTATCTTTCTGAGTAAATCCTTTCCCGCACATCTTACACACGTAGGGTCGCTCCCCAGTATGTATACGAGTATGAACTGTAAGTTTATCCTTTTGGGCAAAACCTTTTCCACAAAATTTGCATTTGAAAGGCCGCTCTCCCGTGTGAGTTCGCATGTGAGCGACTAATTTGTCATTCTGAGCAAATCCTTTACCACATTCCTTGCAAACAAATGGCCTCTCGCCAGTATGCGTTCGGATATGGCTGATCAATTTATCCTTCCACACAAAACCCTTGCTGCAGTGGACACAAGTGTAAGGATAATTTCCTGTATGTGTGAACATATGTGTGGTTAATTTGTCTTTCTGAATAAAGCTTTTACCACATTGTTGGCAAACGAAAGGCCTCTCTCCAGTGTGCAACCTAATATGGGTAGTCAATTTATCATTTCGAGTAAAACCCTTCCCGCAATGTTTGCAAACAAAGGGCCGTTCTCCGGTGTGGATTCGCAAATGAGTGACAAGCTTGTCGTTCTGAGCAAAGGCTTTGCCGCAGTAGCTGCATGCATAAGGCTTTTCTCCAGTATGCACTCTTATGTGCTTAACAAGTTTATCCTTCCAAGCAAATCCTTTCCCACAATGTTGGCAAGTGAAAGGATGCTCACCGGTATGAGTGCACATGTGGGCACTGAATTTATCCTTACGAGCAAATGTTTTGGGACATTGGGTGCAACTAAATGGACGCTCCCCACTGTGGACCAACATGTGTGCATTTAGTTTATCCTTACGGGGAAAGCCTTTGTTGCACTGGCTACATACATGGGGAAAACTTGCATGTGTTTTCGAGTGTTCTTTTAGCATATCCGAATGAGGAAAAGATTTTGTACAGAAATTACAAGGAAATACTTGGACAGCAGCTGGATTATAAATTTGTTGGGGCTTCATTCCCATGAAATATATTCTACAATGTTCTGGAATGTGTGATGCCTGGGCTTGAATATTTAAAGTAGGTACTACAGCCATTATTGTAATTTTAAATATTAATTTTACAATACTATAGCTTAAAATACATTAGCAGTGATATAGGTCAAATATTATCAGCTGTATTTTATTTATTTATTTTTAACTTAACAGTTAAGAGTTTAATGCTGTAGCAAATAAATGTAATATAACTGTTATTACAAAAATTTATGTCTCTGATATCAAAGATGACAGCATTACCTTAGTTACAATTCATAAACAGGACTCTGAGTTTTCTCCGTGTAACTTGCAAAGTCATTAAATGAAAATTCTGTAAAAATAAAAAAAAACTATAAATAAAGAAAATTAAAAAATAATCTAACGTTAAATCGTTAGATAAACATAAAAATATATTTTAAAAATTGTGGATATGAATAATTATCAGCTTATAAACATGAATCAATAATTAGCACAACTAAAAAGAATTTCTGAAAGAAAAACTGTAGAATTTGTAGATTGATTTGAATAAACAATGGAGGATAAGAAAAAATAAAGGGCTTGACAGTTCAGTTAAAAAGTAAAACATCATTCAATTTATAATCAAAAAACTTGCATGGCTGTTCCATACAGAAAAAATGAAAGAAAATAAGAGCATATGAAAAAATATTAAATTTGAATCATATGAACTGAAGACCCTAAGAAAAAGATGGTTAGATGATGTAATAATCCATATCATTATCACCATTATGAACTCAAAATCTATGGCCAAGAACATTGAGGTATGGATTAACTTAGTTCAGCAAGCCAAGGCCCACTACACTATATAAGAAAAAAAAGCATTTTTCCCATTTTTTAAAAAACATGTATAGCAGCTAAAATAAATTATAGTTGAAAATTCTTTTGAAAGAATGTTTATTAGTTAAATCTTCAGGCTTTTCAGAACCAATTTCATGTTCACTTAGTGAATATAGCCCACTACAAAAAAAAAAAAGGACATGAAATGCTAATTGGTTTAACAATGTTTGTTTTTGCAATTCTGGTCATATGGGTACTCAATGAGCATTTGAAACATGATTACCAACCTGGTACTTCCGAAATTTTTAAAGATTGCAGAAATAATTACAATTGAGATATTTATTAAACATATTCATTAATCATAACATTAGGTTAAGAACAGTATTATTATTCAACAGGATCCCTTATCATAAAAATAACTGGCTCTAGGATTACAGTTTGATTCAAATGTTTTGAAATTTTAGCAAATTATTCTTTTTTATTTAAATATCTGTAAGCTACATTTTCTTTCAGATGATAAATATTTTTGCACAGTTTTGAAAATTTTCACATAAACAAAAAGAATAAATCTCAGTTTGCTGATCTTATAGCAGTTAATTTTTACTGTCAGATTTCGAAATATAAAAATTATCTTACAATTATCATAAAAGGATAGTTTTCTCACAATTTTGGTTGTTTCTTCTTGCTATTCCTCAAATCTGAGATGAAAAATAGTCTGCAGCTGTAGTGCTGCAAGGTTTCTGCTACTAGGTAGATATGAAGTTAACGTTGCATTCAATGATTGTTAAACTGTGGCTCAGCGAAAATATTTTCAACATCTTAACCCCTTAATGATTGGTTAATTTTCAAGAAAACTGCGATAAAAGTGCCTATTTTGCCAAATACACATATTTGATTAGTGCTGACGTCTAGTTTAGAATAAACTAACTCTCAACAATTACCTTAAAAATATCCTGGTACTGCCATCTGGTGTGTAAAATGTGAAATAAAATGTTTTACGGGCAAAAGAAAAGAATTAGTCTTATTCTTATTGGCACGTTACTACTGAACACTCCAGCCTGAAAATTCATGAGGGAGCGAGAAGGAAGGGGTTAACTGAGACTAGACAAAGAGAGAAAATTGCCTTTTCGACACAGGAACAGGTGGTGGGAGTTTTAGTTTCAATTTTCTGAAAAATTTAAAATAGGAACCCAATGCTAGTAACACTCTTTCAAAAGTATTAACTTGTTACTTGTCAGTATTTGTTTTTCACAATTACAATTAAAATAAAAAGGATCAGATTAACAGAAATGTTTATTTAAATAAGTTTACTTAGGTTAGTAGCAAAAGTCTATGTAACTACTATGTTGCAGAAACAAAACAAGTCTATGTAACTATGATGCAGAAACTAAACTTCTAATAATAGTAAGGTAGCAGAGGAAAACAAAATAATAACATTTTATAATTTTTTCAATATTGCTAAACAAATACTTCAGTAAATTTAATTTCTTTAAGTTATAAAAGGCTTGCAAAATAAATAAAGTTTACGATTGAAAATGAAGTTGATATTGAAAGTGTGTGCTGTTAGAAATTGTGATCAGCTATACAACCATGTACTTTCAGATAATAAATATCCTACTCTAGAAAATTGTGATAAAAATTAACCAGGTACATTCAAACTTGTTAATTATGAGCCTTAAAAAAAAAAAGATCCAAAGTTGAATGATGACACTTTTAATAAAAGCTGCTCTCAAAGTTAAAAGCCTAATATTAAGACCAAACTCAGATCTAACAGGGAATTTTCTCTTTAACATTGCGAAAATAATGCTAAATGTAACATAACATTTCCAACTATAAAACTGTATTAAAAGTTGCTTTATTGCAAAGTTTCATGCATGATTCAAATTTATTTCAGTATTTTTTTAGACTTATGAATTACGTAATAAAACATAACTTGCCTTAGCAGGTTGACAATATTCCTAGACAAAATACTTGACTTACTCATTTATTTAAAGAAAATAGGCAATCTAAACTTATCTCTTAATAGTTTTTAATGTTATATTTCATTGCCAGATCAGGGTCAAAATTACGTAGCTGTCCTACTATGGATAAGAGCCCTTAAAAACAAGGCTCAGTGCCAGATTATAATTAAATGATGTGTGTTCTGACTTTTTTTTAAATGCAGAATCTGGGAATGATGGGGAAGAAACAATTAAGCTATAATCATTCAGACACAGAATTGTGAAATTTTCAGGAATCAGTAGATTTTCTAATTTAAATTTAAAAAAATTTATAGATTAAAAAAAATTATTGTAAATATCCAGTAAAAAAAAGTGCTTTTCAAGCTTGGTATTCAGTAGTTGAGTTAAATGATGAATTCTATTTTTAATAAATTTGAATAATTTATAAATGCTTAGATAAAACAGTTTTAATGCAGCTATATCGTCTGTAATGTATTGTTATGACCTTATTTCTTATAGTATTTTAATTACAATTATAAAATTTGACTTATCACAAATCAGACAATATAAAAAATATTTGATTTGATAATGTGACATGTTCTTTTCCTATACCATTTAATAAAATCTCTCAACATTTCTTCCTAGAAAAATCACCTTGATAAACGGAAAAAATTATCTAAGTTCACATCTTATAATTAAATTCTAACTCATAGCAATAAATTGACTGAAACTATAAATACTTGAACTTTATACTATCAAGGATAATATGGAAGTAAGGTAATTAAACTTGGATAGAATAGTCAACACAATTCAAGAAGATTTAATGCTTTTGTAAGAAATTCCAAGTGATCAAGTGGGGGGATGAGAGCAATAATTCTAAATCTTAACATTTGTTACATTGAATTTTCGCTTTTTAATCCTTTCCATTCTACTAAATAAACTTGGTATCTATAAACTAATAGTGCACAACCTTAAATCAAATGCTCATGAATGGTTAAAGTGCATTCACATTTTTCAGGAGGAAAAAAAAAGAACATTTTGTTTTTCAAAATAATTTCAATAAACTTAAGACTTCGAAATTATTAACTAAAGTCTGAAATGTGTTAATATTTGTTGAATTGAACTTTCATGAACAGAAATTTTTATTACCATATTCTTGAAAAAGGCTGTGCACTTATGAAATGAATATTGAAGTTCCACGCAATATGAGGTAAATTTTTAAAAATAACCTGTTATGGAAAGTTACACAAATAATAAAATACTATGTGCGTTTGTCTAAGATGTAATAAGGGCAAATGGTGACCCTTCCAACTCCATGAAATTTAATGTGTAGGTATGTGTTGAGTGTAAATTTTGAAATAGAAACAACATTAGAGCCGAATATATTAATAAGTTTTAGGGGATAGTTTGCTAGTTTAAAATGCTAAAATCTGTCTATAATCTAAAAATACTTTTTTAGTGATTTAACTACAAGTATAGCTTCTACAATTCATTGAAAATGGAACTATTTACTCTTCAATTTTAATCTAATTCAATAAAATTCAACAATAAGATTTTTTTGTCTTTGTGTTGTACTAAGACAACTTTCTTTTATTTAACATAAATGAAAGTTTGATTCAGAAAATATAAAAGACCTGATTTGGAAAATCTCAACTCAGAAGACCTAAAGGATTTTTTGAAGACAGCCTGATAGTAACAGGACTAAACCATAAATCATTTAATGTTAAAAATCCTTTTTTATAATACTCAGCACATGATATGGGATCTATGATATAAGAAAGGTAAAAAAAGAAGAAAAAAACAAATGAATGGAATAATTCACAGGCCAAGTTTCTTTCCTAGTTAAAAGGTAATCAATATTCTAAAAAGAACAGGGGGGTGTAACTGCATGTGCGAAAGTTTACTTTCTTCGGGATAAAGATCAAGAGAATTAACTTTTCTTTTTTATAACAAATAAACAAAAGTATTGTAATAAGCCATCCATTTTGTATTTGAAAATCTTAAGAGATAGTAATAAAATAAGATTTTAAATTTATGGAAGTGTTATTAGATAAAAAAGTTATGCAATTGCAGTACTTTCACCTATCAAGCCTTAAAAAATTAGTTAACTGCATAACCAAATGGAATAGGTAAATAAATTAATTACAATGGATACCGGCGCACGTGAATATTGAGGGTAACGAGTGTGTGAACTCCTTGGCTAAGGAAGGCAGAGGTGCCGACCAACCTTGCACCACCATCACGCTTGCAGATGCAAATGCAGTTGCAAGACACAGACTTCTGCCCCATTCCTTCAGGAAATCCCTCATTACTGACTTCGATCCCGAATCTTAACATCAACAATTACTAGACTAAGAACAAACCACTTTAAAGGGATGAAAATTCTTCCCGACGAAATAAGAACCTATATTCCCTGCAAGGATCACATTCTCGAGTGCCCAGCCCTTACCCCATATGTTTTACAACTGGGTATGGTGCCACTGGCTTCAGAACTTAGTGAGATCCCTTACAATAATGATGTATTTTAGCTTGCGGATGCTGTTTTGAAGGCAGACGAGGCCATTTAATTGTCCATGGACACAATCAAAAAAAAAATAAGTAAATAAAATAAAATAATTAATTAATAAACTTTTTCAATATTATTACTTATAGGTGGAGTATATAACTGTGAAATCTATTTAGATGGGAGACATACAGTAGAAATAAGCCTGCTGCAGACTCACTTTAACCCCTTTTCTGCGGGATACCTGTCGCCAAATTTTCGACAATAAATAAAATAAAAACTTTTTTTTTATTTCTGAAAATTAATGTATGTTCCTCCCAAAATTCGAAAATGTTAAATATCTTTTGTCTACAAGCAGTTTCTTGCTTAACATATTGGTGGTGAAATATGTGATGTCCTGTCCACTTGTTTTCAGTTTTCCTTGCAATGCACCCAAGTTTTATCTTAACTTCCAAGTAAACCCTTAACTGCCACAGGCGTATATATATGTCTCAGTCAGACGATGCTTTGCATTGCGCTGCTATAAACAGAACTACACCCCGACTTCGGAATGCAGTAAAATGGCCTTGAAAGTGTTTGCGAATGTATTACCAATTTCGGAGGAGGAGAAAAGGGGAATGGGAAAGGGATGTGTTGGAAAAGGGATATAGTATTTATTGCTTGTGTGTTTCTATTTGAGTAAGGTCGGGTTTATTCTTCTTTCGCTTTCGTCTCCCGGGTGTATTCGTCGTGAATCTCGCTATCAGTGCAATGAATGTGATGTTTGTTTATGTGTCCAACCATGTTTCAGGATTTATCATACAACAAATAAGTTTTAACATCTTTTATACTGTATTTTTATTTTTGAATTTAAGTTTTGTATTTTCTTTTTTTCCTTTTTCTCCTCTTGTGAAAGTAAACTGTTTTTAAATTGCAAAGAGTGAATCTTTGTTCCCCACCAAAACACCGCGTAACAAAGCACATGTGAGCGAAAAACGGTGGCACTGGGGAGTGAATCACGTAAATTTTACTCCGCAGGTAAGGGGTTAAATACACTGTGATAACATATTTATAAACTCTATTACTTTAAGGTGTTTAAGATAAGTATTTACATGAAATAATTAATAAAATTAGGTAAAAAATAGTTTAAAAAATAATTTTCCAACCTTATCTAAATTATATAAATTTAAAGATTTACTGTTCCACTCTAACAAAGCATTTTGAGTGAGTTTTTCCAGAACTTAGATCTATGATTATAAAACAAAATAAAAAGATTTTTTTTTTTAATGTGATGGGTTAGCATTCTAAATCTTTCAAGAACTAAAATTCTTTTTTTTTTTTAATTCTTACTTCGAATAAAATGTTCTATCATAAATAAAGATAGTCTTTTATCATAAATTAATAAATGCTTCAAAAACAATCAAATAGTGTTCAGTAGTTTTTGTTGCAATAGTCTAGTTCATATATATATTCCAAATTGCAATAGGTTCTGAATATAAAAGTACTTAACCATCTTGAATCCAGCAATATTTCTTTCATATGACATAAGACAAAAGTACAGTGAGCCGAAAAAAGGACTACCCTGAATAACTTTTATCTAATAATTGCATCTTCACATTCTAAGACTCATTCCAAATGGTTTGTGGTAATGGGAAATTTCAGATATGCTAAATTACTGCAGACCATATTTTAAGTTATGAAATCAGACACAAAAATGTACTTTCTCTAAATAAACATACATTTTTCCAACGGATTCAGACTTCTGACTCCCTAACTATAAGGGTGTAGCCGCAATCTGGGAAACATATTGGCCCTCATAGTTTGGCCAGAAGAGCTATCCATATTTCGTCATATCTTAAGAAATCCTTAAGCCAATTGAAAGATTCTTGCACACTATTATAAAATTCGTTTATCCAAAGATAATTCCATTAAAAAAATTAACTTTAGTAAATATCTATTTCATTAAATAATAGTCGAAAAAATTCACTGTAAAGTATACAATTATTTAATTTTTTTTTCAATATTTAATTTAAAATGGCAAAATACTAAGTTTGCGCGAAATCAGTTCAATAGCTCCCAAGAAATCTAATTATAGATATACGACATTTTTAAAATTCGATGTCTCAGGAACTATTCAATTGATTTCGCTTAAATTTTGTATTTTGCCATGTAAAATTGTACCTTAAAATGATGTAAAAAATTTTATATCTTAAAATTCAATATTTTTTCAACTATAATTTCATAAAATAATAATAAATAATAATAACAATTATTAAAATTTATTTTATTAGCACGGAATTCTATAAGGATAAACAAATTTTATAATTGTCAGCAAAACCATTCAATTTGCTTAAAATTTTTTCAAAGATATGGTGAAACAAGCAAAAAGTAAAATTAACATTAAGGGGTTCAAAGTTTGGATCGATCTCCTGACTAAACTATGTGGACCATATTCCCCAGATCACAGCCACCCCCTATATTTTGAGAGTCAATCCGTTGAAAAGCGGAATGTTTATTCAGAGAAAGTACCTTTTGTTTCTGGTTTCAAGGGGTGATTGTGAGCCCAAGTCAAAATTCCAGAAATTTTCTTGAGTTTAAAAAAAAAAAAAGTTTAAATTGAAAAATTAGGAAAGAATTTCAACAAGTTTTTTTTCTTCCTTTTTCTCAATATTTCTTAGTTTATTTAAAATATATTTAAAATTTTACACATACCTATACCANCGGAATGTTTATTCAGAGAAAGTACCTTTTGTTTCTGGTTTCAAGGGGCGATTGTGAGCCCAAGTCAAAATTCCAGAAATTTTCTTGAGTTTAAAAAAAGAAAAAAAGTTTAAATTGAAAAATTAGGAAAGAATTTCAACAAGATTTTTTTCTTCCTTTTTCTCAATATTTCTTAGTTTACTTAAAATATATTTAAAATTTTACACATACCTATACCATTTACCTATGATGACCTGGAGAAGTAATTAAAATTTACAAGTATGTCTTTCTTTCTTGAGTTTTATGATTATAACAACTATTTATTGATAAAAAATGAATATTAATCATGAATATAAGCTTATAAAGTATCTCTCTGGCTCTCCTTTACAAACAAATAAAATAAACTGGGTTCTAAGTTCCATCTTTGAAAATTTAATTTCTGGAAACATCTGCGATCAATGATATTTTAAACATCTGGGCCTTCGATCACCGGACTCTTCCGGATCACTGTTAGCGAAAATTCCGGAAATCCGGATTTTATCAAGAGCACAATCAGCCCTGGGTTTCATAACTTAAAATATAATTAATTAATTAGCATATTTGAGGTTACTCTCTCGAACCATTGAGAATGAGTTCTAGAAGGTGAAGATCTGATCATTAGATCAAAAGTTATTCAGGGTGATTATTATTATTATTTTTTTTTTTGTGCACTGTACATGCAGTTTATTGTATCATTTACTTTGTTTTTAAATAATGTGAATGTCGATGGACGTAAAATTAGTTTCTAGTAGCAGTAAAATTAGTTTCTACAAAAAAAAATGGGAAAGTTATTTGATATTAAAGGAATTAGAAAATTCGCAATGAGTAGATATTTAAGGAAAAAATAATAAGTAATACAAAAATTATTGCTTGAGTAATAGCATGAAAAAGAAATGACAAAGGGCAAATCCAACACAAATAAGGAAATTAAAGACCCCATAAATAGAATTTTATTTTTTGATTTGTCATTTCTCCTTTTTTTCCTGTTCTTGATTTGCTCTTTTTCTTTTGTTTTTTTCCTTGTTCATTTTTTCCCCTTGATTTGCTCTTTGTATTGAGGACTTAATTCTCTTTTAACATTCATTATATTTCTAACTATTCGAGACTAGAATGCTTCAATCTTATGAGTAAGGCAATTTAGCATAAATATTTGTTTCACACCAGCTTTAAAAGTTCAATGATATATAACAGCTTACCAATTATTTTTGCCTCTTTTTATTAACACTTATAATATGAATGAATAGATAAAAAAATTAATCTACTTTTACATGGTTACATTAATGTTACTAAATTTTTTGTTTCGATAAAAATATTATAAATTTTCATTTCAATTCACAGCTGTGCTATTAGAATTATACAATAGCAAAAGCAGTAAAAAATTAGCAATTGAAAGAAAACTAAATAACTCCTTGGCATTTAAAATATTAGCAAAACCGTAAGAGAACGTTTCGTAAGTTCTTGGATAACATGGGAAAAACAAATGTTCGTGTGCTCCATGAAAATGTATAAGTTATGGTTATGGACAAATGTTAGATTGCATGCTTTTAAAATTGAGTCAGAATTTAACATAAATTTTTGAATTAATAATGAAGATTTTTGCCATTATATCAAAATTGAATTTTTTCTATTTTAAATGATTTGTTATAAAAGCATGATAAGCTAAATGTTTTCCTTTAAAAATTGGCTTATGTCATTTTTAAAATAAATAGTTTCATTTTAAATGTGTAATCCAAACCAACGAAAATATGTCAGAGCATAGACTTGCAATGAAAATTATGTTTACAGACCTGCTTCTGCCTTTTACTTAACGGATCAAGAAATTAAAATCTTGTAAAGAGATTGCATAACATGCTTTTCTGAAATGTTTAAAAATTATGAAAAATTTAAAATATAATTGCTACTGTAAATAAAAATAATAATGGCCAACAACACATTTTCTTTAGTTCTTAGGAATAACTGAGCTAAATTTCATTTAACAAAATGAAAATAAAATAAAAATAAAGTTCTTACTTTGTGAATGCAGGAATGGAAATCCCTTTTTATAAAACGAACCCTGAAAAAAAAGTAAGGAAGTTGAGCTTATATAAAAACAATTAAAAATTTTCCTAGACATAAACTTTAAATGGTTGAGTCAACAAATAACAACAAAACAGTTAAGGAAGAAGCAGGTACGAAAGTTTGCAAACAGAATCGATTTGGTTGGCAAAATCACAATTCAACCGAATTTTGAAGGTTGAGAATAATACTTCTTAAAGGCTATACTCAGACAATAAAGCTAAAGGTTAAAAAAAAAAAATCTAACTAATACTAATTAAATCAAAGGGAATAGAAATCAAGAATTAAAAAAGAAATATAAAAACTTACTTCGTTAAAAAGGCTTCTTTAATGTTGTAAGTTGGTATGTTTGTGTCAGATTGTAAAAAAAAATAACACCAATTTCAATTCAACTATATGAGATTTTATTGCATTAATCTACATGATTTAAGCAAGAATCAGCTTTTGATCTTTTAGAGTTATTTACAGTTTGCTGATAGATAAAATTCAAAATAATTTACATAAATGTAACTAGCTACCAACCAAAACGAATCTAATTTGATCACAGATATCAGACAAAAAAACAAACATAGCAATTGCACAATTTATAAATTTTAACAAGAAAATCTCAACCACAAAGCATAAAGATTAAAAATCAATTGAAAACTACAATATAGATATGGCCTATTCGCAAGGATGCCAACCTACAGTGCCATCTATCCACAAACTTTTTTTTTTACATAATAACAGTAAAATTAATTTAAGAAATGAAACATTTAACAATTTTTTAAATATACATGTTTTGCAAACAATTTTAAGTTTCTATGTATTTGATTGTTAGAAGATGACAATTAATAAAAGCAAAGATACCGCTTCAAATTTAATTACCAAATCTTAAGCAGAATTTCCAAATATAATAGAAATATAATTTCCAATTACAGTAGAGAACCGATAATCCGGAGCATCGTTATTCCGGATAACTAATTTTTCCGGTTTTCTGAATTGCTACGAAAAGCTGTTTTTTTATTGTCAAACTAAACTAAAAAAATATATATATATTTAGAATAATTTTAAAAAAAACTCTTACTTCTTTTGACAGTGTAGGAACTAATGATTATTTCTAAAATGATGGTAAACATCTTTTAAAAAGAAAGAATTCTGAAATCTTTTGAGGAAAACAAAAACAAAAAAAAGTTTTTTTTAAAAAATGGTGGGAAAATGTATTGTATTTTGTTCCTGTTTTCTGCTTTCTCGGTATTCTGATTTCCGGATAAGAGGTTCTGTACTGTATAATATAATCCTTAGAATAATAGAAAAAATTTCCATTGTTAAAGTTGATACTCTAGGCAAAAATTTAAAAACCTCGAGCAATAAAAAAGTTAAGTTGAGCTATAGATGCTCAAGTTCTAGAAGTTGAACCCTATGTACTGTATATAGATATAAAACAAGCAAGGAGGAGTCTTAAGAATTAGGAAAATTTGTCATTGAGATTATTCTAATCTTTCAAGTTTTTGTACCCGCAATTAAAATTACAGTTGGCATCCCTGATTGAATCTACAGAAAATTTTTATAGAGGTTTTGCCATTAAAGGATTAACAATCAATGCATCACATGGGTTGCTTCCTAAATGTAAAAGTAAGTGAGAATTTAACTTCTCTTTTAAATCAAATCCAATGCCACAATGATTACACACAAAAGCATGTTTACCCGTATGAATGTTCATATGGGCATTTAATTTTCCTTTCAGGTCAAATGCTTTACCACAATGATTGCACACAAAAGGTCTCTCACCGGTATGCATGCGTATATGTGTAGTAAGTTTATCTTTTCTCGCAAAGGCTTTACCACAAAGCTTACACACAAAGGGACGCTCGCCTGTATGAATGCGAACATGGACAGTAAGTTTATCATTTCTTGCAAAAGCTTTACCACAGTGCTTGCAAACAAAAGGTCGCTCACCTGTATGAATTCTTATATGAGTAGTCAGTTTATCATTTTGGGCAAATCCTTTTCCACAATGCTTACACACAAATGGTCGTTCACCGGTATGGATACGAATATGGTTAACTAACTTATCTCGCCATGCAAATCCCTTACCACAATGAGGACAGTGATAAGGATGTTGGCCAGTGTGTATACACATGTGTGCCCCTAACTTTTCCTTTCTAGCAAATCCTTTGTTACAATGCGGACAAACATAAGGTCTTTCACCAGTGTGAATACGGACATGTACCGTCAGTTTATCTTTACGGGTGAAACTCTTACCACAGTGAGGACAAACATGTGGACGCTCTCCAGTATGAGTTTTAATGTGATCGCTTAGCTTATCTTTACGAGCAAAAGTTCGGTCACAATAAGAACACATAAAAGGACGTTCTACGCACTGTGCATAAAGCTCATGAGGCTTTAGTGTTAAGTAATATTTACGACAATGTTCACAGATATTGCACGGTCTGGCACTAGGCACATTAGAAGTGGAATTAAGATTTAAATTTGCAGTGGCTGCCATTTGTTAAATGACTTAAAATTTCAATATTCCATTTTTAACATTGCACTACAAAGGAGGAAAAAAAAAGAATATATAAAATACTCTCTTAACAAATGGCTTTCTTGACTGAAAATGTTTTTTAAAACTATAAGTAGGTTTTAGCTTATAAACTACACTATGAATATATATATTGCAATATCACATGAGTCAATGTATCAATAGAAACTAACCTTAAACTTCCAGATATGAAGAATCATGAAATTCTAAGTATAAAATAAACACTATGCTTCAATGACTAATTTAATTGCACATAAAATTGATGATTTCAGAAGATTACAGGACTCCACTTGATATTTTAGCCTGTTTGAATAAAAGTAGAAATTAAATTGCATATTAACATTAATAAATTAGTGGCAATCTATAATTAAATGTTAAACAGTAAAAATAACAAGCAATTTAAAAAATTAACAACTTTAAAAAAAAAAATTCTTTTAAATTGGTTGGATGGAGATTTTAAGGATGTGTGGCCAAATTTTTCATAATCTTATATCTACATAAAATTAAGAAATAGTTAAATCATTTTCAAAGGTTTTATAAAATATTAGGTCAGTATAAAATAACTTCTTTCTGGAAAAGAACGGCAATCTTGATTTAATTAGCTTCGTAACATTCATGCACAATTTTTTCTTTCTTTCAATTTTCTAAAAAATCATTTTAATTTAAAATTACCGTTATATACACTTCAATTTTAAAAAAAAGTTAAGTGTTATCTCTTAGATTTAATTAAAAATAATTTAAACTTTTAAATGTATGTAACAAAAAAATTTATAAGAATAAAACACTGTTGATCAAACTGGTTGATGACGATGCCGATTGAGTTAAATGAACTTACTCAAAGAAAACTTACTAACTTTACAAAGGTAAATTAGTAAATGACCTTTTTTTTAAAAAATTTTAATTAAAAATTGTACTTGGTTCAATATGCATTTAATCAAGTGATTTGAAAACATAGCTGAAAATATAATTAGTATTGCAGCTTAATATTTTTGTCATGAAATGGTCCCTAAATTCAATATTTAAACAAATCTATGATTACAGAATTGTTAATGTTGAAATGGCAAAAATGAATGGCATAAGATTTTTATTTATTTTATTTTTTTGCATTTTGCTAAATATTATTAGCAAGGTTTTTATAAGTTTCTCTTTTTTCAAGGGGTATATTAATAAATTTTTGAAGTAATTTTAAATTTAAAAATTATTTTTTAAATAAAAAAATGCACCTTTAAATGTTTATTTTCTAATAATTTTCAGTATAAATAGAAAAATCTTTTAAGCGGTTCATCAAAAAGTAATTTTTCTTAGTTCACTTTTTTTGAAGAAAATAAAAAGATGAAATTAAAAATTAAATAATTATCATTAAATAAATAATTCAGAAATGGATTTTTCATTGAAACAGATTGTTAAGAAAACCTTTTCCAGAAAAAATAAAATAAAAGGAGTGTTTTTAAAGGATATCAGCTGATTTTTACTAAAAGGGCAAGGAAGACACATTTATAAGGATGAAAGAGCAGGCAGGACAAGTCGCCCTTCAAAAAACCCTTAGGGAGTACATTGATAAATATATTACTATTACCATTATGATTCTTTAGGAAAAGAACTAAAACTAAGAGCAGATATTACAAAAAAAAAAAAAAAAGGGTTTTTTGAATTTGTTCCATGTCTAAGCTGATACTGAATTTCAGTCATTAAATGCTTCAAAGTTATTAAATCTTAAATAGAATATATTTGGAAACAATTTTTAAACTCCCTCATCCTTATGGATAAATTCCCCTTACTGTTTTTATAACTTTTCTGCATTAAATAGTTTAAGAATAAAAATTGCATAATTTGCAAAACATGAAAATTATTTTATATTCGTAACTCTTAAATTCAAAATTTTCATACATATTGTAAAAGGAAAAAGAACTAATTTTTTTTTTGCACTGTGACAGTACATACAAACTAAAAATACTATGCTAAACACATGTTAATGTCATTGGCATATTTTTATTATTTACTCTTGCATTTCTTGAAAAAAAAATTACTTGAAAGATTTTTAAAAACTATTTTATTTGTAATTTTCAACAACTTAATTTAAACTCAAAATATTGCCACTTAATGCTAAATCAAGTAAAGTTTCTGATTTAGATAAACTGGAATTCATATTTCAGAAAATGACTAACCAAGGTTGGCAAGCTTTATGACAAATGGTAAAATCTATGGTTTTTACCACACTCATCCCTCTTTTTGTCCATGGCTAGATTTTGTAGAAATTTTATTTATGTAATATTAGGTTAAGCTATTAAGAAACTAGCAAAATAAATTGTCAGTTTATTAATGAAGCAATCATTAAATAAGGATCTGGTTTTTTTTTAAAATATAATTAGTAAAATATTAAATTAAAAATTGGTTTATCTTTTCTGATTTAGTGTTCACAACTAGATATATTAACACTGTTTTATGTGAATAATGTTTAGTTAAAAGGACAGAATATTTATAAATTTAAAAAATATATATATTAATTAAAAAATTAAAATGTTATTTTCTTGTAAAAATATTTATATAAAGAAGTGACTTCTATTTAATAATACAGATAATAATCTAGCTTATGTGATGCCTGTATTATTTCTAATTTAAAAATTAAATTAAAAATTGATTTATTTTTTCTGCTTTTGTGTTCACAACTAGATACATTAACACTGTTTTATGTGAGTAATGTTTAGTTAAAAGGACAGAATATTTTTAGATTTAAAAGAAAAAATATTAATTAAAATGTTATTTTCTTGGAAATATATGTATAAAAAGAAGTGACTTCTATTTAATAATACAGATAGTAATCTAGTTTATGCACCTGCATTATTTCTTATTTAAATACTAATCTAATACTATCTTCAAAAGACACTGAATAATGGGATTTCAACTGATATTTATTTGGTAATTAAGTATAAAAAAATAAGTATTGCAATTCATTTTTCATTTGCAAAATACAAAGAGATAACACATGCAAGTGTTAACTATTTTCAGGGTTAAAAGGTAATGGCATTTAATACACTTTTGGGCAATAAAAATAGAATATTTAAAAAAGTTCTAACAATGTTGGAACATAGGCTGATAATAACAGATAGTTATTTAAAACTTAAATTTAAAAAAAAAAATGTAAAATCTCCATCTTATTTTTTCAAAATAAATAAAAATATGTATAGACCACCAAATATTCTTTTATTTCAAATATTATTAAATGTGACTATGTTTTGAATTTAACTGGTAAATTGGAAATGCTATATTCAACAACATTATTATTAATATTGATAGTTGAGTTAGGAATTATATCAACTTCCTAACTCAACAATTGCATTAGAACAACATACCAACAAAGTCAGAATTAATAAGGGTGATATAGAAAATTTGCACTTTCTAATAAAAGTTCTCAGAAGAAAAATATTACTAGTTTTACAACTAAAATAAAATAAACATCCTTCCTCAGAATGGCTATAAATGCGAAAAAAAGACAAGAAAATAAGCATTAGGAAAGTACTTCCATGAAAACAACATATGATAATAGCATTCCATATGGGAATGTGTTTGTAGGAACTACAAAATTCATCGAATAAAGACATATTGAAGCTCATATATATAAATCCATATATTACAAATAAATACTTAACAGATGAATTAAATAACGAGCCAAGATAATTAATTCCAGAAACTTCAATCAATCGTTTAAAATCGACATCGGAGTGTCGATCAATAAACAAATAAGAATGTATAATCAAAGAAATGTTCCAATCAATTAAAATTTGAAATTATATCTAAAATTGCTAAACAAATAAGATTAATAACTGTGAATATCGTCAACTAATATTGATATCTAATAATTGATCTGACAGATTTCATGCGAGGTGTACAGGTACAAAATAACTGTTCAATAAACATTAAATTTACGACACTAAAGATGGCGCTGCTAATGCATTGATAATCGAAATCTTTAATAATAAAGACATTATGCCTACATCAGACAATTTATTTTAAAAATTTAAAATGCACCGAAGATTATACTTAATTAGTTATCAATGCTGCCATTTGCAAATAAAATATCTAAATTAATGCAGATACAGAATCGATTGAATCAAAATGGACGAAAAGGGTGGGGGTGGGGTCAATTAAAATTATCTCAACAGGCTGCAGCTAACAGAAAAATAAATTAGAAAATATTTGTACACTTATAATTTTTAAAGTTTTACCTGAACATAGATGCAGGACAATATTGCAGCCAGTTGACCGATGAACCAGTTTGTTTTCTTAAGTCCGTTTCGAAAGCTATGGCGTTAAGAATCGATTACTTTATGACGTTCGGAAAAGTACTATATTTCATCGTGAAAAGTGTGATTCTTAGTTTTAAGTAATCAGTATGAGAGTATAATTAAGGCACAAACTCAATCTTTTAAATTTCTTAAAAAAATAACAAATAATATACGTCCACCATCCACTCTGCCATTAGATTAACTAGTGTGTGACGTCAGATACAGCTCCCGGATCGACGCTGGCTGGAATGGAATAAACCATATTAGAAAGGGAGGGGAGAGGAGGGTGTAGGAGTAGAAACTGTCAGACGACTGTTCGCATAGCGCAAAATAAAAAATAAAGAGTAAAATGCAGGAAAATAACAGAATATCTAAATGAATATGTTCTTAATAAACTTTTACTTTTTTTATTTTAATGCCTTGATTTAAAAGACACTCTATAAATAATTAGCAGGACATAATGCTTACTTTTTAATTTTTAGAGACAAACAGGTTTTGAGAAATGAAAGAAAAAACGCTAGTCTGAAAAAAAAAGAACAGGGCCAATGGGCTCTCTTTTATATTATGGTTCAAGGTCTTTTTTAGAGTATTGCTTTTCTCTCAGACAAATATTATAACGCGACTATAGACTTAGATACTCTAGTATATTATTCTTCAGAATTTAGAAAGTTATCAATTGAAGAAATGACCTTTAAGAAATAATTAGTATACCCAGTCCCATCACTTACAAAGCATAAGTTAAAAAAAGAAAAAGTCAGTTCTTCTATTTTATTCTCGTATTAAATTTTTTATTACATCAATTATAACAACGAAATTTGTTATAAAATGATTTTTTTTTCATCTAAATTTAAATTAAATTTTCCATTCTTCAAAGAAATTGGCCAAGACTTATATTTCATAGCTAGACCATTTCTTTTTTAATCAGTTTAACAAAAAAAATTTCATTTCTATAACTACACGAGATTTTTTAAACAAATATCTTTGTTTAAAAAAATATGTTATTTCAGGTTTTAATATTTTATGAATTAACTCAAAAATGATATAGGTTTTAAACTGTTTAAATAAAAATATTATAAATTTGTAAAAATGTTATTTTTAAAAATAGAAAATAATCATTGCTCTGAAAGGTATTTAGAAAATAAAATAATATTTGTTTTTCAACTAAATGAGATTTTTTGGATCATTTTTCAATAAATATTCGACGTAATTTTTTTTCTAATAATTTCCAACTTTAAGAAAGACAATTATTAAAGATATTTTTGAATAAATTTACCCTGTCCAATAATTTAAGCGTAAGTTAGAAAAAAAAGTCAATTCCGTTTCTACCATAAGTCAATTATATGAATTATGTTACAAAATTCATAATTGAAAAAAAAAAATTCGAGGAAAAATTTTATTTTTGAAAGAAATGANAAAAAGAAAAAGTCAGTTCTTCTATTTTATTCTTGTATTACATTTTTTATTACATCAATTATAACAACGAAATTTGTTATAAAATGTTTTTTTTTTATCTAAATTTAAATAAAATTTTCCATTCTTTAAAGAAATAGGCCAAGACTTATATTTCATAACTAGACCATTTCTTCTTTAATCAGTTTAACAAAAAAAATTTCATTTCTTTAACTACACGAGTTTTTTTAAACAAATATCTTTGTTTAAAAAATTAAGTTATTTCAGGTTTTATTATTTTATGAATTAACTCAAAAATGTCATAGGTTTTAAACTGTTTGAATAAAAATATTATAAATTTGTAAAAAAGTTATTTTTAAAATTAAAAAATAATCATTGCTCTTAAAGGTATTTAGAAAATAAAATAATATTTGTTTTCTAACTAAATTAGAATTTTTGGATTATTTTTCAAATAAATGTTCGACGTAAATTTTTTTTTTTTTTTTTTTTTTTTTTTTTTTTTTTTTTTTTTNTTTTTTTTTAAATAATTTTCAACTTTAAGAAAGACATTTCTAAGATATTTTTTAATATTTTTTTATATTAAAGATATTTTTGAATAAATTTTTTACTTAGTTTATAAGGTTATTTTTCAATAATATACCCTGTCCAATAATTTAAGTATAAGTTAGAAAAAAAAGTGAATTCCATCTCTACCATAAGTCAATTATATGAATTATGTTACAAAATTTATAATTAAAATGAAATAAAATTCAAAGAAAATTTTTATTTTCCAAAAAATGAATAAAAGGAAAAAATCACCGATTTCATTATTATCCCATTTCATTGTTATACCATTTCATTTTTATAAGTAAAATCAACGAATTTCATCTTTTTAACTACAAGACCAAAATATATTTCTTTAAAAAATTAAATTATTTTGTGTTGTATTATTGTTATATGAATTAATTCAAAGTAGCTTATTTCTTAAACTGTTAAGTAAAAATTTTTACTAATTTTAATTTTTAAGATAAATAATAATCATTCTCCTTAAAGCTTTCAACCTAAACCAAGGCGTCTATCATTTATATTTTTTGAATAACAATTTTTTATTAGTTAATAAGATTATTTTTCATAATGAGTGCGGTGATAAAAATGTAATCTAATAAATAAATTATATATTTCTGATTGTTATGCAATTAAATCTTAATAATATAAGGATCTAATGAAAAAGTGATAAATGCATAATTTAACCTTTATGAAGCTTCCTTAATCTTTTTTTAATTAAATTAAAATTTTTGAAAAATATAAATAGATCACAAAAATTAACTAAAATATCTGATAAATATATCAGTCTAGAGTCGCTTGAAAAAGAAGTTCGCCTCTACTAATACTAATTATAAAAATTATTAATTGTGGTGTAACAGTAACGTTAAATTATTTGCAATTGAACAAAATTAAATTTTAACAAAAAGACTTAATAATTTATGACTCGATTTCTATTCGGACCTTTACTTTTAGACATTTACACTTATGACTTATAGCTCTCATTGATTTTTAGTTTTGAGATTTTATTTTCATATCTTGTTTCCTTATTATTATAATCATTTTAATTCTTGACATTTACACTGGCTCTTTTAAAACATGTTTTTAATTGTCACAATTTTTAGTTAATTTTTCTTTAACTGATCACCACACATGTGGCAAAATTTTACTGTAATTTTAGTTTTTAGCTGAAATATTTAAAGTAATAATTTAACTTTTTATCTCCGTATACCCCCTTGGGGTGGGTCGGAGTTCTACCTATCTTATAATTTATGACTATTAATAAATAAATAACTAAATATAAATATGGGTAATTTTTAAAAATATTACTAAATATATCAAAAAATTGCTGCGGTTATTTTTCTACCAAAGTAATGAGTCCTTTTAAAATAAATAAATAAATAACAAAAAAAATTTTTTGAATCCTCAGAATTCTTTAAATGAATTTTTTTTAAATTATTTTTTGACAGTGATATTAATAATTTAAGTTATTTTTTTCAGAAAAAAATTGTTTTTACATTTTAGTAAAAAATAAAAATTTGGAAAAATCCTATTAATTGTAAATAAATAAACCATGATAAAAGCTGAGTCATATCGAGAAGGATAAAAAAAAAAAAAAAAAAAAAAAAAAAAAAAAAAAAAAAAAANAAAAAAAAGTAAAAATATTAATAATTATGAAGCAATTATTCGCAAGCGAATTCTAATTGCAAATATCGAATGCTTGAAGAAGAAACTCACTCAAGGGAATGAAGCACCCATCAAAATTAAGTAGTACATATAGTTGATTTATAATGATTTCGACCCTTACTACATATAAATAATTGAAATATGCAACCCCTAACATTAATTTTAAAAAATAATCAAGAGTTTGCATGGTTGAAATAATTCCTAGCCACAATTGTAAAATCAATTATATTGCGTACTACCACAAAAATTCTTAATAGAAAGTGTAAGAAACGGCAGCTATGAGAAAAAAAAAAGTTTTGACTTACAGAAATTAAGGCTTCTCTTTAAATTTATATTTTCAAATGCGGTTAATTTGTAACGCATTTTATTAGTACAATATAATTTGCATATTAAAATTATTGCAAATTGAATATATATTCAAATTTGTCACAATGCACGCAAATAAAATGAAAAGTTTGCATTTGACACCTTATGGGAAAACGAGACAAATTTAACCACCACGAATTTTGACATGAAGAAAGATGTCAAAGAGCGTTTTATTTTGGACATACCACAAAATATTAAAATGCATGTATAAGAAAATGGGCATAGTTCCCTGAATTTCACTCTTCAAAGAGAAAAAAAAAAATTTGAATATAGCTCAAAGCGCGTGTTTAAGAAAATGCAACGAAATGAGTGTTCGGAAAAATGAACACAACATAAAATGTGCGCTTAAGAGAAGTCGGTACGGCATATATAGTTTGTCTGTGGTAAAAACTCCCCCCGTTGCAAAGTCTGAGGCCGTCTGCTACTATGAAAACAGGAATAGCGTATTTCAGGGAGGGTAGCTTCTCTTCACTCTAGGGCAGTGCTTCCCAACCTTTTTTGTGCCATGCCCCACCTAAGCCATTCTAAAATTCTTATGCCCCCCTATGTAACATACACATAATTTTTAATATTTAAAAATTGAATTGTTCACTTAAGAAACTTAAATGATAGGCTTTAGGAAGAAATCACTAGGAAATTGTTAAAAAACACAGTAAATAAATTTTTAAAACATATAATGAAAAACTAAAATTCAGTTTTTTCTATAATAATTTAATATTTTAATTTAGTGAAATCCTTGCTGAACAGAGATTTTATGTTAGGTTCCAATCGGGTTAGCTTCAGTCTCAAGTATCCCCGTTGTGTTATATCCAGACGATTTCTTTTTTTAGCAGTAAATCATTTACAGCACTAAACCCAAATTTAGCTAAAAATGAAATGGAAACGGTAGCAATAGTTTTCTTGCACATTTGGTTGAATTTGGGTATCTGATTTCTGTTTCCTCACAAAGCCATGCCATCACTCCCTTTATATTAAATGAAGTTTTAACTGTATCATCATTTTGCATTTCTGCGAGTTCTTCTTGATATTGCATATTTGATATATCAGACAAATCCACTAACTTTGGCTGCATCATCCATGTTGGAAAATCAATTTGTTTTAAATCAGAGAATCTTTCTTTTAAATCAGCCGATAGAATTTTCAGATGATCGACAATAACAAGTAAAGTGGTATTATTTACTTCACATTTTTGGTACCAATGTTTTTAATATATATTTGACATAACTCAATAAGGGCAATGAAACCAAATATCTTCGCTTTTGCACCAACACGAGTTTTATTTGTTCCTTGAA